TTCCTTTGTAGGTGACCTTTTTTCTCTCTCTGGCTGCCTTTAATACTCTGTCCTTGTCTTTGATCTTTGTCATTTTAATTATTATATGTCTTGGTGTTGTCCTCCTTGGGTCCCTTGTGTTGGGAGATCTGTGCACCTCCATGGCCTGAGAGATTATCTCCTTCCCCAGATTGGGGAAGTTTTCAGCAATTACTTCCTCAAAGACACTTTCTATCCCTTTTTCTCTCTCTTCTTCTTCTGGTACCCCTATAATGTGAATATTGTTCTGTTTGGATTGGTCACACAGTTCTCTCAGTATTCTTTCATTACTAGAGATCCTTTTTTCTTTCTGTCTCAGCTTCTTTTTATTCCTCTTCTCTAATTTCTATTTCATTTATTGTCTCCTCCACCATATGTAATCTGCTTTTAGTACCCTCCATTGTGTTCCTCAATGATTCGATCTCCATCCTAAATTCATTCCTGAGTTCTTGAATATTTTTCTGTACCTCCAGGAGCATGTTAATGATTTTGATTTTGAAATCTCTTTCAGTAAGATTTATTAGTTCAGTCTCCCTCAACCCTTTTTCTGGGGTTGTTGAGATTTTGCTGTGAACCAGGTTCCTTTGATGTTTCATATTTGTAGGTGGTGCCCTCTAGCGTCCAGAACCTGTACTCTCTGGAGCTGCTCAGCCCCTGGAGTGATGGCAGGCATTGCAGGGGAGTGGTGCTGGTACCTCGGGGGAGAAAAGAGCTGTTTCCTGCTTCCCAGCTACTATGCCTGTCTCCACTGCCAGAACCAATGGGCCGAACACACAGGTATAAGCCTCTATGCTTTGCGCTTGTAGTTGCTGTAGACAGGGCTTCCCTCTGGCAGGCCTGACACCAGGGCAGGGTTTGCCGGTATGCAAACCAGGTGCAGGCTGGCTGGGAGGAAGGTGCAGCAGGCTGTGTATCATGGTGGGGGCCTTGGAGCTGTGTAGCCAGCCGGGGAGCTGGAGCACCTGAAGATCGTGAAAGCTCCCAACCTGCTGGGCAGAGTGCACCAGGACAATTCTGTTTACCTGTTCTTTCTCTTGAGCAGTAAGCTCTGTGAAATCTTGAGCAGCCCTCTCGCTTTTAGGAAGTCTCAGACTGCCTGGCCAGATTAGCCAGATATGGGTCCCTGTTTTCCACAAGCAGCTGGAATCTCAGTCTCTCCAGGTATTCCGCCTGTCTTAGCTTTCCAACCCCACCAATCACCAGAGCACCATGCAATGTAGGTTTGTGCTCCCAGAGCAGATCTCCAGGGCTGGGTGTTCAGCAGTCCCAGGCCTCCATGCCCTCTTTGCTCTGTCTCTCTTCCTCCCGCCGGTGAGCTTGGGTGGGGGAAGGGCTTGAGTCCCGCTGGGTCACGGCTTTGGTACGTTATCCCATTCCGTGAGGTCTGCACTTTCCTCCAGGTGTATGCAGTCTGGCACAGCCCTCTTTCCTGTTGCTCTTTCAGGATTAGTTGTATTAACTATATTTTCATATTATATGAGATTTTAGGAGGAGGTCTGTGTCTCACCTCTCACGCTGCCATCTTTAATCCTAGTCCTCTGGTGATTACTTTTTAATACTCCAGACACATTTCATTAGGTTAGAAATATTTAAATCTTATTGCAACATCCACATGCATTATATATTTTATATTTGGCATTTATTTTCTATGTGTTATATATTTACATTTTATCTATGTATATAAACTGTATATAACTGTGTGCAAACACACCTCTAACTTTATTCACTGTGGCTTCTTGGAACCCCATTGGTCAGTTTTTAGCATCTGAATTCATCGCAGATATTGGTTCAGCCCACTTTATGCTGTGATTAGCGACTGAAGACGGTGGGGCCTCCACCTGTGAAGTCTGGGTGGGTGGGATGCACATGGTTGTATCTGCAGTGGTTTGAAAGCCCTCTGATTGATCGCAAATTCCTGTGGGGATGCGGATGCAAGAGTCTTTGAACACAGCAGATTCTAGTGGCTGCCCATGCCCCAGGGGTCTGGTTTCCGTCTAGGGTTGAATGTAGAATGTGTATATTTAGGAAATTCTGCAGGTGAGTTCAATGGGTAGCCAGGTTAGGGATCCACCAGTGAATGAACTTCAGTGCCCATCACCAGAAGGATCCATGTTCACCCAGCACATGGCAGGGGCCACCAGAGAAGGTGAGCTCCCTGCTCTTAGCTCTGGGGTCAGAGCCAGGGCCCCTCCCCAGTGGGGAATGAACCTGAGACCGCCCTCATCTTCCAGGGCCAGCACCAGGGCACTCCTATAACCCTGAGTCACCCCAGCCCATGGCACAAAGCAATTTGTGAAAGTCGCCTTCTCTCTCCCTTCCCCTTCCCCATTAAGGAGCAGGTTGAGCCTGCCTGAGGCTCTTTTCAGGCTCTCTGGTCCATCCCCGTGCAGCTTCTCACGTTGCTGTCCCATCCTACAAATGGGTGGATGGAGCTCCGAGCAGCAAGTTCCTCAAGGCCATGGCAGGGCATCGGTGATTTCTGAGCCTGGGTAATGGGGATGCCTGCTGTCATTCTGTTCTCCCCACCACACCTTAGCTGTGTCTCAGCACATGCACACGTGTGTGAGCATGTGTGCATGTGCTCTGGGGGCCTCATCCATAACCCAGGGCCTCCTTGAGTCTCCCTCTATTCACCTCTTAATGCTCAGCAGACCCTGTGGACTCCATGTTTGCAATGTTGTTTTGGCCTGTTCTCGCTGTGTCCACGCACGGCCACCTCCCACCGGCTGACTGCAGACGTCAGCTCACGGCCGCCGACTCTTGTTCTAACACAGGCCCAGGAGAGAGCCAGCCAAAATGTAGGGCACGTGGCACACACCCTGTTGAGGCCCGCAGCTGTCTCCTCGGGCAGCGGAAGAAGGTGGCTCCACGGCGCAGCAGCCCAGCCGGCCGGCCCCTGCCTGCCTTCTGCCTTCCCTCCCTTGGCTTTGCTCAGGCCACACTGGCCTCCTCCCCGACTGCGGGGCGCCATCCTGCCTCAGAGCCTTTGTCCCCAGATGGCCCGCCTGTCGGCACTGTGGGGCACATTCTCTCCACCTGCAAAGGCCGCAGGCTTTCCTTCCGTTGTTGTAGATGTGGTTCCTGCATTCAGGGGCCAAGTCTACCATCCTTTAGGGTCTCCGAGGCCAGAGCATGTCTGTCCAGCTTGAGCACGTCCCAGAACCATCTGGAGGCCTGCAGTGGAGCCGAGGATCTGCACGCCTGCCAAGGGCATGATGCTGGCCCGAGGGCTGCACTTTGGAAAACACTGGTCTGGGACTTGCCGTGTGACCAATGGTCCCTCACACCAGTGTCTTAAAAGACAAAAACGTGTTTCTCTGTCAGGCCACAAGATCACTGCAGGTCGGCTGGGGACACCCTCTGGGCCTGCTGGTCATGCAGCTGCTCCGTGGAACGCGGCTGGTGGCACGCACGAGGGAACCACTACTTGAGAGTGGAAGAGCCACGCGTCACTTTTGATCAGATTGTCAGCCAGAACGAGCCTAGGGCCCCAGGCGGCCTGCGGCACCGGGAGTGATTCCTCTGTGCCCCTGGGCTGCGGGCAGGCCCGCCTCAGGGCACTGGCTGGGCGGGTGAGAGGGAGCCCCACACGCTCTCCAGGCCTAGATGCCCTAGGATTGTGGGGACTCCCCAGGAAGCCTTCTGGGCTGGCGCCTGCCCACATCCTAACAGCCCCCCAGGAACAACCCTGTCGGCGGGCAGGCCCGCGGTCACCTTCCATCCTCCTCCTGTGACCACCGCCGGCATGTGGGTTTCTGCGGTCCCACGGCTGTGCTCACACATCAGCCGAACACAGGGGGAAGGCCCTGGTCACACGTAAGAAGACAGCCAGTCACATTCCTTTATGTTGGAAACAGTCAACTTGATTTATTGAGAAACGATTACAATTATTCATCTGTTACACAGGCTTAAAATATTTTAAAACACCCTTTCCTGGGCATCACAGTTACGAACATGTCTGTGGGATCTTCAGGAAATGTACAGGGTGTCATTTTTGACATTCTGTTTTAGAGGGTCTCGTGTCCTAGAATCTCTACCATAGGTTTTCTGTTTACCATTTTCGTTTTCTTTTCTTCAACACGTGTCCAATGATATAGGTGAAAAAAAAATAAAATTACGCCAAAAGAAATTTCTGCAAATATGAGAAGTAGTTTTATTGCAATATACCGTACGTGGTCTGGGGAGAACGGGACAGACGTATCTTGACTTCAGTACAAATTACAACAGCTTTGAGGGGGCCAACAGAGGCAGAAAATGACAGAATAGGAGACAGGAGGGATGAGAAGTCACAACCGAATCACATGACCTAGATGGAACCCTCAGGGCACGCGTGACAATCCTCACATATGGCTTTTTGTTGAAGAGATGAATGAGAAAGTCACGGCTCTGGCACGGAGATTGAAAGAATCTTGGAGCCCGACATTTCTTTGGTGAGAGCAAGACTCGTTTTTCATGGGAATTCGGGGTGTCCTTGTGAGTGGGGTGTCGTCCTCCTGGCTGGCTTTGCTGTGTCCTCCCAGGTTCTGACAGGTGGGTAGGTGGAGTGCAGCACCAGAACTGTGGGGGCGGGGGTCACAGTTCCTCTCGAGGAGGCTGCACGGGGTCCCGTCGTGGAAGGAAAGGGCATTGCAGTGGGCAGCTTTTCACAGTAAAGGGACTGCCTTTCCACGCCAGCCCCTTGGTCCTCCGCCCGTGGAAGGCAGCCCCTTGCCCTGCTCAGGGAGAGGGAGCTGCACCCAGATGGAGCCCTGCCAGCCCCGCGCCCCGTGCCCCGCGTGTCTGCAGGTGGACTCCAAACTGCGCGCAGGAGAGAGGAGCCCCGCTGCAGCCCTGGAGACGCTCGCAGAGCTCGCGGCCCACGGCTGTCTGCCGAGGCCACAGGGGAGGCAGCCCGGCTGGCAGCTTCAGCTCAGTTCCTGGACAAACACAGAAATTAGCACCACAGACACCCGGCAGCCACATGCCGTTACACCGCGGCCAACGCGGGAAGTGTCTCTGCATTTTGTGTGTTTGTTTCCCGATCACAGGAGCATACCCTGATATTCACAACGCGCTTGGTGGCCTCCCGGTGATCCGGGAAGGGAAATGACATGTGTTTACGTTACTGTCCTGGGCAAAAACTCAGATTAGGGAGGCAGTACCGAGGATCAAGAAAGGTGGGAGAACGAGGCACAGCCAGGCACCCCCAGTGTCACCGTCAGGAGATCTTAAAACAGATAGCACCACAAGAGAAGTGTACAAATAAGCACCATTTTCATTTAATTATCCTCTACAGAAAATGTGGTTTCCCTGCCCTGGACATTCTCCCATCATAGCTCTGTAGGAAGAAAAACGGAAAAAGGAAGCAATTAAAATTAATTTAAGTCTGCGTTTTAATCTGAGTGCATGTAGAAAAGGCAACGTCCACATTTCTTTTTTTCCTCCCTATTCAGAAAAAAGAAAAATCCAGAGCTAATCAAAAAATGGTCTGGAAAGGGGTTCTGCCACCTGTTTTTCAGACAGTGGTGTGAACTCTTGCTGCCCTGGGCACATCTCCAATTCGTCGCACATTCTTGACCAGGGAGGGGCTGGGGGCTTCCCATTTCTGATCGTGATGGGACTGCACCCCAGGACGCCCCCCCCACTTTCTTCCCATTTTCTCTATGGGACTGAGGTTGGCTTTACATGCGTGATTGAAAGTCGGGGACACTGAACATTTATGACAATACAATACAAATATTTACTTAAAACTCACAAAAAACAAAAGCACCTTTAATCCATCAGAAAGGCACACGCAGAATGACATCTGGCCCATCGTGAATGGATCGTGTAGTTGGAAACCGGGGCTCGGCGGGGTGGGGGTGACCTTTACGGGGCTTACCTCGGAACATTTTTTGAAGGTCAAGGAAATACACATCTCCTCGCTGAATTTTTTTTAAAAAGCGGTCTCCAAATTCCGCAGCCCGCCCCCAGCCCCGTGAACTATCCAGGAGTGTGACCTGGGAGCTGGGCGGCCGGAAGAGTGGGCCGTCCCCTGCCCTGGGAGTGCGGTGTAGACAGACGGGCTGGAGAAAGCGGCATTCGGCCATCTAGGTCATGTGATTCGGCTCCGGGGTGGGGCACACGCTTTCCCTTCGCTCCCTCTGAGTAGGGGGGCTGGCACAGTGCGGTGCCGAGGTGCAGACGAGGTCGGGGAGGGACGAGGGGCCTTCACTGTCCAGGACGCCCGCAGACGGCGCGCTGAGGTCACGAGGTTGCTCTTGGGGGCCGGGTTGCGGCTCCTAGCCCAGGAAGCAAGCCGGCCCCACTTCAAATCCAAATTTCTGGGATGCTTCACCGAAGTCGTTGAACATGATGTCCACGATGGGCACCTGCTCCACCTTGGGGGTGTCGATCTCCAGAACGGTCTTCTGATAGCCTTTCTTCGTCTGGGAAGGAGAAGGGCAGCCATTGTGGGAACGGGGCCTCTCGAGGCTCACCACCACCCTGCACACTGTGCCTGGCACCGAAAACAAGCCCCATCCCTCCGGGCAGGTGGGTGAGGCAGTGTGCTGACCAGAGCTGGCCAGTCTCCAGCGGTGGCCCAGGTCACCCTCCCCAGTCTGGGAGGGGCTGTGACGTAGGGTTCGCAGCCCATTCAGAGCCCCTGCCCCCCCTGCCATCTGGGACACCTCTAGGGCACCGTATGTGTGGGCCCCAAGGCAGCCCCGCCTGGACCACCTGCAGAGAACACAGATCTCACAGGAGCACCCTGTGCTCTGAAATGACAGATTCCAAGACAGCAGAGGCAGCTGCCTGCCCGGCTCCGGGTCCCACCCAGGAAGAGGACTGCACATTCACAGGTGCAAGGAGAGGAGGGAACCTCACCCAGTGTGGTCCAGAGGAGTAAGGGGTAAACGGAGACGCGGAGGGGGAGGGCAGCACAGAGGAGCCAGCCGCCCGGTGAGGGAGTCAGTGCCCACCCATTGCTCAGATGGTCTGTTTAATTTCCGGGAACATCCCATTTCACCTTCGACTCAACCCAGGGAATGGGATGCAGGCCCCATCTGAGGGATTCAGACAGGGAGCCTCAGAAACGCGTCTCCCTCCCCTGCAGGGACCATGTCTCCCCAAACAGTGGGAGCAAAGGTGCAAGATGGCCCTGGTCCGGAATGCCCTGACACTGACTGAGCGTGGGTGACACGTCTATGTGAGGGAGCCGGCCCCGCCTCCCTGGCACCCTCCCCGAGGACGCAGGTCCCAGTGTGGGCATCGTTCCCACTAGCCATCACACACACACACCTGCGGCCTGTGCCAGATGAACCCCCTTTCCTACCTGGCTCGGGGACGACAGTCACTCCCAGGTGGGTCTGGCCCCAGGGAGGGTTTCCCTCTGCTGCCAATCCCACTCCTGCAGATTGAGGTCAGCATGTCCCTCTCAGGGACCTGAGATGCCCACTGGGATGGGCACATAAGCACCTGGGATGCTCTCAGCAAGCGTGCGCTGCCAGGAAGCATGCACTCTGGGGTTGGCTCTCTCCAGTATGGCCCCAGCTTCCCTCTGGCCCCTGTCACTCCCCTGGGGGACGCCCTCGGCAGGCAGCCCCCTGGGGAGGCTCACGGGCAGGCTATCATGACGCAGACCGTCCAGCCTCAGGCCGGTCCTCACGGGACAGGAGCCCTTTGACCTCAGGCACCGTAGGCCGGAATGTTTGTATGCCCCCCACTCCAAATGTGTGATGGCCTCTGCAGGAGGGGCCTCTGGGAGGTCACTAGGTCATGAGATGGAGCCCATGAATGGGATCGGTGCCCCTACAGGAGTGGCGGGAAGGCCGGCTCGTATGGTCCACCACGGGGGTGCGCCGCGAGAAGGCAGCAGCCTGCAGCCGGGGGAGGGCCCCCACTGGAGTCCGGCCGTGGGGCACCCTGGTGGCAGGTGTCCAGCCCCCAGAACAGGGAGCCACAGGCATCTGCTATGTGTGGTGTCCTGCAGAGCTGCCTGGGCCGGCGAGACCCTGTACCAGGACCGTCCGGCTGAGCCACTGCCCACTTCTGACCCTCAGAAAAGGAGTCATAACAAATATTCATTGCTCTAAGAACTAAGTTTGGGAGTAATTTGTTACTAGCCACAGATAATGAACACACGTGGGGCTGTTTTCTGGGGCACAGCAGTGGCGAGGAAAGGAAGGGCCCTGGCAGGGCCCCCGCACAGATGGCAGCCGTGCTGTGCCCTGTGTGGTCCCCGCCCTCCGGCTCCCCTCAGCCCAGACTCCCGTCCTCACAGGGTCAGGAGGGAGTTATTCCAAAGCTGGGGTTGGAACTCTGGAGCCACCATGACTCCCCTGGGGGCTTGTTAATGGGCAGCGCTCGGGCCCTGTTCCAGAGACTCAGAGCCTGGTGTCTCGGCAGGATTCCAAGCTTGCTTTCAGGCATCTCAGAGAACTTGACACTGTCCTGAAGGACCTGCCAGAGGTGGCCAGGAACCCGAGGGCACCGGTTTCAGACAATGTGGCCTCTGCCCAGCCCAGCAGAATACATCTAGGGTGGCCGCCCTGGAATGGGCTTGAAGGGGTGGCCACAGCTCCACGTGTCCAAGGAGAGGGGCGGGGACCAGGTGCACCCACCGTGGCTGCTGGAAAGGACTGGGTGAACTGGGGCTGACACCGAGTTCCCAGAGACGGCCACCATGCCCTTTCGGGGTGCAGCTCTGGAAGGCAGCTGGCCCTTCAGCCCTTCCCGGCCAGGAGAGCAAGGAGCCAGTCGTCCCACCTGCCTGACCACTGCCCCTCTGGGCCTCTGCCCCTCACTGGGTCTGAGCACCACACAGTCAGGAACCGTGTGAGGGGGCTGGCCTGGTGTCCGCTGGACGGCTGTGATGTCTCGGGAGCTGTGTGACCTTAGCTGAGGGCGGCCTGAGCCTTCTCATGCCAGCAAGCTGACCCGCAGGGCAGTACCTGGCCCTTTCCTCCCCAGCGAAGGTGGGCAAACAGACTTTCTCGGGGTCTGCCACCCCTCACCTGAGGGACAGCATTTGCTGAGCCAGTGGTGTGACTTCCCCCAGATTTATGGGGCCCCATGCTCCAATTATCAGAGCACTTAGAGATGGGTGTATTTAAGCAAGCCACCACACGCACACACTGTTCTGTTACCCCGTTATTCTTGACGCGTAAATAACCATTACAGACTAGCAATGGCCCCCCGAGGGGCACAAAGCTGCACAGAGCACGGGATTTATGTGGCATGGCTCCCTGGCCACTTGCCCGGTGATTTGTGCTCCTCCACGGGGCTGGGCTCTGCTCAGCAGGCCCACCAATCAGGCCACACAGCCCCACAAGGCCCTGGGTGGGACCCATTTCTTTGGCCCTTATTATGACACGAATCAAGCCACCTCCTGGGGCCCAGGCAGGCCCTCCACCACTTAGTTGCATGGCTAAGGCTCCCCTAACATCCCTGACCCCTTTCCCCAGGGAACTGGATCACTGATCTCAAACAGGGACAAGTCCTGCACAGTCTGATCCAAGGGCTGACCCCACACCCCGGGCAGCTGACCCCACACCCTGGGCAGCTGACCCCACAGACCCCAGGCAGCTGACCCCCACACCCTGGGAAGCTGACCCCACACCCCGGGCAGCTGACCCCACAGACCCCAGGCAGCTGATCCCCACAGACCCCGGGCAGCTGACCCCCACAGACCCCAGGCAGATGACCCCACAGATACCAGTCGGCTGACCCCCACAGACCCCGGGCAGCTGACCCCACAGATGCCAGTTGGCTGACCCCCACAGATGCCAGTTGGCTGACCCCCACAGACCCCGGGCAGCTGACCCCACAGATGCCAGTTGGCTGACCCCCACAGATGCCAGTTGGCTGACCCCCACAGACCCCGGGCAGCTGACCCCACAGATGCCAGTTGGCTGACCCCCACAGATGCCAGCATGGACACAGGGAAAAGAGGCTGAGCGCTCAGGGAGGGCTGCCCTGTAGGCACCCTGGCCTCACCAGGCCCTGCACACATGCACCTGTGATGCCCAAGCAGCCCTGGGAGAGCTTTTAACTAGGGCCGTCTGTGGGGGAAAAGAACGGAAGGGTGCAGCCCAGTCCCAGCGTGTCAGTCAGGGAGGAGACAAGATTTGAACCTGGGTCTGCACAGGGCCTGCTCTCAGCGGCTGCCCTGTAGTCCAGCCCTGTGTGCCAGCACTGCCAGGGGAGGAGCTCAGAGCTCAGGGTGCCTCTCCCTGGCCTGGGACGCAGATGCCCTGGCTGCTCTGTTCAGAAAGTGGGCTGGGATCTCTGGAAGCAGGGACCACAAGCCCGGGCTCCGTGCACCTATTCTCAGGAAAGCCGGCCGAGAGCCAGTCCTGAATTCCAAGTCAGACCAACATGGTCTCCTGAGCTATGTGCCTCGTCACACCAGGGATGGGGTCACAGGCCTCGCCCCTGGGCCTGTCCCAGGGCTCAGCTTTCCCTCGCTGACAGACAGCACTGCAGAAGGTCCCTGAAGCGCGGCTCCCACGGGGATCCCAGTCCTCAGGCAGTGGGGGCCACCTGGGGCCGCTCCTGCCCACACCCAGAACAGCGCCCACGGCAGGCGCCCAGTAATCTGCGTGGACTGAACGAACCCCCCGGGGCGTGCGGGCCCGTGTGTGACACTCACAGCGCAGCCGTCCACCAGGGCGCGGATGTAGGGGCTGTTGTCGTAGGACATCTCCTCGTCATTGGAGCCCAGGAAGCGCATGGCCTTGTCGTAGCTGCCTGTGGTGGCGTCCTGCCAGGCCACCGACTGGTAGCAGGTGTAGGTGACGTTCTGGTGGGCAGAAGCGCTCAGCAGCCGCAGGAAGGTCATCTGGACCACGCCCACGGGGTTGCCCTCGACGTCCACGTAGGAGAGCTGTGGGGGGGCAGAAAGGGGCCTGCTCAGCAGGGGGCACACAACGAGGCCCTGTGTTCACGGCCTGGGCTTCCCAAGCTTCATCCGCGTGTTGTCTTCTCCAGGGTGTGAGCCACGTCCAGGGCTCCACCCTGAGGCCTGAGTGCACTGGCTTTCTTGGGGGTTCCCTGGAACAGAGTGACCCCCCCTTGTTTCTTCCAGGACCTAAGTAGCCCAGCCACTCCTCTTTGCCCAGCTGGTGCCTACTCATCCTTTGGGGTTAGCTCATGTGCCTCTTCTTCTGGGAAGCCTGCCCAGGTTCAGTGCCTTCTCTCACTTTAACCTGGCTCAGTATCCATTTTCTTTACCAGGCTGGAAGGCCGTCCCCACCAGAACTGGGCCCCTGAGTCCTGGGAGCCGGGTCTGTGGCCCTCCCTGGACCATGAGCGGAGGGCAGGACCTGGCACGTGTGCCCTGGGGTTGGGCCCTGCGGCTGGCAAAAGAAAGACACTCACTAGGGTAGGTTAGTAAATGAAGACCACCTGCTGACAGCCATGATGCACAAGGCCCTGGCCAGGGGGCCTTTGAGAACTGGAGGCAGTGGGCCTCGAGGCGTGACGTGGGTCAGCTGGGTGCGGGCCGGCAGGCAGGTAGGCCGGCCCGAGGGAGAGTCAGGGGCTGTATGGCCCAGAGCCGAAGCGCCGGGATGACGGGCGCCCACCAGCAGGCACAGAGGAAGTGGTGGCGCTCAGGAGAGGCCATCCCTGCCCCTTCCTGGGCACACAATCCAGGGCCAAGCAGAGCAGGCGTTCCGCCGCCTGGGGGCGCTCAGCCCTGTCTACGCTGAGCGGGGGCAGCCAGGCACTGTGGCGACGGCCCTCACCGGAAGGCCCCGCTCTCTGACAGCAGCCCGGGCCCAGCGTCAGGAGAGGTGATGTGTTAGGTCTCAATGACTTCTCCAGCGTCCCCAGCTGGACACCCCAAAATGGCTATTCAGCCTGGCCGGGCGCAGGGCTGGCGCATGGCATCCTGACAGATGAGCCTTAGTTTCTGCATCTTTTGCTGCTGGGCGCTGCCAGGGGACACGGGTGCTTTTCAGCCCCTGAGATAAGGCTCATCCCCCTTCCTACCCAGGCACCAGCGCTCCTCACACACAGGCGTCCGGCTGGGCGGGGACGGCCACTGTGCCTCCGCATCGGGTGACGGTACGAACGCCAGGGTCTGAGACCAGCAGGTCCCTCCACTTGCAGTGGCCCCACCACCACTCTCTCGGACCCTGCCCCGGCCCACCCCCAGGGAGCAGAACTGGGGGCAATGCCGCCCGCTTGTCTGCATGTTTATAACCAGGGGCTGGAGGTGCACGGCCAGGCCGCCATCCTGCTTGCCCCCATGCTGCCCACCAGCCCCAGTGCCCCACCCAGCCTCCCAACATCCCACAGTCGGGCCTCACAGAGGAGGACTGAATACCAACCGCAGCTGGGCTGCCAGGTGCTCCTGGGAGGAACTGACTGACTCGAGGAAGGGCGCGCATGCGCAGTGGGGGCCGGGCAGTGCTGGACGCAGAAGGACCTGAAGGCCCGGCCGAGCCGGGCGGCAGCTTGTGTCTGGCTTGGAGTGCCCAAACCCCACCATGAGACCTGCCCTCCCAGTGGGAAAGGGTCTCATTGCCGTGTGGCATGTCCAGGGCAGCCCAGCCTGGGAGAAGGGCCTGTTTCTTGGAGGAGGGGCCTGCACCTATGTCCTGTCCACTGTGACAGTCACAGAGAACTAGAACTAATGCCGTGGGAGAGCCCGAAGGTGAGCTGGTGTCGTCCGTTGGACGGCCCTGCACCTCCGCACTCAGGTGACTGTGGAGCAGGACAGAGCGGGAGGTGCCCACTTTGGGCCAGTGCTGAAGACGGGTGTCCTGGGACCATTTCCTCAGAGTGAGGCGAGCAGGTCCTGGCCGACATGGGCCCGTCTGCGGGAGGCAGGGCCCAGGGCTGTGGAAAGGACCCCGCTGGCCCTTGGTTCTGGGGGCTGCACCCGCTCTGGGCTCTGTCCTCACCTGCCCCGTCCCACCCCTTGTCCCCTGCAGGTCCTTCTGCGTGCCAGCCGTTCCTTTCTGAGGAGCACAGGAGAGGCGAAAGGGAGGAGAAACAGCAGGAGCAGAGGGAGAGGAGAAGGTCTGTGGGCCCTGCAGGAAATAAAGGAGGTTCCCACAACGTGGCAAGAAGAGGCGGGGGCCCTCAGAGTGTCTGGAAAGAGCAGAGTGGCTTGGAAGTGGGCAGCCCGTGGGCGCGAGGCACTGCCAATGAGCCATGAAGGGCCCCCAGTGTAGGGTTCTCCAGAGGCTGCCTGGGAGTCCCTGCTCTCCGGGTGCCGGGGGGAAGGTGGCCAGCCTCGCCCTGCTGCAACGGGGCCTCTGTGCCCACTCGGGGAGGCTGGGGGCTGGGACCAGGGCCAGGGGGTCAGGCTGGAGGTCATGGGGCCCAGGAGCTGGCTCCGGTGCCAGAAAGGCCCTCCTTCAAGGGCCGCTTAGGGTGGGGCAGCCGGGCGAGGACGTGAGCACAGGACGCAGGCAGGGCTCTGGTGGCCCCTGTACCCCATCCGCATTCTGGAGCCCTGGTCCTTCTTTGGCTTGCTAGGGAGACAGCATGAAACTCTGCACTTTGTTCCAGAAAGGGGCCCCAGTCAACCACCTGAGACATTCTGGGGAAGGCGCTCTGCCAGGCAGAGGCAGCCACTGGCCTCAGGTAAATGCGTCCAGGCCAAGTGCGCCCCAGTCTCTACACTGGCGAGAAAGCATCACCTTTGTTCTTTCAAAGGGATGCCAATGTCTTTTCATTTCTGGGATGGATTATTTAAGACTGCCTTCCCAGAAGTTAAAACGGGGATGAACACAGCCGTGGGGGACGCACCAGAGAAGCCCACGGCCAGGTGGGCAATCACAGTGGCCCCTGGGCCCCAGCGGCAGCAGGGACAGGTTCTGGAAAGAGCTCTGACTGGCTAAGTGGCCCAGGACCCATTTATTTCACCTGAGCTGCCGACCAGGACTCTTGCTCCTGGCGTCTTTGGTCTTAATTTCTGGCAGCACCCAGCTGTGGCTCTGGGTGTCCTGCATGCCAACCTCACTCCTAGAACTGAATGGAAAACAAGCCACCTGCTCCCAGGCTGAAAGGAACTCTCATCGGGGAGGCAGGAGCGGGCACCGATGCTGAGTCTGGCTGTCACGTGCCGTGGAGCGGTTTGGCCAAAGGGGTGAGCGCGGGTGCGGCTCACCGAGGCCGTTAGTCCCATGCAGAGCCTCGAGCCAGGCCGTGCTGCAAGCAGACAGTGCCCAGTGGCCACTTACCAGGGACCCTCGCTTGTACTGACTATACCAGGTGGAAGGCTGCTCTTTGGGCCAGCGGGCCATTTTACTCTGTAAGATATGAAACGGGCGGGTTTACAGGACAACCGCAGAGGAGACAGAGGCCGCCTTACCAGTTTACCGCGCTTGAATTCACTGAACCAGGAACCCGGGTTTTCTTTGGGCCAAGAAGTGATTCTGGCCTAAACATCAAGCAGGGGAGGTGGAGAGGGAGAGAAACAGAGAGAACGACAGGGTTACTTCTGCCTCCATGTGTCACGCTGCCCCGTCCTGCAGACACGCCTTCTCCTGCCCACAAGGGCCTCCATTCTGCTCTCGCTCCAGACGCCCAGCCAGCCAGCCGGAAGGATCCCTCAGGTGCCTCTAACCCCCTGGAGCTGAGGTTGCCCACCCAGGACAAGGGCCAGTGACCACGCTGGGCACAAGGAGACTGACGGCTCTCAAGGTGCCAGCACCCGCCTCCCATGCAGGTGTGTGGGCTGCGCCTCGTTGGCCTTTGTGCACCCAGTGTCCAAGACAGCGCTTGGCACTTCGTAACTGCTGAACAATGCTGGGGGGTGGCAGGCTGGCTGGATTCTCACGGGCCCCAGCAAAGGCGACAGTGATAAGAGCCAATGTGTACTGACAGGCTAAGGGAAGGGTGGGGTCATCTCTGACCCCCAGATCTGAGGGGTGTGGCTCCTCTCCAATGGCATCCACCTGGGGACATGTGAGGAGACCCACCAGGCATCTGTGACACAGCAGGGCAGGCTGGGTGTGAGGTGTGCATGGGTGTGTGTCCCTGCGGGTGTCTGTGTGTGTGGTGGGGTGTTCTCCGTGGGTAAGTGGCCTGGGGGCAGTGACCCTAGAGTGCTCACGGTGTCCTGGGGCCCAGAGAGCACGGGCCCCTTCAGTGCTTCCCTGAAGAAGGGGCAGGAAGCAGCCTGTCATCAGGAGAGAGCATCTGCCCCCATAATGGGCGTTTGAAGGTGGCTTTCTGCAGGGGACGAGGTTCCCAAGGACAGGGAGGGGGCGGCTCAGTAATGCTGTGGAGTCAGTGGCTGAATGAAGGACCCTCCCCAGGAGACGTAGCTGCCTGGGGAACCCGCCTGGACCTCGAGAGTGGCCCCGGCCCAGCCCTTGGCTGTGAGGAAGCACAGCCCTGAATCCTTGTCCTCACCCCCTGGCCTCGCCTCTGAGCTGTCTTTGTGCAGGGGAGCTGGAAAAGCAAGGGGTGGCTGGCCTGCCTCCTGCCTCGGGTCTGGTCCTCTCCCCTGGGTTTCCGAGCCTGCTGATGTCCGTGCTGTGCTCAGATGCTGTGCAGGCGGCCTCCCCTGGGAACAGGCCCAGCGATGCGGGCAGGTGCTCACCAGACCCCAGCCTTCTGCTTTAAACCCCAGGCCCTCCTGCTGGCTGATGGGGATGGGTGCCCCAGGTCACTGGGCAGAGGGTCTCTACTTGCACAAGGATGAGTGGCCGTGGCCTGAGCCCGAGGCTGCTAGCCCGTGGATGCCTGGCTGGTCAGCACAGGTGCAGGGGAAGAACAAGGGGCAGTGGGCATTTTTGGTGCCCCACAGGTGCCGTCCGCCTAGCTTGCCATGAACTAGGGCTCCCAGGGGTGTCCTGCTCATTCTCCCACAGCAGGGCCATTTGTGGAGGCCAGACCGGGACAGAAAGGATGAGAAACAGTATCTTTTCCACCTTAATTACCTCCTGGGCCTCTGCCCGATGGAAGGGTCCTGAGCTTTGAACTTTCTGTTTGAACCACAGGGGGTAGTTGGACATGCATGTTACCAAGGATTTAAAATTTCAGGTTGGGGGAGCATGCTTGTAAAACAGGGGTCCCCAAATCCTCCCCATCAGTGTAGGGACGCCGTTCCTGTGAGCTGGGCCCTCCAGCCTAGGGTGCTGGAGCTCCCTACAGTCATGCTGTAGGGAAGGTGGTGTAAGGATAGGTGAGCAGACGGCGCCTAGGAGAACCTAACTTCTCTCTCCGGAGGAAACTGCTTCCCAGCGCCAAGGCCACCAAGAAGCTGCAGACCGCGGGCTGCCCGCCTCACAGGGCCAGAGCCTGCACCTGCATGGCCTCCAGGAACCCGCTGCCCTCAGCCCAGGACAGCCAGCTGTCTGAGGGGCATTCTGGACATCGTGAACGTCAGGACACTAACTATGGTCTGTTCAGGCTGGATGCTGAGAGCCCTGGGCTGCAGCTCCCACCTTTCCAGTTAGAGGCCTTGTCCACCTCCCCTGTCCTGGGCTAAAGTGGGAAGCAGCGCATGCCTGCCACACACACACCTGTTCACGGTGTCCACACACACACCAACTCCCCCACGGAGGTGAGGCCTTTTATAGAGGCGACTGCTAAATTGCACAAAACCTCAGTGAGTCAGAACCCTGCCACCTGAAGCTCCACACTGAACAGACATCCCACCACGAACTGGCCCAGGACAGCGGGAGGAAGGCCGCGGGAGCAGCTGGGACTAAGAGCTGAGGCAGACACCAGCCTCCAAAAGATGGATTTGGGCCACTGTATGCCTGTCCCAGCCCTGCCCTGGGATTCAGACTGGTCTCAGGTCATTTTAGGAAGGCTTTGATCAACCAGGGGTTGACATCCGAACCCTGGGGGCAGTGGGTGGGAAAGAGCCATGAACTAGCCGCCCTTCAACCTGCCCTAACCCGACGCTTTGCTCACCCCGTCCATCGCAGAGAATTTCTTCTTAAAGCAACTTAAGGTCTCCTTCTGGAGGAAATTCTTGATTTTGAAACTGGCCAATTTCTGTTTTGCATTTTAAAGCCATAAACACGTGTGCTAGGAAGGCGGCCAGGGCAGGCACGTACTCACCCCCTCGGACTTCTTGTCGGGGAAGACGCATGTCGAGCCTCCGGCTGTGAAGTTGCAGTAAACTTTGAAAGAGTCCCTGGAGCACCCTTGGTTAGGATCTACCCAGTATTCACCTGGAGGGCAGAGGCGGGAGGGGAACCCTGAGAACTGTCCCTGGGTGGCCCCAGAAGCGGCCACGACATGCAGTTCTGCAGCCCGCACACAGCTAGGGCCACACAGCCCCTGCCTGCACCTTCCCAGGGTTTCTCTGATGGAATTCTGCTCTTCCTGCCAGGCCCACCAGGACACACGGGCGGACGCATGGCCAAGGACACAGCTGGAGCATGAAGCACGTGGGCACATGCTTGGTGAACATGAGAACACGGGCCCAGCACGCTCAGCAGGTGGACAGAAATACAGAAATGCTGCAGGTGAACTCGGAAACTCATGCTCTTGGGACCAGAGGGCATGGAGCCACGGGCAGCCCCAAATCTTGTTGGAGAAACGTCCATACTTCCCAAGGGGAAACGGCAAGTTACTGCGATTTTACTTTTCAACAGGTGGGCGGTGGCAGGTCTCACGATGGTGCTTTGTTTGTGCGATGTTCTGGGTTAAAGAGTGCCTTGCCAGGTACGAAACTGAATACCGGTACCACCTACAGAACCTTCTGAGGGTTGGCCAAACTAAGTGTGTTTGCCTCCCTCTTTCCCACAGTCCTCTGGCAGGCAGAAGCTCTGACTCCCGTGCTACAGGTGGGTAAAGTGAGGCTCGGGGTGAAGCAGATTACATTCCAGACAGTAGCTGAGACCAGACCAGAACCTGGCTCTGTGATGTCAAAGCCTCGGCCTCTTTCCCCCACTCCCAGGATGTCATGTCCTGCTGTGACTTCCCCCTCAGGTTACAAGGGGAAGCACCCTGCTTGCCTCCTGCGCAGAGGGGGGCCCTGAGGCTGGAAGCGGTGCAGCTGCCCGGGCCTATGTCCCTCCTGCCAGGCCCAGCCGCCTGCCCTTGCCCCACAGCCCCAGCCCTTCCCCACTTTGCCCCACGGGCCGCACCGTCTGGGAAGTCAGGGTGGCAGAGCTGAAGGTCCTTGCAGGTGCGAGCAGGGTTCTGCTGCGTGCCCAGGGGCCGCTTCATCTGCTCGATCTCCAGCTTCAGGGAGTTGAGCGAGCCGAAGATCTCCTCCATGCCATCCGCATAGTCCATGTAGTTCTCGCCCGCCCCATCATCCAGCAGCTGGCTGGCGTCGATGTTCCGCCGGGTTCTGGATGCCTGGATGGGCAGGGGCTGGATGACCTCGCCTGGAGGGCCCTGGGTGTGAGAGAGGAACACAGGTGGGTGGGTGGGGGGACGAGATAGGGCTGGGCGGAAGCAAGGCTGGGACAGCCAGGCCGTGCCCGCAGGGCTCTCTGGGGCCCAGGGTCCTGTCTACCCTCTCTCCCCTCTTCCTGCCTCTGTGACGTCCTACACCCACTCACTGCCAGGCCTGGCCTGCCCTGAGGCCTTTCCTCCTTGACCCACAGCCCAGCTGCCCCTCCAGCCCAGCTCCTGTGCCACCTGGCCTCCAACTGCTTTTCTCCTCAGAGCCAACACCCAGCCTCCCACAGCCATGGGCCAGTTTGTGTGCATTCTAGGCTCAACTAGACTCGACGCCACTGGCTCTCCTCCTGCACGGGGCTGCACACAGTGGGGCAGCATTAATGCCTCTGTAGCCCAGCCCAGGGCTGCACACAGTGGGGCAGCATGAATGCGTGTAGATGAGAGGAGCCTTCACTTCCAGGGCTGCCAGGAGGCCCCGGCCAAGGGCAGGGGTGTGAGTCAGGGGGCTGCACCACCAAAGGGAGTGTCCGTGGAGCACTCAAGGCTCCCTGGCCCACCCTGGGGCTCCATCCTGCACCCTGGGGCCTTGCCTAGCACGGCCCCACCCGACCCTCCCTCCGCCCCCTACAGCAGCCGGCCTTCCCAGGGAGGGGTAGCCTGGGCGCTCTCTTTCCCTTGGCTCCATCCCAGGAACCGGCTTCCCCACCCTCCCACCCCCGGTCTCATGAGGTTTTGGGAGATGGACAGCACAGACTTTCCACAATTCCCCACCCCCTTCTGCATCTTCAAAGGCTGCTTACTGGTGGTCCGGGGGGTCCTGGGTGGCCTGCCTCACCCTTCGGGCCAGTTGGACCCTGGGGAAAAAGAAAAGAGAGCCAGCCCTGACCACTGAGGCCTGGTGTGACTTAAATCCACCTTGAGTTCTAGAATGTTCCCCTGTGGAGAAAGCAGAGGGACGAAGCCCTGAGGTGCCAGGGCAGGACCGCTGCTCCCCAGTCCCGGGTGTGAGAACCGGAGACCCCGAGGGGGGTACTTAGGTGGACAGGGCCCTTTCTGGGGAGGCAACTTGCCCTGCCCTCACCCTGGTCAGGCCGGCCTGGTGCTCAGGCCTCCGAGGGGAAGCAGGAGTCTTGGTGGGGTAGCAGTGGTCTCATCACTGGGGACACCCCCAAGGTGGAGGGGCCAGTTCAGGGGCGCACATCACTTACCGAGGAACCCTTAGCACCTTTTGGACCAGGAGGGCCCTGCAGAGAGGAAGGAGGGCATTGTGAGCGGACGGCCCGTCACTGTGGGGCCGCTGGCCCACAGACCCTCCCAGGCCTGGCCGTCACCCTCCTTGCCCTCTGTCCCCCCACTGCCCAGGAGTCTCTGCTTTCACCTGGGGAGGTGGCTGGTTCTCACCACATGGAGGTGGGAAGGGTCCTGTCTGCCCCAGGCACCCTCACTCCATCCCCCAGCTGGGAACCATAGTTCCGGGGACCCAGTGATCAGTCAGAGGGCACAGAGGGCATATGCCGGCCTGAGGCCCCGACACACGGCCCCCTCCAGCAGCTCCCAGCAGGGGCCAGTGTTAGATCAGACGAGGGCCACCAGGGATCCCGGCTGGGGGATGTGACTACTGGGTCTCCTAGTAACACAGGAGAGGCCCCAGAGGATGGGACCCCAACCGCTCCTGCCCGGGCTAGGCCAGCCCTACCCAGGCTGCTGTAGGGCAGGTATAGCAGCAGCAGCCCTCGGCTTCCCCAGAACGCCCACAGCGGAGCGCCCACGTGCCGGCAATGCCCCGCCTCCCCTGACCTGACCCAAGGCCCAGGGCCCTGGCTTCCTTGCTCTGTTCCTCGGAATCCAGATGTGGAGCTAACGACCAAAGCTACTCTGGGGCTGTGACCCTCACTCGGCTGTGGGCCCCAATCCCGGGGGTCTCTTGATGTTCCCACTTCCATGACTCTCCTGCTGCCACTGAGGCCCCCGGCCCAGCTCACCCACCTCCCTGCTCTCCCAGGAATAACCCGGGGCATCCACACCCCTTCCCACATACACACCGGCAAGCCAGGAGGGCCTGGGGGGCCGATGGGGCCGGAGGGCCCAGCAATACCCTGGAAAGGAGAACACAATTATCACCATCAGAAAAGGGGGTCCTAGAGACACTGCTGTCCTAGAGGCACACCTCTCAGCAACCCTGATAGGCACATCTGACGTGGGGCTGGCTGCACTCTCAGGGGGCCATCTCTCCTGAAGGGCCTGCCCATCCCCAAGGGACTGCTGAGAGCCCTTCTAATGTTCTAATTTGCAATATGGAAGTGATTGCTACAACACCCGGCCGCTGGCTTGCTCCTTACTGTTTTCCGTTCACGTGGTGGGTGTTCCCCCAGTGTGGGGGTCGGGACAGTGAGGGTCCTGGGGTCCTGCCCATCCCACCCGCCTGCCCAGCCTCTACACATGCTTCCCATGCTGGGACTGTGGCCTCTGATTCGAGCCTCCCTCCAGGTGGGCCAGGCCAGCCGGGGAGCGGGTGACTCCTGTCCGCATCACTTCCTGCACCTGTGCAGCGGGAGGGCTACGGGGAGGTTGGGGTGGATGGGGCAGGTTTTCCAGGGACGCCACCCCACCAACTTATAGGGCCCAGTGACAGTTCTACTTCATCCCCCTGCCTCCCGAGTCCTGACGCTTTCAGGTCAGGTGTAGGCTGAAGTGGGCACAGGTCAGGGGCACGTACGACCCCATCACACCTGGGTGGGGACACGGTGGTCCAGTTGTAGAATGAGGCCCTGTGGCCCTCCTGTGGGGAGGGCAAATCCACAGAAGGTCTGGGGAGGTGGGGCCTCCCTTGCTGCAGCCTCCATGGCATGCGTCACCCTCACTTGGCCCTGGGCTCTCTGCACCTGCCCTTCAGGAAGCCCCTTCAGCGGCCGCCAGGTACAGGGCACGGTGGGATGCCCAGGCTAAGCTTCTGTGCTGTGGTTAGCTGGGCGCTGCAAACTCCAATTAGCTATAGGTCGGTTGTGCACATCTGGGGTCAGGGTGGGAACCTAGCCCCACGTCTCTGGCAAACACGGCTGAGAATCACCAGGGACCTCCAGCAATTAGCTGGGTCAGGGTCTCTTGGTGACGTGGAAGAAATGACCTTCACCCCCGAAGCCACCACGGCAGCAAGGAGGGAGCACATGCCAGCGAGTCAGGGCCTGGGCTGGGCAACGGGTGGGCTGTGACCCCCCAGCTACACTCGTCTGCACCTGATGGGCACGAGGATACCCTCCCAGGCCACCGTGCCTCAGGTCGATTGGGCACTGAGGGCAGCTTTCTAATGCTGCTTATCTCCGCGAGGGGCTGTGCTGGGAGCGCCATCACACGCACCTGTTCTCCCTTAGGGCCAGAGGAGCCCTGGGGGCCGGGGAGACCACGGTCACCCTTTTCTCCCTGTTCTCCCGGAGGTCCAATGAGCCCGATCAAGCCTGGATGACCCTGTTGGCAAAGGCACGGGAGACTCGTGTGGCAGAGCGTCACGTCCAGCCATGCGGGCCAGCGTGACACGGCAGCAAGGCTGCGCCATGGTGCCAGAGTCACCACCCCGCATCCCCAGACAGGTAGGGGGACAGAACAGCAGGTCTGATATGGCACAAACTTGGTGAAAATCATTCCTAAGGAGAGAGACCCAGATGCTGACACAGACCAGAGTGATAACAGGGGCTTTCCTGTGTGATAATGTCTGTTTCCTACTTAGATGCATTTTTCAAGTTCTTTGTGTAAACATGCACACCTTTTGTTATAGGGACCAGAAACAGCACTTACGGACTTTTCCGGGAAGGAAGTTACAGAGTAGCATAGATACTATAATAATTTATGTTTTCTTAGAAGAAAAGTCCCTTACATATGCTGCATATATATGTTTCACATGAGCCGATAGAAAGTTCTGGAAGGGTTCCTCCAGCTTTCATTACAGGAGGTTGGGTGGAGGTGGTGATTGGCTTAGAGAAAGAAAAAGACTCCACAATCCTGGTTTATATGCAGCTGCTCAGCTTGTGGTTTCGCTTTATGTTTGTAAATAAATCGATGCTAGTAGAAAAAAAATCACCCCTAATTAGAGAAGATGGCAGGGCTTTGCCCGGCTGCAGTCTGCACACCCCTGTGGGAGGTCTGAGACCGCCATGTGCGGAACAAGCATGTTGCTCAGATCCTAGACGCCCTCCCACGGGACCTCTGTGCCCAGCTGGAATACCCCGCAGGGGCCGTGCGGGTCTGCAGCCGAGGACAGGGGCAGGCCCCAAACAGCCTGGGTCTGTGCTCTCACCACCTCTCAGGGGCCTGTGGATCACCACCCTGCTGGATTTGAGCTCTGTGTGTGAGGGCCCCGATTTACCACCCCAGAGGCCCCCGAGTCCCCTCTTACCTTTTCTCCTTTAGGGCCAGAATCTCCTTTGAGGCCAGGGAGTCCTGGAGGCCCCTGCAGAGGGAGGCAGCGGGGTCAGACTTCTCCTCCCCGATCCTACCCCCCACCCCACTGCCAGGGGAGCCCCTTAGGAACAGCACTCACCAAGGGGCCGGGGGGCCCGTCAGGGCCTGGGGATCCTGGGAGACCCTGCTCGCCCTGAAACACAGCCGGCCCTTGGCGTGAGCCCCTGAGCCTGTCTGCACCCCACGCGCCCCCTCAGCAGCAGCTGCCCACCCTGGGCTCCCCGCCCACTCACCACCGGGCCGGGGATCCCTCGCAGGCCATCAGGCCCCGGCTTCCCGGGGGCCCCCTGAGGGCCAATGGGGCCAGTCTTCCCGGGAGGGCCTTCCAAGCCAGCTTCTCCCTGCAGGGCAGGAAGGACGGAGGGTGGGACCCAGAGGCCTGGGGTGCCAGCCACCCTGATCCAGGACCCCTGCTCAGAAGCCCCAGGGGGGTCTGGAGAACCCAGAGGCCCCCACATTCCCCACATTCCTGCAGATGCCGTGCCAAGCAGGTCTCCCTCCCCCTAAGCTCAGCAAGCTGGGCTCCCCAGTCTCCCAGCCACCAGCCACCTGGATGGCAGGCACAGCCTGCTGGGTGGTCACGGCCAGCCCCAGCATGGGGTGGACACGGCGCCATTTCCTGAGCAGACACAGGGCTGGACGGTTTCCGCCCAGTCTCAGTTCATGACAGGGCATCTCCAAGGGAGACAAACGGTGCCAACCAGGATTGCTGGGAGAACGGTCCCACGAGAGCTCTGGGTACCCGGCCGCCTGCCAACTGCAGGCGCTGGGGGGCCACCTTCTCCGCAGCCCCAGTGGGCTGTCATCACCTCTGGACCGCAGGTGAGCAGCTGGGGTGCAGCCAGGTCAAGTGCCAGGCCCGGGGTCCCCAAGCACCCTGCTAGCCCCTTCCTCAGGTTGGCAGAACAGACAGACTGTGGTGCAGGAAACCTGGACACCAGCACCCCAGGGCACCGCCAAGCTGGTACCTTGGGAGAAGACGGATGCTTCGCCCCAGGCTTGCAGTGAGAACCCTGCCCCAAGTGGGCAGCCGCCAGCTCCTGCTGCCTCCCTGGCCTGCCTATGTCCACGCACGTCCCCACAGCCCGCCCAACTCAGCCCGCACAGAGTGGCCCCTCTGGAAGTCCTGGGTGCGGTCGGCTGGTCGGAAGCACGTTACCTTGGCCCCTTTCTCTCCCTGTCTGCCTTCAGGGCCTGCGGGGCCGGGGGGACCCTGGAACAAAGGCAAGGGAACAACACGTGACGAGGCGGCTCACAGCAGCCGGAGTGGTGAGCTCAGCGTCTGGGGAGAGATTGTCCTGGGCTCGGGGGAGGGCCGGGGAGGGCACGGCGGTGGCTCCCGGGCCTGGCCTGGCTCCCGGGCCCTGGCCTTAGAATGCATCCTGATGACTCCAGTTCTGGGTGAGGGCTCTGGGCAAGCTGGGGGGTGCCCTGGCCGCCGAGAGTGTCGGGGCCTCCTTCCGCTCACACACCCAGCAGCCCTGTTTTCTGCAGGGGGCTCTGTGCAAAGAAACACCTCTTAGCTCGTTCTGACTTTTCGGAAGGCCTGACCCGGGGAAAAGCAGCTTTTTCTGCTTTGTGGGTGTTTTTCCTCCCATGACAGGCTTTACTGATGGTGTCAGCAGCTGGCTGCCCCTAAAAGGAGAGGGCACATCAACCCAGCAGGTCTGAGATTGACGATGGGGCAGGAGTGGAGAACACACTTTGGATGGAAGCATCTCCTCATCTGTACTGCTTGGAGCACCCGGGGTCCACGCTGGAGGGCTGAGGGAGGGGCATGCTGCATGCAGAAGGCTGACAGGCGAGGGCAAGCTTGCAGAATTATTTACCCTTTTTCCTGGAGGTCCAGAAGGACCTGGTTCACCAGTAGGGCCGGGGGATCCCTGTTATCAGAGAAAGAACACAGAGTTTAGGAAGCAGAGTCTGCTAGACCGAGGAACAGCAGGTCTAAACCTAACAAAACACCCAATTTTCAATCTAATCTGTCCTGGGCTGTCCCAGAAACTGCCCCTCTCCTTTTCTGGAGCAGGCACAGGCGTCCCCAGCAGTTGCCCTAGAATTCTCTGCTCTGACCTCTGCACTCAGGGCTCTGGCTGCAAAGCTGGGGAATCCTGACTCAGTCCCATTTGCTGCATTTTGGAGGCAGACCGTCCCACCGCTTAGCAGTTTCTCTTGCTACTCAGAGACCCGCTCAGGCCAGGCCACTGCCTGCAGGCATCCCCTTCTAGAGAACTGGGAGGGCGAGTGTCATCCGGGTCACCCGCCAGGAAGCGGACACGGGCATCTCTCCAGATAGCCTGGCCTCATTGCTGGTGTCTCTAAACTCTGCGTGATGCTCACCTAAGATCATGACATCAGTGTGTGCCTGAGGGTCAGAAGTCCCCAGCAGCCATTTGCCATATTGGTGCAGGGTGGGGGGCAGGGAGAGCTGAGGTCGACACTGAGGAGTCCCACCCAGTGACCCAGACAGACTTGGCTGGAAGCAATGTTTCAAAAGCTCAGTGTAAGAGGCACCACCTAGTGTGATCTCAGCTCAAGGGGCTAACATGGCACATGGCAAGAGCCTTTTAGATCCGATTCAGCAGAAATAAGGTAACCCTGGCATTCATGGGTGGGCATCGGGGCGGGTCACGGACTCCCTGGCTGGCGCTGTACACAACCACTGCTCTGGCCATAAGCACATTTCCCCTTCTGGGAAGAGACTCCCCAGCTTTCAGCAGATCCTCACAGGGCGCTGTCACAGTTAAGAGTCAATATCATAAATGACAGAGTTTGGGTTTTTCTCAGAAACGAACAAAACAAGTTGCAAATCCCCAGAACACATGATGCCCTCCACCAAGCAGCCAGGTCGGGATGCCTAAAGGTCCCGAGCAGGCTCACCGTTTGTCCGGTCTCGCCGTCATCACCTTTGTCACCAGGGGGACCATCCTGACCCTGTGGGGACGAAAAGCAAGTGCGTTCTGCCCCTTGGACGGACGGCACCCTGAATTCACGAACCAACGCCCGGTGTGGCCCCAGTCCCTTCCCAGAAATCTGACTTTATCTTGTGGCCGGGACATAGTGTGTTCAAATGTGGGAAATGCACCCATCTCACCACCAGGACACGGGGTCCTTTGGGAGAGCGCTGTATCCCAAAGAAAATACACGAGAAAAATCAGAAAGAGAAAATGGGGCTGGCAAAGCCAGGTCAGGGCTGTGGGGCACCAGGGGATCCTGCAGCCTTGAGCACCTACCGCGGGGCCGGGCTCTCCGGGGGGACCAGGATCTCCAGGGAAACCAACCGGACCCTGAAACACAGAAAGTGGCATGGGCAGGCACTAGGGCCACCAGCCTAGAGCGGACGCTTCCCGCCCACACCTGCTGCCCTCCAACTCTACAGCCGTCTAACAGTTCCGACACTGGCAGTGCACACAACCCCCAGGGCCCTTTCTCAGACACCATCTCTCTTCTGCAACAGGCCTGGCATCAGGGAAGGCGGATCAATCCTCCTGCTTCTGGGAGGCCCCCAAAGGGCAGGCATCTTGCCCACAGCTTCTGGAGCTCCAGGCTGAGACTGGAATCAGGACCTTTCGTCTTCTAGGACATGCTGCCTACAAGCCCCTCCTGATGCAAAACCGGGGCAGGCCACAGGGAGGGGCAGCGTGCACAAGCCACTCAGCCCGGCAGCACCCTGAGGGCCGCCCTCCCCTCAGCTGCTCTGTCCTGCCCCCGTCCTGCCGGCTCTGCCGCTGGCCTGAACATCTCTACACTACAGAGAAATTAACCCAAAGCTTGTAAGGTGAGGGAGCTTTAGCGCACGGCTGCTGAACGGAAATGGGCCCGGTGCAGGAGTGCAGGGGCCCTGGCCCCTGCTGGGTCCCCGCGGCATCGCGGAGCTACTCACGGGGCTGCCCTTGGGGCCGTCGTCTCCAGGCGGGCCCTTGGGTCCCGGGGGTCCTGCAGCGCCAGAAGGGCCTGACTCGCCCTTCTCTCCCCTCTCTCCTTTTGGTCCCTGCAGGGAAGGCCCAGGTCTGTGTTTTCAGAGCCAACCTCCCAGCTTCCTGGAGCGAGGTGCTGGCAGGAGGCACATTCCCGTTCATAGGGTGTGGGAAGGGAGCGCCCTGACCAGGCGCCTGGCCCCCTGGCACAGCTGCTCAGCTCCCATGACAGTCTGGCTTCCCCAGGGGCACAGGCCTGAGGAGCCCCGTGGCTTTCTGGGGCTGAGACTCAGCTCCTAGGTGGGAGGGGCTGACTTCTGATCTACACAGCAGATGGCGCGGACCTCGAGGGGCTGCAGGGACCCAGGCCACCCACCCACCCTGGGGCTCACAGGTGGGGGGAGCGCCTAGAACCCAGGAGACCTTTGTCCACCAGCTGCCTCCTGGGCCTGAAAGCCTCCTACAGGCAGCCTGGAAAGGGTGCTCATCTGACTCACAAAAGCCTGAATATCCTCTGGGCAGACAAGGGGACAACAGTCACCCCCACACTAATGGTCACCCATGAAAGGGTCTGGACCACAGATGACAGAGCAACACACAGACATTAAGCCATGGGTGATCACTGCAAACACCTGGAAACATGACATGTGCAAACATGAGTGCACACATGTGCATGCACACACACATGTATGACACACATACACGTGCATGCACACCGGTGTGCACTCATCACCATGTACATATGCGCACACGTGCACACGTGTGCACACTTCCACAAGCATGCACACATTCACACAAGCACACCTGCTCATCCCTTTCACACTCCTCTTTTAACAGTAATTTTGTGAGGTGAGCATAAGGGGAGACACAACTCCCATTTCATGGGTGGGAAAACTGAGGCAAGTGAGTGATTCCAGCCACACCTGCCCAGGGTCAATCCGCCCCTCCCCCAAAGCCTCTCACTCACCGGGGGGCCCCCTTCACCAGGAAGGCCAGGCTCTCCAGCTTCGCCAGGTTCACCCTGAAGAGGAGACGTGACTGGTTATGGCAGCGAGGACAGCGGCCCCAGCTCTGAGCATTTGCCAAATCCTCTCTGCTACTGGGCGCCGGGGCTGGGGGACCTAGGAGGGGCGGCCAGCTGCAACTGTCCTCTCAGGGCCCCCAGGATTGGAGGGAAGGCACAGCCATGTCAGGGATACAGCGGAGGCAGTGACAGACGGAGGCCATGAGTGATGGGTACAGGGGGGGGTGCCCAGGGGACATGGGGGTGTCATGGTGCCTTTCCTGAGGAGGGGGCACTCCAGGTGCATTTGGAGGAGAATCATGGAAGGGAGGGGGTGGGAAAGCATGACAGGCGGGGGGAGCCAGGGGGATGAGCACAAGATCCTCTGGGATAAGGGGGTGTGGGGTGGCAGATGAAGCTGGGGTGCATGCCGGCAGCAGGGGCACCGAGAGAGGTGCCTCTGAGTGAAAGTAGCGCATCATTAATTTGCGGTCCCAGTAGGTGTATTTCCCAGTAATTTTCATACAGTTAAGAAATGAGCAGTGATGGAAGGCTTCTTCCAATTTAGTGGACTGATGTCAGAAACAAAGTTCTGGACATGGTGTACAGGGAATGCAAATGCACAAAGCTCAGGCATTTCTTTCCTTTGATCCTAAGCAACCAGGATAAGGGCTTTGAAAGTAGCGTGAATGCATGAGACCTGAGAGGGAGTCTGTTTTGGCCCCATTATGCCCACCATGCCCGTGCTTGCAGGCATACACACACCACATACACACAGAGGCCACCGTGCCCACTGAGTCACCTGCGGGACCCAGGCCCCGACGGATTGGAGCAGACAAAGAGGAATCCCGGCTAAGAGAAGACAGGATGTGACTGAAATGGAAACTCTAGTCGTGTGCCTCTAGCATGTCAAGGAACAGATGATTCCATCGTTCAGAGCTAAATCTGGGAGAGGATGGCAAGGCCTTTGCTGGCGGTTGTAGGGTGCAGAAATTCTGCAAAAGGCTGTCACAGACAAAGATGTGGGAGCCCCCAGCTCCGCTGTACGGGTCTTCTAAGTTTCAAGATGCATTTGACAGGAATGGCCTAGCAGCACCCCTGTACATGTCGGTATATCCAGCTGGACACGTGGACACACACAGACACACACACCCCCTGGTTCTCGCCCCACACTCACACACCGGGCACTGGGCCGGTTAAGGGGCATGACTCACCTTCTCTCCCACAGCACCAGGATTGCCGATTCCACCTGGGGGGCCCTGAGGCCCGTCAGCACCTGGAGCTCCGGAGGGCCCTCGGGGGCCGGGGGGACCGGGAGGGCCCTGGGAGAAGGAAAGTCATTGAGCACAGAGAAAATGCAAACATTTGCCAGAAAAGAACCCAGCTGCCACTGCCAGGCCTCAGTGTCGCCATCACACTCACCATCTGACCCACGTCGCCCGTCTCGCCCTTCTCTCCTGGGGGTCCCGGCAGGCCCTGAGGGTGGGGATGTGTCAGAATCTCAGCCAGTCAGCACGGCTCTATCCAATCAATACACACACAACTCCCACTGTCCCCCAACACGAGGCCAAGCCTCCAAAAGACCCTGGCACGGCATGTGTACAGCTACATGTGAGGACGTCCCCAGGATTCTCAGCATTAGCCCAAGGAAATCGTGAGAAAACAATGCAAAGATTTATGGACAAGGGTGCTTATTGCCGCGTCCCATAGACAATAAAAGCTAATGAGCCCGACAAAAGCAGGGCGATGTTCGAGTGTTATATCACCACCATATGCTGACATACTATGCAGGACTGAAAATCATGTTTTCAAAAATAAAAAGTGACACCTTCAAAGAATATCTAATCACACTGCACATGACTCATACAATGGGGAAGCCAGGGACAGGCTTTGTATACACACAACATGATTCAGGTTGTGCAAAAAGCAAATACAATTACACCCGTGCATGAGATGGAGCCAGACACTGGCGTTTGTTGTTCTGTGTGGTGTTTCAGAAGTCATTTTTGTTCTCTTTTCTTACAATTTAGTGGCCATTTCCAACATTTCTACAACGAGGATGGACATAAATGTCACTGGTTAAGAGAAGTAAATGTGGGCACAGCTGCTCAGGGAGCCCACAGTTCTTCTAATTCAGGGGGAAGCCCCTGCTGCCCAGCCTTAGTTTCCTCCTTGGAAGCCAGGAGGGGAGGGGAGGGGAGGGTGAAGGAGGGCAGGAGAGGGCAAGGGGAGGGAGGAGCAGGCAAGGGTGCAGGAGCCATCAAAGGAAACCCCAGCCATGGTAAGCTGCCGTTACCTGCAGCCCCACGGGCCCGGGGGGTCCATGAAAACCTCTTGGACCCTCGTCACCTTTCTGCCCAAAAAGGCCCTGCTGGCCTCGGGGACCAGGCTCGCCGTCAGCTCCCTGCAGGGACACAAATGGGCAGAGGTGAGGCCAGTTCCCGGCTCTGTACCCGCACTTCCTGAGGGTCCCCAACCACGGATACTCACGGCAGGGCCTGGCTGTCCAATGGGACCTTGGGGACCTGTAGGCCCAGGTGGACCCTGTGGAGAGAAAACAGAGACACAGCTGCTTCCCGAATCACAGCTGAGGCAGAGGGAGGGGGCCGGCCAGCACGCCCTGGGGCAGTGTGTACGGGGCCATCAGGTCAGTCCCCACGTCCTGCAAGCCACCTGCAGGCTCTAGAGCTGGCGATGCTCTTGGCTGAACCCCAAGCATGTTGTCATGAGTAGCCGGCGTGGCTGCCACCCATGTCCCCCCCTCCCCCGTGCATCCTCTGGGCTCCCAAAGCTCCCACGTCACAGGCCCCAGAAGACCGTGCAGCTCGTCCACGGCCCAGCTGGGCCGGACCCCAGAGTTCACGCTGCGCACGGAGACATCCCGCCCCCACGGTCCCTACCAGGCTGTCAGCACAGGGAGCACGGGAGGGGCCGGCAAAGGGGGCAGCAGGCGCCCCTGTCCTGGGGTACCTGGGCCGCACAGGGCGGCAGCTGCGTGAGGACAGAGTCACTGGCTGCCTGGGACAGGGACCCCTGCTGGCAGGCATGGCCACGCAGCAGAAAGGGCACATTCCATAGGCCCCAGGGAGGAGCTGGCAGCTGAATGCCTGGGCTTCTGCAAGAACACACTAGCGCTTCTGAGCGGCTCTTTTTAAGTGAGGGGAAAACCAAGAGGCGTTGGCCGAGGTGCTACCCCCGTGGGAGTGTTCTGCAGCCCTCAGATGGGAGGGTGGTGGTTATACCTGGGAGGTGAAACCCCGAGGACAAAATGCTGGACTTGCCTTATTTCATGAGCTGTAGGAAGGCTTCCTGTTTGTTTGCAAGGGGCTCGCTCACAGATGCACATGGATATATACCCAAACATGCCTGTGCGTGTGCCCACGCATGCCCACACATGCCCATGCCAGGTAAGACAGGGGAGGAAAGCCCACCAGCTGTGTCCCATCAGCTCTTGGTTATTGACGTTGCCACATCAGTAACAGTGGTCGACACCAGCGGTGACCGTGCACCCCACCCCGCCCTGCCCTGGCCGTGGCTCGCCCGCCTGGCCTTACCTGTTCGCCTTTGTCCCCCTTGCTCCCCTTCTGTCCTGGCTCCCCAATCTCGCCCTGTGGGAAGACGTGGAAGGTCCTTAGCCAGCCCATCACCACTGGATGTTACCTGCTCTCCGTAGTTAATTCTTCCTGGAGATTTATGATAACCTCTGCAGAGGGCCCCATGACTCCCCAAGGAAGACACGTTCCTATATATTAATTGGGCTTCCTCTTTGATATGGGCGCTCCAAGTCTGAGGCTTTGATCTCGCACCACACAGAATTTCAGTACGTTTGAAAATGTGGAAAAAGTCATCATGAAAATATTTGCTTTGTTTGTCTAGTTGGATGACAAGATGAGGCGGTAACAGACAGATCAATTACTGTGTTTCCAAATAAGTTATTAAACTCTGTCCAGTTTCTGCTGTGCAGGGCTGCCTTCCACCCCAAGAGGCCAGGCCCATCTATGCAGAGGTGACAAAGTCGGAAATGTCACTGGAGAGTTATCACACATGGGAAGTTATGTCGAAGAACTCAATCTCACTGTCTTCATTACATGACCTATAAGGTAGCTATTGCGGCCACACGCTGGAATGAGAAGGCGCGCTCCTACCGAAGGGTGCTTCGGCAGCCCAAGGAAAGACATTTAAAAAACAAATGTCGAGTAAAGCCTCATTAAGTCAGGCTCCACAGTTTGAGAATTTGAAGTGACGCAGAGGACAGCAGCGAGGCTTTTCCCTGCTCCGGCTACTCACAGCCGCTGTCCTGGGCAATGCCGGAACCGCCAGGAGGCTGGAGGCTCCCATGCTCCACGTGTGCCAGAGACCTCCCACGTTGCTGCTTATGGGCTCGCCGCACCCTCGGTTTACAGTGACCGCCTGGGCTGCAGCCTGCCAGCCTGGTGCCAAGCCTGCACCGTCAGGGGCGGGGGGACGTCCCCAAGTTCTCCTACCTTATCTCCATCTTCTCCAGGGGGCCCCACAGGGCCAGCTGGACCAGGGAGCCCCACAGGGCCCTGGAGACCATCTCGGCCAGCCGGGCCTTGTGGACCTTTCTCGCCCTGAAAAGGAGAGATCCCCGGTCAAACACAGCTCTACCATAGGAGCACCCCAACACCATCCCGTGCCCTCAGAGAGAGGCCGTGACCCCCACCAGAGCCCTGATGGATTTCAGCGAGGCACACCGAGGGGGGCACCCCTTGCCATGAATCGCTGCGTTTAATCCATTTAACCATCCTAGGTAGGGCTAGTCTTTTCCAGATGGGGAACCTGAGGCATGATTTGCGAACAGTAGGCTGAGGATTCAGACCCAAGCGGGCTCCCCTTTCTCCCAAGAGATGCACAGAACCAGGGTGCATACACTGGGGATGAGGACACAGAAGACTGTGGCCAGCACCTCGTGGTATGTCACCGCCCCATTCAATGCTTCCTGCCTGCACAATTCACTTCCTGCGCCTCAATTTAGTTCCTGCTAATGTAAATTCCTGCCCTAATTAAGCCAGAAAATGCCCAGGCTAACTGGCTTGTCTGGCACTTTCCCATCTGACATTACTGGTCGGGACGGTAATGCTTGGAGACGCCTGACCTTTTCTTGGCCTGTTCCTCTCTGGAGATTTTCTGGGAGAATGACAAGCTTTTAACTGGATAGTGCAACTCTCAGGAGGTTTCTGCTCAAATATTTACTGTCTTGAAACAAGGAACCCAGCTGAACTTGCGAGCGCTCTGCAGGGACGGGACGCCGGACGGGAGCCAGGTGTCTGGCGCAGAGACAGGGGAAACAACGTCCTGGGTGCCTCCCCAGAAACGATCAGACACTATCAGAATTGCCATCTGGTGGCACAGAGGCCCCCAATGTGGTTTCAATGGGGAGGTCTCCCCCAGGGAAGGCAGGGCCCTCTTCTACCCCTGAGCCATGGAAAGTGAGGCACACAGAAGAACTCGGCCTTTCTAACGGGAATCAGTCAGCAAGCCGTCTTAACTCAGTGTGAGACGGTCCGTGAGGACCCGTGCCCTCCCCCGGGGCCCCGGGCCCATTCTAACATGTAATTCAGAAGGGAAGTCTGAAATGAAATCTGTCTCCTCGGTTTCAGGAAGACCGGCTGCTTGTGGGGACCACTCGGGGTCACTGAGGCTGTGGGTGGGGGTCCAGGGAGAAGCCTCCTCCATCACACACCCCAGTCCATCCTGCTCTGCGGCTGCCCCTGCCCAGGAGGGGAGGGCCATCCTGAGACCTGCCCTTCTGACGCAAGCCCCGTGTGGGCTCGGGCCCACAGGGAGGGGCCATGGCCGTGCACAGGCAGCCCCCAGAGCCTGTACGGAGGCCAGGGCCCTGGCCACGTTTGGGCACAGACTGTCTCAGCCTCTCCCTGTCTGCACATGCTGGGGCCTAACTGTGCAGGTGTGACAGGCTGAGCCGTGGCTGGGGACCTCCCCGAGCACCCTCCAGCTCAGGCGACTCGCTGGAAGAAGCTGGCCTGGGGTGGCAATTCGCCCGCAGTGGGAACTGGCCCTGGGACCATAGTCAGGATGCCTGGGAGCAGGCACAAGCTCTACCCACCTTCCCCAGCCTGCATCCCCGGGAAACGCCCATGGGAGGGACGGCTCAGGGCAGGGACGAGGGGGGCATGGGGGACCCCAGGGCCTCTGAGGTGGTACTTACAGGAGCTCCTTTCTCCCCAGCCGGCCCGGGAGGCCCCTGGGGCCCAGGTCTGCCAGGAATGCCAATGGGCCCTGCCGCACCAGCTGGACCTCTCTCCCCTGGAGATCCCTGGGGTGGGGCAAGAAAATGGTTCATTCAAAGGCTCTCAGGCGGCATGGACAGGACTTCCTATGGCACCCCCCATTTATGCCCTTGCCCCTCACTCCAGAGCCTCCTGTGGCTCCCCAGGCCCTGGCGGGCTCGGATGGTTGGGCCTGGCACTCGAGGCTCTGTCCTGTGGCCCTCTCAGCTCTTCCCCTCCTGTAATTACAGGTGTACATTTGCCCCCAGCATGTCTGAGATACATTCTCCTCAAGCATTTCCTGGAACTGTCTTCTCTTCCTGGGGCTGGGGGGACTGGGCCTATTTCTTGGGTAGCACCCAGAGGCCACTGTTGCCTGGTGTGTTGTCCTGCAAACGCCTTCATCAGAGGGAAAGGCTCTGTTTGAATCCCCACATGCCTCACAGTTTTCCCCTTACTCAAGTGGCCAGTGACTCAGTTAGGGGGAGGAGTCCCCTCTCAAAGCCAGCCTGGGGCCTCGGGCAGCTCCTGGGGCCCCGCATCCACACAGTTGTGGGGAGTCAGATCAGCCCCTTTGAGAGGCAGGGGAGGAAAAGTACGTGTTACATTTCCATGAAGCGTCAGCCAAGAATGGGGTGGGGGCAGAGGGGGTATTCTGCAGGCACATGTCTTGGGGTGGACACAACCTCACGTGGCCCCAATTGCCCCAGAGTACAGCTCAGGATCTGGGAACGCTGAATCTGTAGGCCTCTCATTGCTAGAACCCTAAATCAGAGCGGGATTATTCAGGTTAACAGACAGCCAGGGAGGAATCCCTTGACCCCCAGCTCTGGGGCACAGGTCCCCCGTCTGGGCTGGCTCACTTCTGCCCTGGGCATTCGAACAGCCCAACTCTACAGTCCACGCTTGGAGGCAATGGAGACCTGCGCCCATTCCCCTGCTGGCAGCCTCAGCCAGACCACATAAGCATGTCAGCTTACCCCTTACTCCTGCTTGGGCATGGTGGGAACCCTCTGCCCTCCCTCCAAGCACCTAGCTCTCCACCCTCCTCATACAACATGCCCTGGCACCTTATCACCCTACTGCCAGCTCAGGATACACAGCACATCCCACCCACGTCCGTCTCCTCCCCCACAGCCTGCCTAGGACCCAGGTGGGCCAGGGCAGGTACGTATGCTCCCCTGGCCCTTGAGACCACCCCTCTTGCCTACAGGGGAGGTTTTGAGCAAAAAGGTGGGATAAAAGGCATTGTGCTGGGCAGCACCACTCACCGCAGGGCCAGGTGGGCCGGGGGGGCCTTCGCTGCCTTTCAGGCCAAGTGCTCCCTGCAAAGAAACAGTGTGGTCAGGGGCACTGCAGGGGGAGGCTCCCAGGGCTGAGCAGTGCCCCACTCCTTCCCACACCCGGTCCCCCACTCACCACTGGGCCAGGAAGCCCTCGATCACCAGGGAAGCCGCGGAGGCCTGGAGGGCCGTCTTTCCCAGGGAGGCCGGCGGGACCTGGGTCACCCTGAAATCAGAGCCATAGACTATCTTATGAGTGATGCCCAGGGTCCCAGAGAGCAGGGGGAGGGCTTTCTCTCCCAGACTCGCCTGGGATCGGGGCTGGAGGGGGCTTCCCGGGGCCCCGGGCTTTAAAAGGGACTCTGAGTGCTACCGCGGCTCCGTGCCCGGGAGGCGCACGAGGCAGGCTGGCTGTGTGTGGTTTGGGGATGGCCAACATGCACCACCTGAGCATATACCTTCCCTGGGGTACATTAAGGCTTTGATATCTCCCCAGAATTTTCTCTGGGGTCCACCATGGATGCAGAGCCCGTTTTCCAAACCAGAGAGCTCCCTTTGTGACCGGGAGAGATGGTATCTGCACCTCCATTTCTATCTCTCTATATTAGGCACACACATATGTATTTTTTTCAAGTATGTATCTGTGTATTCAAGTACATGTACACGCATACACGTGTGTGTACCTTCTTCAGTATTTCTTCATCGGCCCTACTTTATTCTCCTGGGTGTGGTCATAGGAAGGGCTGGGTTCCTGTGCCCCCGATGGGCTGTTCATTCTCAGGCTGACACAGGCAGCACGAGTGTGAGGGGCGGGGCAGGGGGGGCACAGGCCTCCTGGGGAAGGGGGAGGAGGCGGTCCTGACCCCCAGAGGCCAGACAGAAGCGCATCGCTTCCTACCCCTCTCATTTATTCTTGAGCCTCTTACAGTGGGACTGCTTTTAAAGGGTTACTTTCTGCCTGGTTTGTTTGGACACGAGGTGTTGGACGTTTCATGTGTTTCTGGTAGCAGGCCTGGCGGCAGGGGGTAGGAAGGATACTTTGGCCCCAGCCCCCGTGACCGCCCGTCGCAGGGAGCTGGCTCACGTTCATCTTCCTGCAAACCCAGCGGAAGCTTGGCGGGTGGGTAGCGCGAAGAACATTTGAGAAACTACCCACCCATCAAAACACTAGGCGAAGCCAAGGCCCTGGAACAGCCCCTTAGGGCAGGTCTGAGTGACTCACCTTTGTCCCTTCTTTCCCGGCAAGGCCCGGGAGCCCCTGTTCACCAGGCGGGCCTGGAGGCCCGGGGTGGCCACGCTCGCCCATTGGACCAGTTTCTCCAGTGGGACCCTGCGGGGAAAATCAGCACAAGCCACCAAACTTTTCGAGGGACATGCAAATAGCTAAACTTCTTTTCCTAAATCTAAGGATAGCCCAGGCCACGGGGGCGAAGGCCCACCAGGCCCCCGCATTCCTCTGCAAGGCCTCTGCTCCCAGTATAAAACCAGCAAGGAGGTCAGAGGATGCTGTCGCACCGTCCGCTGCACAGCCCTCTGGGGAAGGAGGAGGCGGGGCCTGCGTCTCCCGGGGTGTGCTGGGAAGTGTGTGCAGCGGGCACTGGCCAAATCAGCACCAGGTATGGGATGCCCATGTTTCCTGCAGTCCCTGGCCGAGGTGGGGCAGTAGCTTATTCACAGCTAATCAGGTGTGAACCTTCCCAGAAACGAGGTGGTGGCTGCTCTGAGCCACCCCCTCATTCACCTGCCGGCCCGTGCAGCGGCAGGCCCGTGGCACTGCTCGGATGCCAGGGCCAGAGAGCCTGCTGTGGACGCCGGCCAGGGAAGGCGGGCACAGCTGGGCCCTGCCCTGGGGTGGAAACCAGGCTGCTGAGCCACACGGTCGAGCCCCAGCCTGGCTCTGCCTGCCAGTTCGTGCTGACCGTGCAGTGGCTCCTGCCCTCCCTCTGCCCAGCCGTCCTGTACGGAGCACGTCTCCGAATGCTGACAAGCGCTGTGGGCCTTAGGGTTGCCCTCCAGGAGCCGACCCAGTGCCACAATCCCGTCTCCTGTGGGACCCAGGGGCGCTGCATCTCACCTGCGGGCCGACCACTCCCGGGGGGCCTGGCGGGCCGGTCTTGCCTTGGAAACCCTGCAAAGAGAGAGTGGTCACACCGAGGTGGCCGAGGGCCCCCGGGGGGCGTGGCGGCTCTCGGTGAAGGCTCGCGCGCCCACCCACCCCAGCCCCGAATAGTGAATGTTCAGGGTTCACTGGAGGGGGCCTGTTTCTCCCATTTCATTTGCGCATTAATCCAGAAGATAATGAAGCCAGATGAGGCAGTTTCACTAGCTGCTTCCCATCGCCGTGTCTCTGTGCTAAGAAACCGTTCTCTCTTCTTAAAGCCGCTCATCTTCAGGACGTCACTACGTGTTCGTTTTCCCCGCTGCCAGAAGCCAGACGTGGGAGCTGCCTCCGGGCTGTGCCTCATTAGCCACTTTGTGGAGATGGTCCTGCTGGTGTCCGGGTCCCACTGTGGCACGGCAGGGGGGTCACCAGCGTGCTCCTCGGCCCTGAGATCAGGAAGTCGCAAGGACTTGATACTTTCATAACCCGGCAGCTTGGGTGTGTCACTAGTGTGATTCAATGGGTCTTTCTCATTTCTGCTCTGTACGCTGGTGCATATGTGCCAATCCTGGCTCACTCTGGGCATGGGCTGCGCAGTCCATACTCCCCTTCCAGGACAGAGCTGGGTGTAAGGCAATGCAAGCTTAGTTTCCTGGAGCATCTACAGAGCGTGGCGCATGCTGAGATGCCATCTGCAGGTGCCATGTGGCGCTGGGGCAGTGCACGGATGCTACACGCAGACGGAAGCTCTAGGGTCTAAAGAGGAAAGCGGCTGGCTTCAAGACCACAGCGGACCTGGGGGTGAGCGGCCCAGCCTGGCTGACGGGCGAGGGCAGCTCAGGGCTTCCCTGTCAGGGTGGCTGACACGCAGGCCTTGGAGGTTCCCCCGCAGCCGCCAGGCCCTGTAAGCAGAGCAGGTTCAGCTTCTGCGCCGACCCTAGGAGGGCTCTCTTTAGGCCCAGCTGACTTGCAAGCTATGAACTAAAATGGTCATTTTTATTGCAGTATTCTCTGTAGGCAGCATTTACAGGGAGAGAAACAAGGGATAGTGGGCAGGTGGATGGCACCCTGCTTGGTGGGCCGTGGTGGAAGTGCCCAAGTGGAGGCAGGAGCCTGGGGGTGAGGTAAGGAAGATTCTGCTTGGCCATGGTTGGGCACCATCCTTGGCGGCCGAGGGTGAAGCCCACCCGTAGCCCTTGCTGAGATATGGGCTTTGGGCTCGTGTTTAGAAGGACTGCATTCCTGTGCTTACAATTTCTAAGGAAAGAACAGTGTTGTGACCCCGGTGTGTCTGCACTCCCCACGGTGGGGACACCTGTGCCAGGTGGGGCTGGGGTGCCCCCGGGTCTGAGGGCAGCCAGGCGTGGCAGAGACAGTTGGAAAGGACCTGTGTCACCTTCCCAGCAAAGATGAGCAGCTTAATTATTTTACCAGCCTCTTTCCAAAGTTAGAGGGAGAAAAGCCCACCGCCAGGCCTTCTATCCTGCCTCCTCAGGATGGCATCAGAAAGGAATGTGCAGAGCTCAAGATATGTTTTAATTTTTCTCTGTAAACAAAACAGCGAAGCAATCTCCATTTATCAGCCACCATGTTCTTCGCAGCACAACACTGGGAAGGTATAATTAAAGGGGTTTCATCACCATGAACCAGAGACACACAGGGATTTTTTAAAAAATTCAGCACAAGAGTGTATTAACTCTGGCATCCAAATCCTCCATCCACGAGGACCCTGCAGGGACCTTTGCCCACAAGGAACCCGGCTGCAGAGACAAAGAGGCCTTTCCATCAACCTGCACCAGTCTGCTGGCAAGGGGGTCACCAGGCACGGCATGCCCCCAGTTCCCTGGAGCCACAGGGTCGCAGGGGCCCACACCCTGCACCAGGACGCCTCTACAGTGGCCACAGCGTGGAGCTGAGCCAATGTCACATGGTGCATGGGGCCAGGAAATGATCACATTTCTGATAAAGGCATTTCCTCCAGATAAAAATGTCGGAGTCTTTAGTGTCCAGCTGACAAAGCCTATAGCGGGCACTTCCAAAGGGAGGGGCGAGCTCCAAGGTGAGCCCTTGATGGCAGAGACCACGGGCATGAGCACAGCCGAGCAGCCAAATTTGAGTCCAGCTGGCTGCCCGCCTCCCTTACCGTAGAGAGGAAGTCGAAGGAGCCCTAGACCCCCAGCAGCAACCCTGACGCAGGAAGGACCTGGACAGACAAGGCTGGGGTCCGTGCAACGCCCACATCCCTTCTCCTGAGGTTTTACAGCATGAAACGATTGAATGACCAGGTGGAAATGAAGAACCTTTGCAGCCACTTTCCCAGTTTGAATGCAGGCCGTTCAAGCTAGGCCGCACTCAGAATTATTCTGTAGGAAAGAAAGGCTGGCTGCCTGAGGTTCCAGGGTGCCCATGGCATTTTGTTTGCATCACGGTGGTTTTAAATGGGACTTGGCCGAGTTGCTGGGACAAGTTTGAAGGCGGCACCTGACTTCTGTACAGAGATGTCGCAGGGGCTGGTGACCTGCTCAGGGCTCTTCCCAAGGGATGAAGATGGCCTGGACCTTGGGGGCCTTCCTGAAGCCAACCACGCTCTCCCAAGCCAAACGGGCAGCTGTGGGACAGGCCGGGCTGTGCGCATCTCTGTGTCCGCCAGCACTGCCAGTACTCACCGTCTCTCCCCTCTGTCCTGGGTGTCCTGGGAGTCCGTCCTTGCCCGGAGGGCCCTGCACAAGCAACGGAAAGAAGTTTCAGTCCTGAGGAGCACCTTCAGGACTTAATGCCACACCAGGTGACAGAAATTACCATTTCATTTCGAAGGTGATCACAGTTCAGTTGTGGGGACAAAGTACCACGCAGTGGCCTGGACCCTGGCATCATGTCCTGAACACTCACGCCCAGCCTGAGGGCACCCTGCTGGCACCCTCATCTCCCGCGGGAGAGACGGAGGCAGAGGGAGGTCAGCCAGCCCTGAGCTCCAGCCGCAGGAGGTGCGGGTGGCACGGGGACCAGGTCGGCCCGGTTCGGGCTCCAGCTCTCCCTAACTGCTGCCTTCTAGGGCATCCTGCTAGGCAGCAGCTCCCAGCATTGGACGGGTTTTCCTTCTAGCCAGGTATGGGAGGAAGTATATCGTACCTGGGGATGAGGGGCGCTGTACTGTGTCCCCAGAAAAGAAAGGTTGGGACCCTAACCCCCGGAACCCGGGAACGTGGCCGCATTCGGAAACTGGGTCTGTACAGATGTAATCAAAGCAACGTGAGGTCTGACGGGATCAGGGTGGGCCTACATCCAAGGACTGGCGTCCTTACAAAAAAATAGAGGTTGAGGACCCAGAGAGCCCGAGAGGAGTGGGCCATGGGAAGGTGGGACGGAAGCTGGGGCGAAGGCGCTAGGCCAAGGATGGCTGGCGACCCCCGGGAGCTGGGAGGGGGTGTGGAGCGGATCCTCTCCCAGAGCCTCGGGATGGAACCAGCCCTGCGACACCTTGAGTTTGGACGTGTGGCCTCTGGGTGTGAGGGGATGAGTTCTTGTTGTTTTGAGCTGCTATCTCGGTGGTATGTGTTATGGCAGCCCTGGCAGACTCATACCCACCTGGAAAACCACCACAAACTTAACGAAGCAGCTCCCAGCAGCCAGTTTCCCACCCACCTCCCTGCCCCACCTGCTGTGCAGGCTGCGCAGCCCAGGGGAGGCGAATGCTCCCGGAACCCCTGTGCCAGGCCCGCCCAACAGGGAAACAGGGTACTTACAGGGGGGCCCTTAGGTCCAGGAAACCCCGTGGGTCCTTGGGGTCCGTTGGGTCCCTGGGGACAGAGAATGGCCAGCCTGAGGACAGATGCCCCTTCCCAGCGCGTGGGGCCGGCAGCTCCCACCAGACTCTTTCTGCGTTGCTGGTTCTCTGGGCAGTTTCCTCTCCCGGGCCCTTTGCTCCATTTGTCCCGGCCACTGCCTCCCCGCATCACCAGTGTGGAAAAGGGGGCCCACAGGGGAGCCAAGGAGGCCAGCACGGGGCCCATCCCGGCAGCTACCTCCTGAACCCCAAGGCCAGGGCCAAGTGGATGGGGTCGCTGTCTTCAGCTGGCATTAGACTCCATCCCCAGGCAGGCTACCTCTGTCCCACCTCTCCTTCAGGCGTCACGGGCATGCCCCACCCATCCCACCCCGGTGAGGCATGTGGCAGGGATGCTGCAGGCACTGCCTTCACAGGGTCCTTACCCGTTCCCCCGGAGGGCCTGCCGGGCCATCACCTCCCGAGTTGCCCTAGGGAGGGAGGGAGAGCGCAAACAAAGCTTATTATGGTTATTAGGACTGTTCCTGAACCCAAGACTCTGGCCCACGATATCCCCAGACCTTCAGAGTCACAAGCTGCTTATGTGCACTTCTGTCCGTCATTCAAGGGCTCAGTAGTGAGTGGAGAGCGTTAGCCACTGATCTACGGCTCCCAAAGGCCACCTGCCCCTCATCTCTATGCACACACGTGACACTGAGCAGTTATCAGCAGGCTGTGGCATTTCCAGGAGGACCATCTGCGGCAGCGAGATGGACGCTATGCTCCAACCGAGATGCAACAAAAACGCACGCAGGCAGGACACAGGTGTCTATTCCAGGCCCACCAAGCAGGGGACAACAGCTGCTCTGTGACGTTCAGTCAGCTTATGGACAAGAAGCAAGGCACCCCAGAGCATACTGTGGGAGGATGTACTGTATCCTCCAGGTGGGTGGGTACATCTGGTTAGCTGAGGGGCAGGCCAGCTGGAAGGCCCATCTCCTCGGTGGCAATGCCTCGGAGCCACGTCCTGCCGGATAGGACAGGACAAGACAGGAAGGGCCTGTCTGGTGGAGGTTTGTTTCCACACTGACAGCAGGAGGAGAGGATGTGAAAGACAGACTCCAGCTCCCACTGCAGGCTTGCTTTAGATTTCTAGGAAAGATCTCTCTGCAGCGTTCAGGCCCTTTCAAGGACAGCAATAAGGCCGCCCCACCAGAACCGGGTGGGCCTCACTCCACAGCCCACTGGACCTGGCCGCCTGGGGACGCTCCACTGTGGGACAGCCCATCCTGCCTCTGCTGCGCACTGGGGCCTTAGCCACGGGCGGTCAGGGGGCCCAACGTGCCCGGAGGCTATTGGAGGGGACCAGCTCCTTCCTAAACACCCCCAGAAAGCTTTTTCCAGACATTGAAGGCCGAGGGCCACCCTCAGGCACTCTGTGAGTCTGCGGCCTTTGACTTTGGTTCATGCGCCACCACATGGGAGACTGAACACATACATACCTTGGGACCAGGCTTCCCAGTGATGCCCCGGGGGCCTCTTTCACCCCGTGGGCCCTGGATACAGGGGAGAGAAGAAAGGTCAGCTTCAGCCCTCCAGTCCTAGAGGTTCTCCAGCCCCCCCAGGCATGCTCCCTGCAATGTGCTCCCATTTCTGGAAGGCGGCCCAAAGGGTGGTTACCGTTGGGCCTCGCTGCCCCCGTGGTCCCGGCTTCCCAGGGGTACCCTAGAATCAGAGAAGAGGGGGGTCGGTCAGTCCCTCAAGACACCTGCCATTGCCTGAGTGGTGGCCCTGTCCTGAGTCATGGAGAGACTGCTCGAAATCAGAAGCTGGGGAAGGCCCACTCTCCTTATCTTTGTTTTAATAGGTTTTTCAGGGTGAGGGAATTCACTGCACATTCCATGCACAGAGCTTTGTATTTCTGCACACGGCCTGTTGAAATCCAATTTTCTTCCTGTAGTCTGACGGATGTTTACCACTGTTATCTGGTTTTCTCTCCACAAAGCGTCTACACCACCCTCCTTCCCTGTGTCCTCATCTCCCTCACTCTCAGCAGGTGGGGGGGGAATCGTTATTGTGAGAAAAAAGAAGAAAGTCGACCCCTTTCATACATAATTTACTTCTGCTATAGTTAAGAATATTAGCCATTAAATTTTCAACAGGCTCTGCAGACAAGCAAACTTGCAATTTAATGTATAAATCATATTTCCGAGAGTCATTTGCTTCTCTTCTAACAGAATCTAGACTCTCTGTTGTTGCTTTGCATTTGCCAAACCACAGAAAACATTTGAACTACATTTTTTTCCCCAAAGCAGACATAATAGCTGGTAAGTGCAGTTTACCTCCAGCCCCTGGAAGTTACGGATTACATGGCCCCTATATCCCCACTGCGTCCCGATTCATATTCTGGAATTTTATTCTGGTTTCTAATGATAAAGCCCAAGACAGGTCTGTGCTGCTAAAGGCCACCTGATCAACTGCCTCTCACCAGCTTCATTCATTCATGCAATGCCAGAATCAAAACAGCTTTCTAGAGTTGCCCATTTTGAAATGATTTTCATAAAACCATTTGTGATGATGAGGTAATTATGTTGCCTTTTAACAATGCACTCTTGGTTTCACTGCTTTAATTATATGGCAATATCCTTTGGCTTCAAATAAATATTTGCATACAAAAATTAATGAAACATCTGCTTTCTTCAAGCAACAGACCTTTGCCAGCGCTGATGCCATGATGAGTCCTGGGCCCCTCTTGGTGTCTCTGGATGAGCATGGCTGCTGAATTTTCTTACACCCACCCCCCACCCAAAGCTGGAGCCACCACGGTTGGTCGGGTGGGTTTGATCCTGCCTCGTGAATGGCTCGCAGTCCTAACCTAAAGATGCCCGAGGCTTTGGGAAAGAGCCCCAGCCACCAATCCCCTGCGCCTCATAGTGGCCCCTGAAAACTAACCCCAGCCAGAGGGTTTTGGTCCCACGGACCAGCACTTTGAACAAAAAGGGGCTGGTGCACAGCCTCCTTAGCGAGCCACCCACTAAGTGGGTGCCTGTTCCATGTCCTCAAGGGCAGGTTCAGCAGTCCAGAAGTGGCCCTGTTCCAACCGAAAGGCCAAACACAAGCAGAAGAGGCCTCCCGGTTGCCAGCAGTGTTCCCAAGGGGACTGGCTCTTCCCAGCAGGGCCTGCCCAGCCACCACCATGTCCCCTTACAGCCAGCTGTACATAGAGGCTCACGTCCCTGATGCTTGTACTGAATCCACAGGCGCTGACGCACAGAACTGAGCCAGTGCCGCTGCAGGAGCAGAGACAGGCTGGCAGAGGGCACCTGCTGGCACACAGGCAGCCCAGGGCGGGAGAGGCACCCACATGTGAGCACAGGCACGAATCGATCATGCCTGGTGCCCGGGCACCCAGAAGCACACATCTGACCAGAGTGTATGAAAGCAGATTAGAAAGACCTTTCCAGAGGAACGTAGTACATCCACTGCTTTCCTGTCCATCCCACACACAGCGAGCAGCTCTTCTTTAAAGATTCCCTGTTACTCCCCTGATGAACTTGGCTGGGCGCCCGCACCGCTTTAGAATATAGAGCTGACCGTGAGGGGCACAAGGGCAATGCCAGCAGCCCTGTCCCCAGCCCAGGCCTGCCTTCCTCTCCTCCCTGCTCTCACCTCACAGCCCAGGGAATGTCACAGCCTCCAGGAAGCCTCCTGACTGCCCAGGTGGGGCTCTGGCTCCTGTGAAAACTGTCCTGATTCACCCTGTCCTTCCTCACACTGGGCACTCATGAGCGCTACTCACTGGATGGGCATTTGCCATAGGGGTGAAGGTCTCCACATGAAACCCCAGTCTCTCCAATGCCCAAACCAAGGGCAATACAAGCACAGTCCCGCCAGCGGCACCGGGCACTCATCAGTTCACGGAGGCTCAGAAGGCAGACAGTGTCCGATGCCTCCGGACAGGAGGCTCCATGCGGGGGACAGAGGACAGGCCCCTCTGCAAGGCGCTCAGCCCTCTGCAGACCCCACCCACTCTTGCTCCCCAGACTTGCCACACAGCCATGTCATAGAGAAAGCGGTATTTCAGATGTTGTGCATGTGCGGCTGCCCTGGGCCCGGCTCGGGGGGCACAGGTGAATCGAGGGGAGGTAAAGGCAGGCTCCTCTCTGGGCTCTGCACTGAAGCCTGTTGCCTGCATGTGAGCGGGAGGAGCCTCCGCCTCCTGGCGTGAAGTCCACACTGGGTGTCGGGCTAGGAGCCTGAAGCAGAGGGTGCTGAATTCCAAGCCAGGCCAGGTGTCCGGCCACCAGCTGGGGGGCTCCCACCAGTGGTCAGGCACTGGGTGGTTGCCTGGCAGGTGCGTGCGGGTCTAGACTAGACCCGAGTTTTGCCTCCAGGCTTTGTCTACAAGTCCCCTGTCGGTGGGGCGGCGGAGTGACCCGGGGCCGGCAGCCTGGGTGAGCATCTCTTCTGCCCCTACCCGACTCCCGCTCTCCCGGTCCCCAGCCAGGCCAGGCCACCTCCTCCCTGCCAGTGGGACAGGAGCAGCGAGATGCTTCTCACACAAGGCCTCAGAGCACCAGTTTCTCACCCCACTGCTGCTGCCTAACTTTCCTCAATTCCCATATAGAGTTTGCAGGGATGATGTTTTCAGTGTGGCCAGAGGCTTCAGGCAGGTGGCGAGAACCACCATGCCCCGGGGGGATGGCTTTGAGTACTGGGGATGCGACCCCCTCTCACCCCCACCACTGCACCCTGGTCACCATCCTTGTGTCCTGAGGTGGCCCATGTCCCCTGGCCTGCCCCCTCCTCGTGCTGACCCCTCACTCAGGCCTCGGCCTGAACCTCCCGCGTCTGCACGGCCCAGTCCACATCGTCCCCCCAGGCCATCTCCGGCCCCCACCTAAAGTCAGTCCCCCGAGCCCTCCCTGCCCACCTGCTCTATGCAAGCCTTGCACACCATGTCCGCTGCCAAGCCTGGTGCACTCAGGATGTTGCGTTCACTGTCCCTGCCTCTGCAAGGAAAGCTCTGCCAGCGGGGCATAGGCTTTGCTGCTGTGTCCCCAGGGCTCAAAGAGCACCCGGGGACATGGGGGCAGAGTGGGTGCTCAGTAGTGGCGTTTGAGGGGATGGATGGACACGGGCACCTGATTCTAAGAGAAACCCTGAAACCTGGTGTGAAGAGAAGGCCAGAGAGCAGGACTGTGTGGCACGGGGCATTCCAAACCACGGGGCGCGACCAGGGGGAGCTGCTGTCATGGGGGACAGCTCCCTAGGATCCCGCCTCCTTCCGTGGGGAAGGTTCCAGAATAAAGGTGGGACTGTTTCTCAGATGGGGGAAGCTCAGAGCCTTACGGGTCTTCCTGTGTAGGGACACGGCTCTCGCTCAGTCGCCCTGTGGGCACTGGGTGCGGGGAGCCCACAAGCTGAGGAAGGAATAGGCCGGGTCTCAGACCCGGGGCCTTGCTCTCCAGTAGGATGAGCCCAAAAAGCTGCAGCAGCTGGTTCGCGCGTGACCAGGAGGACCTCGGGTGCCTCCCAGGGATGGCCTGGGCCTCCCCAGATTCCAGGTTCTCCACTTGTCCTGTGGCCCCAGTTGCAGGGATGGCCCTGGCCCCGGGCACGTTTCTCCCACAGTGAGTGGCGTGCGTGCCAGGCCTGTCTGGCAGTGCAGGAACCATTCCCCTTGTGAAAGCCGGCATCGTTGTCACTCCCCCACCCCATGCCCCCATCAGGTGTGGCCCCCAACCCAGCCAGGTGTCCACCAAGTGCATGATGGAGCCACACGTACCGTAGAAAATCCTGAAATCCCCAGAGTGGATAATATCTTCGGGGTGTCCACACTGCAGGCCTGGAACCCTGGGTCACACCCCACAACCAGAGCCAGCCCCCGGGCCCACATTCCTTGCATTCCAACTGCTCGGTTTTTGGCGAAGCCCCTGGTGACCCACAGCTCCGAAACACGGGCACAGGGGTCCAACCTTCTCAGCTCAGGGGTGTGGAGGCTGAGAAGCATGAGGGGCACAGGTGGGGGATGGAGCCAGGACCAGAGTGCCAGCCTCCAGGGCCGCCGTCGGCCTCTGCCCCTCCTCGAGGCCCCAGACTCCTCCATGGGGCAGGGCGGGCTGGGGTCAGGTCACATGGCCAAGCGCCAGCCGTCCCGACCCCTCCTGGAGATTCCTGCTGCACTATGGGGGCTGTCCATCCTCCTCACCCCATGCTCACCAGACCCTGGGCCACTTTTCACAAATGGCATCTGCATTTTCCAGAGGACGGCCTTCCCCAAAGACAACAGACTGTCTATAAGGAAGACTAGACAGATGGGCAGGCAGATAGACGGGTAAAGAGACAGATGATGGGCAGACAGACACACAGACTGACAGATAGACACAGAAATGACATAGATACAGACACACGTGTACACACAGACCTTGTATAGACAGAGAAGGACAGATAACCATCTCTCTGTGTTTAGGCTGCCCATGTGCACAAAGAACAGGTCCCCCTTTCTCTGCTTGGCAAACCTGGCCCACACGTTTACTTACAGGGGTTCAGGCTCCCTGAGGCCTTTGTCTGAGCTTCCTCCATCCCTGCCCGACCAGGGTATCCTGAGGTCGAAGCAAGTGCTCTGAAGTGAGGGGCCAGTCTGCCCGGATGGGAGAGCACGGGCAGAGAACCGGGGTCCCGCCAGGAAGGGCTGAGAAAGGCTGCTTCTGCCACAGCTTGTGCAAAACCCACTGCCCCACAGGGCCCCAGGGCCTCGCCAGGCCTGCTCTGCGGACGCTGCCCTGCATGCCCCACACATGCCTGGGGACAAGCCCGGCTCAGAGCAAAGGCCCAGGTTGCCTGTCTTGGTCCTGTTTCCCTGGGTGGCAATGCACAGGCGCCGTCACATGATTCCCTAGTCAAGGCTATCCAGGGCTGCTCCTGCCAGAAGGCCGGGGCGAGCAGGGACTCAGGGGGGTGGGTGGCATGACTACCCCAGCCCACCCCTCAGAGTGATCTTGCTCGGGCGACGACAAAGAGAGTCACAGTGCACACACCCTGGCGGGCACTCTGTCACAGTGACGGCCTGGAACAGCCAGGGAGGGCGCCTCTCAAATCTAGGTTAGCAGAGTCAGTGAGATACAAAATAAAATTCCTTTCCCCTTCCTTTTAAAACAAGCCTGAAGAAGTCGGTGGGTTGGGAGAGAAGAATCTGCCTTTTGCTAATGACCAGCAGAGCTGTTGCTCAGTGTTGATTAGAAAGCCTCTTTCCTCCACATTTTCCTCTAACACCTCCTCCGCTGCCTGCTGCCCCCTCCGGCATCCCGCCCGTCCGTGTGCGGAAGACGCCCGGGCTTAGTGTAAACGCTGCGAGCTCAAGGTCGGCTGTTTTGGACAGCAGAGTGGGTGAGAAATAAACAGGGTGTGCTGGAAATGTACCCACTAGCACCAAGGCAGAGGCCAGGCTTCCTTACCCTGCCACCCTTCTCTCCGTTGGCACCAGGAAAGCCAGGGAATCCGATGGAACCCTGAAAGAAAGGCAATAAGGAGGAGCTGAGAGCTGGACCCGGGTGGCTGGGAGCAGTGTGCTACGGCCCACAGCTCTGACACAGACCCCACCCCACCTCTCTGCCCACTCACCCCCCCTACCCACCCACTCAACAGATCTTTTCTCAGCACCTCACAGACTCCAAAAGTCTTACCCGTGCTCCCCCACTCCCTTCTCCCACCCGTGTCTTCAAGACACTGCTGGTTTAAAGGACAGGGAATGTGCGCTAAGATTAACTGGAGGCGGTGTGCGAGCCCCACGCTCGTGACAGTCTGTTTACTGTGCCTCCTCGTCAGGTTTTGTTATCTTCCCAGAACACCTCTAAATAAAGAAGCTTGTAAAGTCAGAAAGCTTGCAAATGTATGCGTCGCAGCTAATTCTAGAAATCTACAGGTGCACATGGGCAAAAAATAAAATCAAGCGCTTGGGTGTGGCGACCACCCAGTACCTACTATGTGACCCCAGGACATGGGGAGGTGGGGGCTGCCCTGGGGCACGGGGAAGGGTCTCCACTCTCTACATGGCCTTAAAATTTTGACCTGCACATATTCTTAGACCACGAAAAGTTTACATATTTTCAAATGTGGCTCTTCTCACATGGGGCTGAGCTTGGCCAGCTCCCCAGTACACCCATCTGCCAACCAGGCAGGGGGCCTTGTCAGTGTGGGAGGTGGGTCTGGGGCCATGTCTCATTTCCAAAGTGCCCCCAACAGCTTCAACAGGCTTCCCTCACCTTACAGAAAGCTGCCTGAACCTGGTCCAGGCACCCGCCCTTCTCTCCCAAATTCTTGCCTGTCCTCCCCTCCCCCAAGGGGACATGTACTCCGAGAAACCGTGTCCAGTGGCCCCTCTTAGCCCACTGTGCATGGACGGCACTGTGGCTGGCAGCTGCATCATGTCCATGTTCAAAGCAGGACAGATGGACACTAAATAAAACACCTGTTTCAGGGCGAACCACCTCCCCTGCATACGGGTGGGGCCACGCGCCGAGTGTGGACACTGGCTTCCCAGGGAGGGCCGACAGGAGCATTTCCTCAACCAGAAGGGACTGCCTGGTGCGCAGCCAGCTCACAGCACCTGCCTCTGCTGACAGAGTGAGCACGTGGGCCTGAGAGGCGCTGGAGCCGGAGCGAGGCAGAAACGGCACAGATGCAGACCTGAGAGAGACAGGGCTTCTCTTTTGCTGTTAATTATGTCTCTGGTGCAGGCAGCTGGTTATTTTTTAAGAAAGAACCATGAATAATAAAAGGTGAGATTTGGAAAAAAAAAAAGTTTTAAATGATTTCCAAAGCTGTAAGGAGCTGTTTCACTTAGAGAACATGACTTCATCTAAGAAGGCCTTCATCTGTCTTTTATACTCAGTTATAAACCCTCAAATCTCCAGGGTGAATCGGCAGAGAGGCTTATGGAGCTCTGGGTGTGGGGAAACCAGCAGACCAAGCCCCCACAGGGCTGCAGGCGCCGAGGACCCTGAGGGGCAGCCTCCCCACGGCCCAGGCTGGGTCTGCCCCCTTCTCTGAAAGGCTTAACCTTCTGAGCGCCTTTGTCCACAGAAGGCTATGAAAAGAGCAGCGCTGGACAGATCCAGCAAACGTGACATTCCCTGCTGCCTTAGCAGCCTCCCCAGGGATGCCAGCAGATGACAGTGTGTGGGGCGGGCAGGGCAGGGAGTGTCCTGGTGTGAAACCCAACAGGGGCGGAAGTTACCTTTGGCCCTTGTCTTCCTGGGTAACCGGGCAATCCTGGGACTCCGAGTTTTCCCTGGGGAGAAAACAGGAGTGGCACTGAATGGCCAGCACAGTCTTTCCCCACCCACGTCCTCAGAGCGGAGAGAAAGCCGGTGTGTGCAGACGGGGAGGCCCCTGGTGTCTGTCCTGCCAGTGACACCCCAGAATCCCTGCCCTGATTTAAAAACAAGAAACCAGCACCACCGCTGCAGCAAAAGCAGAGACACGTGCCCGAAGGAATGCGGTTTTATCTGTCAGCCTTGGGGCATGTTAGCCTTGGGGCAAGCCCTGTGGGAAGGTCACTCCAGGAGCCAGTTCCTGACGGAGGCTGAGGGCAGGGGGCGGGCAGCCTCATGCAGCCGGAATGCACACCGAGGGGAGATGTATGTGGTCGTGGGGCTCAGACCCCCAGGCTTTGTGAACCCCTGTAGGAGGGCATCTTCCAGGGACTGGCCATGCACTCAGAGAGACCCAAGTCGGGGCAGGGAAGGACTCATCTGCCAGCACACAATTTGCCGGGAGGGTGGCAAGAGGGCCAGGTTGGGGCAGAAGGGGCTGCAACCCCATCAGACCACACGCACCCCACGTGGAGGCCTCAGCCTCCCTGAGCCATTGTCTAGGATGCCCTGGGCCATCAGGAAGGGTGCGGCATCCTGCATCACGTACCTTCTCCCCTGAGGGTCCCAGAGGACCAGGGTCGCCATTCGGACCTCCACGACCCTTGGGGCCCTCGGGGCCATCTTCTCCTCTGGGACCAGGTGGGCCTATCTCCCCCTGCAAGCCAGAAAACAGAAGGTAAGCCAGACCACAGCAGTGTCCCCCGCCTCTGTCCTGGGGGCGGCTCCCAGGGAAGCCTGAGGTAGGAGCTTCTTGGCCCACTTAGGGGGACCTCCTAAAAGCAGATGAACCTCCCAGAGCTACTGACCAGACGTGAGCACCGTGCAGCAAATTACAGGGCTCCGCTGACCAGCTTCGCCGCCCCCTGCACCGTGGAGGGTCAGTTGGCTTCCGGATAGTTTCCCGAGGCTACACAGCCTGCTTCCCCATCAGCTCTTGGCTGACAGGTCGGTTAGCAATAGCAGCTCTGAATCGCTGCTCCCCCAGATTGGGCAGCATAACCTGCAGGGATGGGGCGGGGCTGCCTTCTTTCCCTGAAGCCCCAGGAGGCATGGACATGGACCATGGCCCCTAGGGGACAGTTGCCTGGGTGTAACTGGCACACAAGAGACCGTGTCTCCAATGGAAGGGGCCTACATACAGCCTCATCCAACTCCCCCCATGCAGATGGGGTGCCTGGGCCCAGCAAGGAAGAGGGCCCTGGGGGCTTGGCAAGCCGGCAATGCCCACCCCAGCCATCCCCACCGACCACTGGTTTTCAGGAGCTGCGACTGGACATTGGTGCAACCCACAAGAGAAGAAAGCAAGCACAGATAAAGACAGACCACCAAGCCCCCGTCTGCCCGTGGGTGGAGAACTCTCTGTGCCTAAGAAGTGATTTCCTCAGTCAATGGAACAATTCTGCACATATTAAGTGAACACTTAGGAAATGCCAAGAGCATGGCAGAAACCTCTCTGCAAGAATCAAGGCTGCCGATGCTTGCTCCTTGGCTGAGGGGGCGTCCCAGCTCCCAATCCCGTCCCCATCCACCTCCAACAAGGGGCCACCTCATGTAGCCTGGCTCACGACCGGGAATGTCTTTGGTGCAATCTCTTTTGAAAATGCACCCTGGCAGTGTGGACCCCAAATGCGTGCACTGTGTTGTCAGAGAAGCCCCTTCCTGGGGAGTCAGGATCCTGCCACCACAGAGAAACTTCTGGAACGGCTGTCTTTAGCAGCAGCCTAACTGGGACACGATTGTGAAACGAATCCCTCTTTTATTACCTCCTCCCTTGAGGCAGGCACAGATTGCCTCCGCTTTTTTAGCTTGGAACAAAGCACCAAGGGTTCAGGGCTTTGGTCTGGCATGTTCTGAAAAGGCCCCTGCAGGCCTGCTTTGTAGGGGAATGATTACGGCAGCCGCACAACAGCTGTGCGAGCCACAGCCTCCCGCCCAGGTGTGCACACAGCTGCTGCCCCGGCGCGGCCCGGATGCGCAGGTGTCTCATCTCTGACTCACTGGCAAGTTATCAGGGGAACGTCAAAGTGCTCACACGGTGGTGGGCAGCCAGCCCACTACCCAGAAACTTCCTCCAGCGTCATCTGTGTCACCCTGTCCTCATTTACAGGAAAACACAGCCAGTGGCTTCCTGCTGGGCGCTTGCCACATGAGCAAAGCCCCGTCCTCCCAGCACCAGCCAGCCTTCTCTGGAACTGAGATGAATTATTCATTACAAACAATGGGTTGTTGCCACTGCTGATAGCCCAGCAGGAGCCCACATGCCCGCGACTGCATGGGGCTAAAAAGCAGCTAAAGAGCTGTTTGGGGAACCAAGATGCTCCCAGGACAGGTGGGGCCCCAACTTGCTGCCCTGCCAGAGATGGGCCCCGTGACCTCAGGCAGGCTGCTTCCCTCCCAAATGATCATTTTGGTGGCCCCTTCCTCCCTTGCCCAGGCAACCCTCCTCGACCCTGAGCCAAAGGAATTGCTCTGCAATCCAGGGTATCAGCCAGAAGAAGCCAAGTCCCCCCACTGAAGCAGAGCAAGGCCAGGGGGGCCAGGTAACCACAAGCAGACCCCAGTAACCAGGGGGCTGATACCAGGTGGGGATGCTGAGGAGGGGACGGGGGCCACGCCCTTGGGCTTCCTGCTGTCCCCACTGGGGCCTGAGAATCTCCACAGGTGTCCCCTCCACTCTGGGAGGCTGCCCTGCACCCCAAACACCCCAGCGCCTCCTACAAACTCCTCCCTGATGTTGCCTCCCCCAAAACACTCACCCGATCGCCCTTGATGCCCATGTCTCCTTTAAATCCAGGAAAGCCATCTTCACCCTGAAAAAGGGATCAGAGAGAGACAAGAGTCACACGAAGGTGCCACCTCCCGCTCAGCACATGGCCCCCAACCCCGGGCTCCTGAGCCACAGCACAGGGGCCGGGATTCTGAGTGCCCTTCCCTTGTGAGCACACTCCTGTTGGCCCTTGGCCTCCGCAGACGTGAAGGCCCATGGTTCTGGCCCGCCCATGCCCTGCCCGGCCCCGTGCGGCCCTGCACGGCAAGCAGCCAGCATCTGGTTCCTAGAGCCGCTCACTGGGTCAGCCTATCCGCAGGCCGGGCCACAATGCAGGTGAACATTGCAGGAGGGGACCTGCTGGGAAGTGCGTGGGAGGGTCAGTCTGCCACAGTGGGCTTTGCAGGCAGGGACGGAGGGGCCAGGCGTGCCGCTGTACCCCCTGGGGCTGCCCGTCTCAGCATCCAGGGCTCCTGGTCTCAGTCACCCACCACAAGGGCATGGGACGGAGGGGGCCTGGGAAACTCAGCTGGCTCGTAAGCCCCAAGGCCGGCTGGGAGCTCACACATGGAGGCGGCAACTTTCTGGGACCTGATGAGAATTCCATCCCCTCAGTCAGCTGCTGGCCCACAGTCCTTATCCACAGTGTAAGTTAATGCCGTCAGCTCATCAGCGGTGGTCAAGGGTGATGCCAGAGTCTGGGGTGGGTTCCTCACTCCAACCCGCTGTCTCTGTGGCCCCTTGGGGGCGGTGCGGACATTTTCCGGAGAGGAGGTGTCTCCCTTGGTGATCAGTATCCATGACCAACATTCGCTCAAGCAGCCCCGTGTCTGGCTAAAGACCAATGTGACAAGATAGACGTACCAAACCTGGGAAGCCACCTTGACAGGAGAGGGGCCTGGGACCAGGGATCGGGACTCCAGGGACACGAGGCCTGCAGATAACCTGCCAGTGGGAACACCTGCTCCGTAGGGAACACGTTTGCTCCAACTGCAACATGCTCCACCGAGAGGCCAGCGTCCTCGGGCTGGACGCGCCCTCTGGTATCCAGCCTCCAGGGCCCCGGGAAGGAGGGCAGGACGGTCCAGAAGCTGGGCTTAGAGTTCCGCCTCGTGCGGGCCCAGCTCCACAGGAACTCTGATACATGTGTCTGCTTCCTCCAAGAAGTGGCTGCTGAGGATGCGGCCCAGACAGGGGCGCTGAGCCAACACCGTACACAGGGCCCGTGCAGCTTCCATGCCACCAGGTCCAGCATGGCCGCTTGAAAAGCCCCCTTGGGGATGGCTATTTCCACAGGAGAGGATCCATGTCTGACACTGAGGGTCCTCTTGGCGGGCCAGTGCCCTCTGCCCTGGGCACCTCTCGCCTTCCTTGCTGGCCCTGCTACAGCTTGAAGGGCTGCCCGGGAAGAGCATCTAACTACAAGGAGACCCGTTGGCAGCTGCCTTGCGATTGGCCTGCCTGGGCGGGAAGCATAGGTGTCCACTGGCCTCTGCAGGGGAGGGGACAGAGCGCTGTATCTTGGCAGGGGGCACAAAGCCCCAGACCCTCAGCATGCCCGCTGGGAGATGCACCCAGTGGCTGGGAGGGCCGGTCTTTGACTTGCAGTTTCTTCGTTGCAAACAGCCTGTCCTGTATGGTGGTATCAAGCCCCTGCACGCCCAGAGCTGACATCAACCTCAGCTGTGTTACAGGAGGGCTGTCACTGAAGGGGCCAGTGGCTGGCATCCAGCTCTGGGCTGGACCGGCCATCACCACGGAAAGGAAGGGGCACTCACCTTCTCGCCCTTAGTGCCCTTCAGACCACGGATGCCATCGGCCCCCTATGCAAACACAAGGGAGAAAGTAAGCAATCTCAAGTCTGAGCCCCAAATACCATGGGCAGCTGAGCGCCCAGCAGCTGACACATGCCTGCCCCCCCACCAATGCCAGACAAGCTCCCCAAGCGTGTCCCCAGCCTCAGAGGGAGCAGGTGGAACGTGGGGCCTGTACGTAGGCTCTAGAATCAGGCAGACTGGTTCAGGATCCAGCCCCGCTCTGTGGCCTCTGACAGCATCCCAGACTGCTGTGTGCCTCAGTTTCCTCATTTGGGAAGTGGGGGTGATGGCAGCCCTCACCTGCTTACTGCTGGTGGGAGGGGGACACCTGCACACAGCAGGTGCTCAGAAAACAGTAGCTCTGCGCCATCTGATTACTTCTATTCTCCTTTATTATTCTTTACATATGATGATGTAAAATTATTAATTACCAATTAGTAATAATAGTACCTCCACCAACAATAATTTTATGGTTATCAGCTTGGGAGTTGCTCATCTCCATGCTAAACAAGGACCATAAGGGGGCGTGTCCTCTTTGGGTAGCCTGCTGGGCCAGCCCCTCGCTGGCCTAGGTGACCAGGTGGAGCAGCCATGCCCAGTCTGCCGAGCAGGGCACAGACCCACGCTGACAGCTGGCAGCTTTCTTGGGCTACCTCCCATGGGACCCCAGAGATGCCAGGCCCCTGGACTGGATTCAGCGGAGGCTGCCCCAGGATGGAGAGCCACCTCCCAGGACCCCTGGGCTACCAGCTGTCCTCTGAACAGGGCACAGACCCCGCCGCTCTGAGCCTTCTCCCAGGAGCGAGAGGGGGCCTGGGAAACTCCGAGACAGGATGGAGACACACAGTGGCTGAGAGCTGGGGCCACGCCTGGGCTCAGCGGCCGCCTCCCTAGTGGATGGCCGCCCTGGCCGCACCCGGCCTCCGTCAGCGCCAGACAGTGGGACACTTCAGGGCAGAGGAGGGGGTGCGGCTCTCTGAAACCCTGTACTGCGGGGGGTCAGGCGCCAGCTCTCCTCCCTCTTGCAGGATGTTGGAGGGCTCCCCGTCCATGCCCGTCTGCAGACAAGAGCGTAAGACAGAGACCCGCTAGGACCTGTCCCAGACCTAAGGTTCTACCCCTCTGTGACCATGTCAGAGGCCAGGCTACAGCGCCAAGTGGACAGTGGACCTGGGGTTTCAGCGTCAGCTCTACTGCCGTCGGGGCAGGGTCCTCTCCCTGCCCCACGTCATGGGGCTGCCCTGTGCGCTGTGGGATTACAGCCACACCCCTGACCTCTCCCCATTCAATGACAGCAGCTCCCCAAGTGACAATCAAAAATGTCTCCAGATGTCCCCGGGGGGCAGGTGTCGGCTGTGGTTGAGAGCCCTGGGCCAGAGCACCCACCCTGGGCCCAGGGGGCCGGCGCTTTGGGAAGGAGGACAGTGCTAAAACCCGGCACGGGAGGATCTGCCCCACCAGCGGGGACGGACCTTTGGGGTGGGTCTGATTCTGCTGACCGTTAAGCCCAAACATACTCCCAGGGTGGAGGGAAGCCCAGGGGACACTTAAAGGGCAGGAAATCAAAGGACACACAAGGCTCTGTTCCACAGTGGAGAGAAGCTGGACCTCCCTAACCGAGGGCTGTCCTGTCGCTGCAGTTGGCCGCCCCTCCCACCCCTGCTGTCACCGTCCTTTGGGGCCTGCTGCTCATTAGGCTGCAGATTCTGCTCACATTTTCAAACACCGGGGAGGCTGAGAATCTATTTTCCCAATGAAAGAGTGTTCAGCCTTGCTTTCCCTTCCCCCTCTGCTTCCTAGTCAAACCGGATTGCTCATGTCATGAATGAATTCTAATCAGATAGACAAGATAAGAGCATTCTCCATAAACATTTTAAAGCAAACACCTTCTTAGCTCACAGAAGCAGCATTATGCAATTAGCTACATACGGTAGCTGGTGGAAGCTTTTGCTGTGCGACTAGAATTTGTAAAATAAACATGCATAGAGCTCACGTAATCAGTGTTTCTACTAAATTATCATCCTTATAAAACTCACTAGATGTGCTGGGAAAAGCCTGCTTCAGAGAAAAGCCTGGCCTGCCTGAGGCACCCAACCTTTGGGCAGTTTCTGGGGTGGCTCTTATACCAGGCACATCCTGATTCCTGGGGAATGGAAGTTGGGGTCCCTGTGGGGGTCAACGATGGGGCACTTGATTGGGGAGCACGTTTGGGTTTGAGTTCTGAATGCAGCATTAACTTAAGGGTCGTCTGGAAGCTGGGGTCTGGGGCTCATAGCCACCGTGGTGCCCTCCGATGCACAGGAGCTGATGGGTGTCTCTATGCAAATCCCTCAGGCTAAACCAGTTGCTTTTCATATACATATTTATGTTTTCCTTCACATCAAATTAAAGTCATTTTGAAGGTGAGACTCACCATTAGCTTCTTTAAAGCCCCAGAATCACTTGAGCCTAAAATGCTGCAACATCACAGTTCTCGGAGAAAGAGCATCTCCTTGCACACACTCCCGGGGGCATGTCCCTCCCCACATGAGCGCCTGGAACGCCCAGAGAGCAGCGTAACCAGATAGTGCATCATGCAGCTCAGAGCAAACATGGTCAGCTCCTGGGGACCATTAGGCCGTGACCTGGGTGCCAGCCTGGAGCTCCGTGTCCCCTTTCACAAGGGTCCAGGAACCTTCCTGCCACAGAAACATGACAGAGCAAACAGACACCTCCCACCAACCATCTCCCAGCAACTCGGTCTGCCCAGATGCTGTCGGGGACAGACTCTCACTCTAAGTGTGCAAATGGCCCAGAAGACAAGTTTCTGGGCTTCCCCAGTAGACAGTGCCAAGCTCTCGCCTCGCCTGGGGTCTGCGGTCAGTGAGGGGCTTGGCGAGAAGACATGAGGAGGGAAAGGGTGAGATCCTGCCCAGACAGAGGGCAGAGCCTCCACAGATGCATGGGGACTGTCCCTGTCCAGGTCCTTCTGTGCCACAGCCGGTCACCCCCTCTCCTGCTCAGGCCCACTGTCCAGGGCCTGACCTTCACACCCAAGACCGGGAAGACCAGGGCTCCTCCAGCTTGGGATACCATGGAGGAATTCCCTAAAACTGACCAAGCGGTGCCCTCCAGGAAGACATGAGCTGCAGTCTCTCACCTTGACTCCCCGAGGACCTGGGTATCCAATGGGGCCCTGGGGGCCGGGTGGACCCTGAAATCACAGGGAAGACCATTAGCTTCGTCTCCAGCGGGCACTGCATGGCTGTGTCTGGGCCACCCCTGCATCCTTCCAGCTTGCAGCCAAGCTGGAGAGCTGGCCCTCCACGAGCACCTTCCCCTCGTGTGAGCGCAGCGCACATCCAGGACAGCCCCTCGGAAGAGACTCCAGGAACACCTCCCAGCCTAGGGACCTTGGAAGAAATGGGAGAGCTTCCGGCTGGGAGAGGGGACAAGGGCTGGTTGTCTGGGGAAGGGATGGCCTTCGACAGCCAAAGGGCCTTGCTGACCGCTGTCCACAGCTCCCTGGGGCAGCTCTGGGCCTGCAGAGGCCGTGAGTGGGAAGGGAGAAAAGTGGGCCTTCGTCGCAGTGGGGCAGCAGGCAAGTCCCCATGGGTTCAGGCCACCTGGAAACTCCACAGATTTGGCCCCAAACAAACAGTGATGGGTCAAGACCCTGCACGATCACCCAGTTTCTGGTGGTTACGGTCAGGGCCGCACCCACATCCCCAAGGAGTAACCAAGGTGCGGGGGGGCTGCAGGGGCCCAGATGGGAGGACCCCCCCTGGCCAGGTCCCTTCAGCGCAGACGCCTGAGGAGGGAGGCAGCTACCCTGCTGGGCCCTTTGTGACCGGGTTTCCCAGGGCAGTCGGGCCAGGAGCCCTGAGGCCAGCCCCACAGGAGATGCGGGAGCAGTCGAGGGCGCAGCCTGTACCCACCTGGCCTCCTTTCTCTCCTGGAGGGCCTTCTTTGCCAGGGTGCCCCTGTCAGGAAAGAAAAGGCAGGGTCAGTGGCCGCCCTAGAAGGCGGCCTCTTGACATCTCAGCGACCCCCGCAGCCTACAACGTGAGAGCAAGAACTGGGCCCTTCCATCTCCTTCCCTCCCCAGGAAAACACAGGCAGAGAGCGGGCTGCCACGGGACAGGCAGCGGAGGGCACCCCTCCCAGCCCGGGCCCCCGGCTGCTTCCTCTGTAAAACGGGGACAGGGCCAGGCCAGGTGGGCTCCGGGCTCCATCGGGCGTCGGTGTGACCAGGCGCAGCCCACGCCCAGCCCACCCTCACGAGCCGGTGGGCGGGGATGGCAACAGGACATTTGCTCAAGGCCACGCAGCAGCACGAAGCTCTGGCTGAACAAGGAATAACAAAGCAGGGCCAGAGTGCCAGAGCTCCGGGCATTCCTGCTTCTTGGACTTGTGCTGACCACAGATGTGCCCGCGGCCCAGGGACCAGGAAGAAGGGCGGGGCTGAGGCCAGGGTGGCGGCTACGTCCTGCCCTTCGAGCAGGGGCCTCGGCCACCCCCACAGGTGACACGGATGGAGGGGGAGCAGGGGGAAGGTGAGGGCACCCCCCGACACTGAGGACGCAGAGCTGAGGCCCAGCGGAAGGGGTTATGGCCCCTCCATCGCTGCCGCGCCCACCCAGCCCGATTCCATCCTCAGGCCCGCCCCTCTGGCTTCCCAAGCAAGGGCGGTCACTAGGTTCAATGCCCTTTGAGTCCACGAGCTGAACACAGGTGATACAAGCAGAAAGATAAATACAGCTCCATCCCCAGGGATTCCAGAAAAAGAAGCCCTGTGGTGTGGCGAGGATGCTGGCAGGGGGTGTCTGGCGGCTGGACTCCCCTCCTGGTTATGCCAGCCGCCCCGCTCTGTGATCTTGGATATGTCGCTTGCCCTCCCTGGGCCTCCCTCTCCTCGTGTGTAAAAAGAGAGGGTGGGCTAAGTGCTCTTTCTTCCTAAGTGTTCTACAGAGCTGGCTAGGATGCTGCTTTTAGAGCATGGCAGCATTATGGAGACCCAGATCTCGTTGAAGAAATGGTTTGTGGGTGTTCTGTTTTGTTTCTACTAGTTGTGAAATTGGATTTGATGCTATTGCAAAGAGCCTATCACAGTGGAGCAAGTTGGAGAGCATGGAAGTTCCCTGCGGGGTGGGGTGCCTTCGGGGGGCCCGAGGGCACGGGGTGGGGAGTCCTGGGAACACCTGCCTCTGAGGAAAATCAGGCACTGGCTGGGCCACGCCCGCTGCTCTGGCCCATCACCCTGCCTTCCAGAAACAAGGCCATGGACCAGCACCTCAGGATGGCAGGCGGGTGTGGGGTGCTGTTCCCTGTCTGCCATATGGGTTTTGGGGGTGTTTACTGCAGTTTCCATCAACCATAGACATTTCCGTTAAGGAACTGGGGGATCTCACATGTAGGGGGCAGACCCCACATCTGGTCACTGGGGGAAGTGAGCTACTGCTCCCCCAGGGCGATGTCCTCATATTGTAGAGGTGACAACCTGCCTGCACCCCTGGGTTGGGAGGGGACCTAAAGGAGCACAGCTGTTTACACAGCAGTCAGGACTGCGCCCCACACAGAGGGACCGGCAAATGTTACCAACTCTCCTAGTTGTTACCGTTATTTGAATTGAGGCTGAATTTCCTTAGATACATTTTAAGTTGCATTGACAAAATGAGAGGACCCCCGTGGGGGAAGGCACAAAGCTCACTTACGAAGAATACGTTTGAACAGAAAGAGCCAGAAAGGAAATACACCCAGAGAAGAGCGCTGGACCGCCCCCTGATGAAAAGCCAGCCTGCTTCCCTCTCTCTTTCTACCGGTTTGCATTTCTCCACTATTCTACAATGAGCATTACTTTTATCATGGAAAAATAATAAAGCTTACATTATTTGTATTTGATATTTTCCTCATTAAAAAGGTAATATATGCTTATTGTAGGCAATTAGGCAAGTGGAAAGGAAAATTAAAATCCTTCATAATCTTGCTGCTCACAGCAACTATGGCTTATTGTGGGATATAGTTCCCCTAATCTATTTTCTCTGCAAATACGCATGCAAAATTCGCATCAGGTGATATATTTTTAATTTAATATTGTATCGTGAGCCTTTTCTCATGTCACTGAGTACTTGCTGAAATTAGATTTTTACAGGCTCTGTAATATTCCTTTGAACCATAACTCATTTACCCATTTCCCGCCGTGTGCCACCCGGAATGATTGAACACAACTGCCAGCACACCCGGCTGCTCTGCAACATCTCAGACCTCTGGAAAGGTTTTAAATCCATCTTTCCTTTTGTTCTTAATCAAAACCAAACCAAAGCAAGGAGAGAAACAAAACCCTCTCTGCAAGGCTGACCAGCAATGTGCTGCCTCCAGGGGAGAAAGAACATTTTAAAATCTCTCTTTTCCTGAAAATCCATGTGAGAGCATGGGCTGTTTCTTCAGGCCTCCAGTGAGTGTGATGTTGCCTTTTTTATCTTTTACTTTAAGCACGTTCAGTGCCGAGCACCACCGCCTGCCCCACGTGTCTGCCTGGGTCCACTGTCCACCACATCTCAGAGGATAATGTTGGTTGGGGGAGAGCTGGAGGGTCTCTGAGAGGCAGCCTACTAGCTCCTAGAAGCCCCTCTTTCCCCACAGAACCTGGAAGAAAAGTGGTGACTCTTCAGGGACCCCAGTCCTTGGAGACTCCAGTGTGGAGAGGCGGATCCCGGGGCAGAACTGGTAAGATAGCGAAGGGGCGGGGGGCGCTGCGCAGCAGGGCCTCGGGCCTGGCCATTGACGGATGCCTTGCAGGGAACGCTCCATTTACACTACGTCCTTCCAAGAGCAGTGAGAAAAAGTGACACGAAGGACAGACATTCACCTGTGATCAGGGGGCTAACCCATGGGAACAGGGTCAAGGGTTGCTTTCCCTTGTTGCCATTTCATTCGTTTTCCTTATTTTCCATAGTAAGATGTGTCATTTTGTCATCAGAAGATGCAATTGGGTGAAAATGTAAATTATAGGACATAAATGACCTACTGCAAAGGATTCGTGGTTTTGTATCCAAACTCCCAGTAGTCTAGGAGACCAAGAGCCCCAGAGAGCTCACGGGCAGCCCATGTGCTGGTGGTCCCCTGCTTCCAAGAGAGGTGGGACAACCGGGGGCCTGTGGTTCTCAGCCACAAAGACGGGAATAGACAGCCGTGGGTCAGCAAGCCATCAACCACCTGCTGACATATTTACCTTTCTTGCTTAGTTTTTGATGGCGTTATTCAACAATACATTGCATCTGAGATAACAAATACAGCTCATCTTTGTTTTCTGAAGTAGACTCTCTATGCCACATGAACAGAGCACAAAAAAACACCCAAAAAACAAAAAGCCTGCAAAGCAGCCTACTAAGAGGGTGGCTGGTGCAGAGAAGTTTGCGCGCGTACGCTCACCGTCCATGTCTTCCCCACTGGTCGCCCCGCTTAGCCAGACCGCATGTGTCGCTGACTCGTTATTTCTAGGCGGTGCCTGATTTGGCTCCACAGCTGTGCGCTCGCACACTCAAACGCGTTTGTTCACCCCCCTTCCCAGTGAGTGATCGCTAAAAATACACTCGCAGCACACGCTGCCCCTCCTTTCAAATGCTGGTGACACGTGAGATGGGTTGGAGCCCAGCCCAGCCCTCCTTATGGTTAAAAATGCAAGGCTGACGTCCGATAATTAAACAGCACACCCTCATAAATAACCAGTTTCCTGTTCCTGCAATCGCCACCCTCTGATTGAAGCATGTTATGAAAAAGCGTGTCCAAAACCCCATAATTACTGAGCAATCAAGCTCGCCATCAAATGGGTCTTCATCGACAGAGCTGGAAGACACACACGCACCACCGGCCTGAGTGAGGGGATGCAAGAGGCAGGGGCAGTCTGCCTGGGTTCCCGGTTCCCATCCTGAGGGGACACAGGGCAGGCTGGTGTGGAGGAGAGCAGTAGGGAGGGGTACTCACCGGGGGCCCGTCGGCACCAGGCATTCCTGGGAGGCCCGGTTTGCCCAGGGGGCCCTAGAAAAAAATCGAGACTGTTAGCTTTTGGGGTTCATCTCCCCAGGCAGCCCATGTACTCTGCATGTCCCCAAGGTCACTGCTCAACATTTCTGCTCAAAGTACATCATCTGTAAAGGATGCTCAGAGGTACTGAGGTTCCACGGGTGACCTGCAGCACATAGAAGGGGGACCTTTGCCCTTCACTGTTTCCTGCAAGTTTTGCTATTGGAACAAAGTCCCCCACTGAGTGAAGGCAGGAGCGGTTCTCAGACGGTGGGCTCAGGCCCCACACAGCCCAGTGTCACATTTTAACAAGCCCCCAGGGGACCGTGCTGAGCTGAGTCCCAGGCTCTGCCGGTGCTGGGGTGTTCTGGGTCACTCCTAGGCATTCAGGACTCAGCAGGTGCCGAGAAGCGTTAGGGTTGCCAAATTTAGCAAAACCACAACCACAACAACAAACAAGATGCCCAGTTAAGCCTGGATTTCAGACAAACCACAGAGCTGAAATGTAACTAGGCGTCTGTATTTATTTTTCTTCCTAAATCTGGCAGCCCTCTGCGTGGCTAGTAACTGAATCTAACATCAGTGAATGCAAAGATCTGGGACCATCCCCAGCTGACTTGACTGGTGCATCACGGTCGGAGCCCCCACCTTGAGAGGAGGGCAAAAGCACACACCCCAAGCTGGTGCCGGCCGGCGCTTCTCTGGGGCCCACACCCCACAGGAGTCGAGCTTTCCCTGGGCAAGGTGCACCCAGCAGGTGGGCAGTGGCCCCTTATGCGCAGCTCAGCCACTCACCTTTTCTCCTGGAGGGCCAATTGCTCCCTGGGGACCAGGAAGACCCTAGAAAGGGGAAGAGCAGGGCACGGAAGGTCAGGGGGCCCGTGGTTCAGAAGCCCTCCCTGCCCTGCCCCGCACCCTCTCCCTTATGCGGGCACTGACTCAGGTTCCAAGTCACCTCCGGGTCCCAGGCCCCTTTGGGCCAGACCACCAGCAGACCTGCCCTTCCCGCTGCCCGTGGCCCACCAGCCCGCCCCCAGCCTCCTCACCTGGGCACCTGGATTACCCTGCTGTCCTGGGGGGCCAGGCTCTCCTTGGGGACCCTACAGGAAAGGAAGCAAAGGCACTGAAGGGGGTTCTGCGGGGCAGCTGGGTCACAGTCTGCTCTCACGCCTGACACGAGCCCGGGAGGGTGCCCAGACGGGACACGGCAGGTGGCCCTGGGGCAGGGAGCGGAGCCTTGGCACCTGTGACACTTTCAACATTGACCCTGGTGCAAGGGGCAGTCATTCGTTTCTCGAACACACCCCAGACACTGCTAGGAGGAAGAGACCAGGAAATACTCTATTTGGCAGAAGATTCCCAGACCACCACGCCATGCAGTCTCCCAGTGTCCCCAGAATGGATGTGGGCTGGAAACCTGCCCCTTGGTGGCGCTCCCAGCGTGTGCTCATCCCAGCGGGCAGGGGAGAAGCTAGGTGACTTCCCGCCATGCCTGCACTGCATGCTCTGGCTTTGGACTGAACAAGCAGAGACCAGGCTGCACGGGCTGCCCGCGCCCCCACCCCAGTGGCAGGGTGCCCGCCGGCCTGGCCCAGGGCCTGTGCCCGCCTCACAGTCTGACATGGTTCTGACAGCAGTGTATCTCCCCAACCTGGCTGGGGGTATACCCAGGGCGACCACCATGAGGCCAAGCTGCAAGGACCCCAGAGACTTACCACATTTCCTTTTGGGCCTGGCTGGCCGTCCATACCCGTCACACCCTGGATGAAATAGGGAAAAGGAAGATGGAATGTTCAAGAACCCCCAAGAGGAAAATCCTACTCAGCAAGCTTGGGCGCCTGCCGGTGTCAGGGAAGCACACCCTCTGGGGGAGGGGACAGGCTCTTTCCCCTGCAAATAAGCCCTAAAGGCTCAACCGTAGACAGAGCTGCCGGGACCAGATCACAGGCAGGCCGAGGTCCATGCAAGTGGGGTGGAGAGCCAGGTCCAGCCCTGGTCAGCCGCCCCCTGGGACACAGCCCCCCATAACTTGGGTTTCTGCTTCCTTCTGGAACTGTCACAGAAGTGGCTGGAAATACTTTCAAGGGAGGACATGTGGCGTCTGGTTACTGTATGTGACCAAAGGGGGCAGTAGTGACGCAGCAGGCCCCCTCCTGCAGGCCCCCACCGGCTGGAGAGCTCCACTAGAGCATCACAGCCCTGCCGAGACAGGCACCAGCGCCGGGCAAGTGTGCACAGCTGTCAGTGTGGTGCGCCACCTGAAGGCCCGAGTGGGTCATAAGCTGGGCTGAGGGAGGGGGGTTCTTGAGGGCAGTGATGGGGACAGGCATGCAAAGGGGTGACAGGACTTACAGGAGGTCCTGGAGGGCCGGGGGGCCCCTTTGGCCCCAGCAGACCACGTGGACCCTGCAAAAGGAAAGAGAAAGGACAGTTCAAACTTGGCCGGGAACTCCATCCCCCGGGCCCTGTCCCCAGGACGATCTGCAGCCCCGATTGGCCCCCATTGTGCCCAGGTCTTTGCCGAGACACGGGCCTCCATGGCCCCCAGGGAGCAAGCTGACAGTCCTCCTCGTCCGCTTCATCTCCTTGCCCCACTCCGCTCAGCTCCGCCTGGCCACCTCGGCCCTGGCAGTACAGGTGGGTGCCTGGGGTGACAGGGGGCTCAGACGAGGGACAGCGGGCACCCGTGGGGAAAGGGGTGCATTTCAAGTCAACTGTGCCTTTTCACGCTGGCTCAGGACAGGTGCACAAAAGCTGTCCCAGCTGAGGCCACATTATGCTCTGCCACATGGAGCACGTCTACGGCTTTGTTGTGACTCCCCTCCAGTCCCTCTGGGCAGCGATACGCCACTGCACTTCTGACATCAGAGCCTGCCAGCATGCGGTGGACGAGGCCCCTGACGGGGTCATCACGACCGAGTGTGCAGAGATGGGAGTGGAGCTCGGGCCTTTTCTGGGATGGCCACTGCGACAGCGCTTGGTCCTCCCAGCCCTGGCAGCGAGGGGCAGGTGTGTGGGCAAAGCCCGAAGGTGGCCCTGGCCCCAGGACGGTCCACAGGATTGAAGAGGCGGCACTGCCTGCCACGGGAGGAGCCTGCAGCCCAAACGCTCACACCCACCCTGCCCACGGTGGGCGAGCCTGAAGCCGGGGCACCCGATTTCAAGTGTCCTTGATTTTGGTAGAAGCTCTTCAGATGCAGCAGAAAAGAAACCCTTCCCACATTCATGGCCACTTTAGTGTCCCTCATTATGTTAATACCCAGTCACATAAATGTTTTTTAGAAGTTAATAACCCAGAAGGTATCGCTTAGACATGTGTTAAGGAGAGGGCTGTGCTGATGAATTCTTAGCGGCTAATCAAACATCTAGGGTGTAATTTAGCCCTGAACGAGCGGGCAGACACCGGCCCCAGGCTCTCCTCTGTGCAGCTTTCTTGATATTTCTCCTCAATTAACACCACCAGACGTGCACTCGGTGTGGACGTGGGTAACAACTGTGAGGCGTTTGAAAATGTCCTTTGCACTTGCTTTGGCCCTAAATAGACGTCAGAGTATGGAAAAGAGCTCTCTGACCCCTGCAGGGCCACTGCTGGAGGGCAGTTTTTGGAAAGCACAGCCATCAGAAAGGGTGGCATACTCCGGCGGATTCAGGCCTGCAAGTGCCTCTGGATGCCCACCACTGACCCTGGACACCCCCACGCTGACCCTGGACACCCCCATGCTGACCCTAGATACCCCCATACTGATGCTGGATACCCCCGTGCTGCCTGTGGTCACCCACCGTGATAGTGGCCTGGAGCCCTGGCCTGGGCTGATCCTTGGGAAAGGCTCAGACCCATTCTGCCAGTGCCCCGTGGGCCCTCTTCTGTCCCAGGGGACTTCCTGGGCGGTGCCTCCCCGATCTGCGCTCCGGTCCATCCCTGTGCTGCCAGCCCCGTGCTAAGGAGACACAGTCCCACCCAGCCAGTGGACTTACGGGCTCCCCGGGCAGCCCTCTGGGCCCGACTTCTCCGTCGTCACCCTGTGGGGAAGAAAACAGGTGGGATTTCAGGGACAGACTCCAAAGCCGGACAGACAGGCTTTCCCTTGACTGTGCCAGCCAACCCGGGTGCTGCTTCAGTGTGTGCCGGCCGGACAGCTGGGACGTCCTCAGCCCCGGAAGCTGCAGGTGAAAGGTGAGGCCCAGGCCTCTGGGACTTGGCTCAGGGGCTCACAAACCACGGCTCCAAAGGGGAGCGCCGGGCAGAGGGAATCATGGGCTCAGAGGGCTTGCTCACCTCGGATGGTAGTGAGATGAAGGACAGAAGAGGACAGAGATCAGAGAAAGACAGTAGACGACAGGAACATGAGTGACAGCGCAGCGCGGACAGGAACCGGGAGAGTCACCAGACCCCCTAGGCTGATGCCAGGGGCCTGATGTGCCCACCGGCATCCCAAACACAGTGGGGAGCAAACCAAGAGGGGGGCTTTCCTTCTGGTTCGGGGGGCAGTGCGGTCCCGGCCAACTGGTTCCCTGTCAGGAGCTGCCTGTAAGCACTCGGCTCACAGCCTGGAACTGGGCACTGAGGCCGTCTAAGGGGCCTGCCTCCCGGCCAGGCTCCCACACCAGGAGAGCAGCGTCCATCCCTTGCCTGCCCCCTCAGCCATTCCGGGCTCTCGCCACCGTCTCCCCATCCCGAGCTCCACCACCTGCCACCTCCGCCAGACCCCCGTCAGGACGAAGCCATCCAAGACACGGACTGTGGCACCATCTCCTGGAGTCAGAGGCGATTTTTCTGAGGCCTGGGGCAGGGGCCCGCCTCTCCTGGACGCGTCCACAAGACCAATGACGTCCAGCTCACCACCCCCGCTGTGCTCTGCTCACAAGTCCTGTGCAGCCTCTACGTCCTGGCCCAGGGCTTTGCCCACCGCATCCCCTCCCTTCCCACCCTCCACACCAGGTGTCCTGTCTCATAGCCACCCACGATCCCCGTACAGTTTTCCTGCCCAAACCCTCCTAGGAGCCAGCCAGGCAGGTGCAGCCAGGGGCCCACACAGCACATACCCTTTCTCCGTCGTCTCCCGGAAGTCCTGGTGGGCCAGAGGGACCAGGGTCACCCTAGGAAGTCAGCGAGGTCAGTGTCAGCCCTTCTGGGGCAGGTCGTGCATGGCTCTGCCAAGGCCCCCATTCCTCTCGCTCTAATTCTAGACTCAGCGCTCAGAGTGTCTGAAAACTTCCCTGGAGCCACAGAAGACCTCTCTGGATGGCGCACACCGGCGCAGCTGGGCTGGTGGCTGGGGAGGCTCTCACCCGGGGCCCTGGGCCCTGGAGGTGGGTTTCTAGACCAGGCATGCAGCGGGGCTGGGCTGGGGCCCCAGGACACTGAGGCGGAAGCAGGGGCGCACCCCAGGCCTGCACTGCCCCCTGGAGAGGGCCACTGCCCTGGATGCTGAGTGCTCTGAGGTCAGCACTGGTGCACCTCGCACGCCTCAGTCAACAGACTGGCCCTGCCCCTGCCCCTGCCCCAGGGGCTGCCTCATCCATTTTCACATGATGGATGGAGCAGCTTTGACAAAATTGCAGCAGACATTTCTCAATGCATCATGAAAGGGGATAGATGAACCTTAGTACAGAATCGGCACATGAGTGTGCATGTGCGTGTCTGTGTGCACATGTGTACATGTGCCTGCACATCTAGAACGTGCCAAAATAGAAGAAGCATTGTCTGCTTCAAAGAAAATGCAGGAGGGAGAAAACGTCCAATAAGCTGTGAAGGCCGCCAAGTGCAGACCACCTCAAGGGGATGGGAACTCCGGGGCCGGCCGCCGGCACACCCACCCAGCCTTCTTGGTGGGGCCCAGCCACTGGGGACTGTTCCCACCTTCTAGAATCCCCCCTTTACTGGTGCACGGGGCGGCAGCTCCCAAGTAAGCCGGCTGTATTTCCTGAAGGCTCGAGGGGCCCATTAAATAGGAAGTGCGCTCCTAAAGGGAAGGGCTAGTCCTGCAGCGTCGATGTCCTTCTGCTGAGTGGACCCAGCTGGCTCCTTCCTCATAAGCTGCAGACGAGGCCCGCTCGCTCGGGCTGACTTCCCGTGAACACAGGCGTCACACTGGCATTCACGTGCACCCCTTACTCCACACGTTTTCTTTAGTGGCTACTTTGGAATCGAGGGACCCACCCCCACACACGAGATCGAAGGCTCTGGAAGGGCCTCCAAAAAGTGTGTCTGCTGCACAGAATGCGGTGGGAGCTTCATGCCTGCAACTCTCAGACGGGGAGGACTCACCCTGTGGCCCTTCTCTCCCGGCAAGCCAGCCAGGCCGTCAAAGCCGCGGTCGCCCTGCAAGGACAAGAGGCTGCTCAGAGACAGGCCTGCCCCAGCAGTCGGACGGCCCTTCCTCGGCCGCGGCTCAGGCAGCGACCTGCACCTGGGGCCTTAAGAAACCCGCCCCTCGGCGCTCATTCCGCCGCCTGGGTCTGTATCCCGGCTTCTCCCCCAGACAGCATAGCTGCCAACAGAGGGGTGGCTTTTCTCCTGGAGCCACAGACTTGGAGCCGTGCTGGCACAGAGAGGGACATGGGTGCTTGGGGCAGCTGTAACGCTGGGGGTGCCATCTGCTGGTCTGGCTCTGCCATTGCATCCTCAGTGCGCAGGCTGAGCCCCGTCTCAGGGACGCTGCGCACCCAGGGTGAGGTCAAGGGTAGGCAGCTCAAGCTGTCCAGACTCTGATGTCAGAGACCGTGGTTGGCTGAGAGGGACTCGGTGGGCCTTTCCTCTCCTCCTCTCCCCACAGCCGGTCACTGAAGCCCAGAGCCCCTCATTAGCTTGGGATGCCCGGGGAGCCCCTGAGTGCTCATCCGTGCAGACAGGTGCGGTGCACACCTGGCGGTTTGGGTGACCTATCCCCGCCCCCTTCCAGTGAACAGTGTAGGTCTCCTCCCTGCAGGCCACCTTCCTCCGGAGCCTCGCGTGGCCATGGACAGACTCTTCCAGAGCTGAGACGGAAGGGTGTGCCGAGGACGGGGAGGCTTCGGGCCAGCGCTGGGGGCAGAGGGATGGCACGCTGGCCCACAGCAGCTGGGAGGGTGGGGGCTTCCACGGGCTCCAGCTGCAGAGCTCGTGTCCATGCACGCATGATGGCTGAAGTCCCAAGGGGCACGGGTGCCCAACGCTGGACAAGAAGACGCCCCACCCGAGCACTGTGATCTGACCACCTCAACGCCGCATGTTCCCTGCATCGGCCCCTGTGAGCCTCTTATGACACACATGGCTCCTGTGGCCGCGCCTCTACCCATGCTGTGCTCACCACCCACAGATGGCAAGGCTGCCCTCTAAGCACGCCGGCTGCAAGGGCCACACCTACTGGTGGAATTCGCCCCACCACCCATCGTCCTGTCAACGCGCCAGAGAGACCGATCCTGGCCCACCTTCCTCAGCCCAGGGCCTACCCCCAACAGGCGTAAACATCATGAGAATTAGTTGTCATCATGGACATTCTCATCACATAACCTGCACGTTGGCTGCATCACCAGCATGATGACAGTGATGGCCCTGGACGGGGACACGATGACGCAGTGAGTGTGGCCTACCTTGGGGCCAGTCTGTCCAGGCATCCCTCTTGCTCCGTCACTCCCAGCTCGCCCCTGTAACAGAGGTACAGTGTCAAGACAAAGGCATGGCCAGTTCACCGAGACCCTGGAGCGGTGGCTTCTGGGGGCCAAGTGTTGTCCCATGGCCCCGTGTGCTCAGGCCGGTGCAAAGGACCCAGACAGGGGCCTGGGCTGCCGTATACCTCACCACCTTAGCTGTCAGATGGAGATAATGACACACACCTCTCTGTTTGGAGATGGGGCAGGTGAGGCTGCTCTGCAGCAGAGCAGGTGAGGAACTGGTTGGTCTGCAGGCTGCAGGTGTACAACCCAGGAGAGACCACGCCTCGGACGTCAATACAGAACACATGTCCTTCCCCACCTTTGGAAGTCAAAGACCAGAGAGCATAGGGCAAGAGAGAGCAAGCGGCTGGTGTAAGTGCGGCTGGCCAAGGAGGAAATGGGCCCCAGGGCGGTGGGTTGTCTCACTAAGGCCACACAGCTGCCCAAGGTAGAGTCTGCCCTGTAAGCAAGACGCCCCATCCACGAGGGCCGCTCCCACGGCCGTTTTTTCCAGCTATGGAAATAACCGAGGACAAGTCCATGGTCCCCTCCTGAGTGGCCCTGGGCTGAAGGGCAGGGCCCGGACCTCCCAGGGCCCAGTCTGCAGGCCCTGCCGTGTTTGAGGCAACCAGGACTGGGAGAGACATCCACTCGCTAATGAGAAATGTGAGCAGCCCAGGGTGAGGAGCTGGTCCAGATCAGCCGCCTCCCTCTTCCCCGCGTCCTGTGGGCACCTGATCAAACAGGACCATCGCCTGTGACTCAACACCAAGCTGAGAACGTGCAGACAGAAGCAGCTTTTGGTCTCAAAGCACAAGAAAGACAGTGAGGGCGGTGGCAGAGAACCCCAGAGAGAAAGAAGCCTGGGGCCCGGGCAGCAAGGGGATGATGGCCTGTGCTCCCCAGGGTACAGATGGCAGGGGACTGCCAGGGATGACACCTCACCTCACAAAGGGCACCCACCCCACACGGCTCCGGGAGAAATGTGGACGCAACACCAGAAAGGAGGGACCAACGGGGAGCCCCTCCCCAAATTTCCAAATACAGCTCAAGGGAAGCTCACCAGGAAAGTTCACATGGCTGCACTACAGAGAGCTGGCACCTGCCCCAGGCTCTGTGCCCTCCCACCACCCGTGCCCCTCCAGAGGGCCTCCAGGCACAGGTCCCCCTCCACGCAGATACACGGGCCTGACCAGGCGGCTCTGTGACTAGTCCCATCCTCAAACACCCCTCCTGTCTTTTCTTTTTTCACCTCGCCCTGATGGAGAAGCCATTTTCAATGCAACACTGTTTGCAGAGATACACAAAACACTTAATGAAATAAAACACTTCGCAGAAGCGGATCCAAGATAAATCACCTAACCGTTCACCACGAATGGCCCAATTCCGGCCCTGGTGGCCCCTGTGGAACTGGCTCGTTCAACCCCGTGCCGTGTGCCTGGACCCACCCCACAGATGCGCCGAGCGCCGCCTTGGCAGGCCAGTGAGAGCAAGCGTCCCCACGGTGCCGATGGCCACTTCACTTACTAACTACAGGTGACTCCCAGGACGCGAGGATCCCCGACCACTAAGGACTCACTCACGTTTGCCTTCATGCTCTGAAGCCAGAGTGGGAACTGGTCCCTGAAATGACCAACATCCCTTGAAGAGGTTCATATCTAAACAAATGCTGTATGAGAATGAATTTCTTTTCCCCTCAGTATAAACATTTGCTGGTTGAAAAGATCTACTTGTTAGGAAATGATGGGGGTTAATTAGGATACCTCTAACTTATCAGGATGGTGTTCATGAATTTGTATAAACGTATAAATGCATCTCCTCATGCCAGAGCCATGATTATATGGACACTGACTAGCACCGCCCTCTGGGATTACATTCCAGAGAGTCCCAGGCAGCCAGGAGAGCACCGGGACAAGGGGATGGCCTGAGCACCTGCCCAGGCATGTCCCTCAAATGGTGGCCATTTCTGGAGAAGCAAGACTGCCTCAAGAAAGTGAGGCCGATGGAAACCCTGTCTTCTCAATGCTTACTCCCAAGGGGCCTGGGAAATTGCTTTAACTAAAAATGTTTCTTCAAATTAACACCCAAAAAACAAATAACCCTGATTAAAAAATGGGTGGAGGACCTGAACAGACACTTCTCCAAAGAGAAATACCAACGGCCAACAGGCACATGAAAAAATGCTCCACCTTGCTAATATTCAGGGAAATGCAAATCAGAACCACAATGAGATCTCACCTCACACCATTCGGAATGGCCACTGTCCAAAAGACAAGAAATAACAAATACTGGCAAGGATAAGGAGAAAAGGGAACCTGCGGATGGGAATATAAATTGGTGCAGCCACTGTAGAAACAGTATGGACATTTCTCAAAAACTAAAACCAGAAATACCATTTGACCCAGAAATTTCACTCCTAGGAATGTACCTGAAGAGAATAAGACCCCCGATTCAAAAAGATACACGTGCTGCTATGTTTATCGCTGCACTGTTTGCGATAGCCAAGATATGGAAGCAGCCTAAGTGTCCATCAGTAGATGAATGGATAAATAAGATGTGGTATATTATTGTGGTATATTATATGTGGAATATTATTCAGCCATAAAAAAGAAGAAATCCTTCCATTTGCAACAACGTGGATGGGTCTAGAAGCTATTATGCTCAGTGAAATGTCAGGCAGACAAAGACAAATACCATATGATTTCATGTTTTGTGGAGTATAAAAACAAAGCAAAACAGAAGCAGCAATGCAGCAGTGGACTCAGAGATGCTGAGAGGCGATTGGTGGTTACCAAGGGGGAGGGGAGTAGGTGGGGACACAGGAGTGGCCGGGGGATAAAAGGGCACAAAAATTTGTAATCACAATATAAGCTGATCATGGGAGTCCGTTGAACCACTGTGATGTACATTCAAAACCAACGTAAGACTGTAATAAATAATATTTTAATTAAAAAAAAATGTTTCTTAAGCTAAATTCGCAAGCTCAGGACAGTGGCCAGGACGGCACTGGCAGGTGAGCCGTTTCTGCCCCAGGACGCAGAGCACCGGCCAGGGCACCCTGGGGAGTGGGACCCAGGCTTGGGGACAGACTTGCCCTCTGGAGGCAAGGGAACAACCGGGCTTTCCACAGCCCAGCCCGGCCTGCCAGGCAATGGTGTTGGGGTGGGGTGAGCCCTGGGTGGACTCCCACCCCATCAGGGATCCCGCTGCTGTCACAGAGCCAAAGAAAAAACACTTACCCGTCTTCCAGGCTTTCCCGAAGGGCCAGGTGGTCCCTGCACACCTCGGGGACCCTGTCCGGAATCAGAGGGCAGACAGTCAGTGGCACGTGCGTGTTTTTCAGAAGCAAAAGCAAAGCCTTGACCCATGCTTTTCACCCCAGCCTGTGGCCCGCCATCTCAGCCAACGTGTGGGCAGCGCCCAGACAGGGCACAGGGTCTGCTGCCCCGGGTGGGGGACGGGTACGGGAAACGCCAGGTGGCTCCCACGGCAGACATCCAGGGCTATTTCTGGACTGCTTCCAGTCTCATAAAGCCACAGCAATGGCCAGCAGCTCCTCTGACGAAACACAGCCTCTGGGACACTACAGACCTGGCCTCCCATACCCAGGAGCCACCCCTTCACAGAGCGAGGGTGCCGCGCCTACGTACCTGTGGCCCCATGTCTCCCGGCTCACCCTTCAAACCACCGCTCCCGGGAGGGCCCTAGGAGACAAGCTCTGGGTTAAGGGAAGCTCAGCAGGCGAAAGCTGGCTGGGTGGCCGGGGAGTGGGGGGTAGAAACTACCAGGCTTGCCCAGTCCCCTGAGGGCCGCAGGGCTCTCTGGCCACACAGCCCAGCCAGCCGGCCTCGGACAGAGCCAAGAGATGAGCTGTGACTTTTCAGTTGTTTTGATCTCCTAGTTTTTAGGAAATTCTGGGCAATGGAGTGTATAAGGGTCCCAAAGCTCACGGCAGTGTCTGTTTCCACTGGAGCTCGCAGCTCAGCTCACGGTACATGTACCCATCTCCTGGCCATGGCGAGGCACGATCACGGGTGGAAGGGAGCAGCCCGGGCCAAGGCGAGGCCGGCGGCCAAGTCCACCCCTCCCGGGGAAAGGGGTGGGGGAACCGTGGAGCCTAAACCCTCTGCTTTCTTGCAAAGTGCAAGGCCACTCGCACTGCCTAGACCCCCGAGCCAGTCCTAAGTGTGTCCAGGAACACTGCATCCTTGTGCAGTGGGGGCAGCCAGGGGGACAGGGGTCCAGGGTCTGCCCCCACACTGAGGTGCTCTTGACTTTGGAAGCATGGCCCCAGAAGAAAGAGGCCAGGAGCCCCTGGGTCATGAGGCCTAACACAGCCAGGAAGAGCGTGGGCCCCCAGACTCCCCAGGCCATGGCAGGCCACCACCCTGTGTGGGACCCTCGCCCGCTGACATGCCCGCGCTAGAATTAGTGCTTCATAAGAGCTCAAAATGCGCTCACTCAGGTGAGCGCTGGGAGCCTAACGGGCAGGGGTGACAGGGGACACCCACCGCTCACCACACACCCTGCAGGACCCCGCCAGTGACTTACCATGGGGCCAGGTCTCCCAGTAAGCCCCATCGGGCCAGCTGGCCCCCTCAAGGCCAACTGCAAGAGAAAATGGGGTGCACTGAGAAATAGCTGGTTTACTGGTGCTGACGGGCGAGACACAGCCAGGCAGGAGCCCTAGAGGGCAGAGGGCAGAGGGCAGACGGGCCCCAGACACCCGGCCCTGCAGCTCCGCTGGGGCCCTAAGTATCTCTCAGGAGAAATCGGTGGGGGGGGCCTGGAGGCGGAGCCCCTTCCGTGCCACTCCTGCCTTGGGGGTGGGTGCTCCATCTACTTGGGGTGCTCACAGCCTTTGCTGACCTTCCTCCTGCCCAGCCCACACCGTGCAGAGGACCTGCCCTCTGCCCTCTACCCTCACCCCTCCGAGGGAGCGGGAAGTGCAGCCTCCGCCCCCAGCCATGGCGGGGACTCTGCTCTCCTAGGGAAATCACACTGAATAACATTAATTTCCCACCAGGGCACTCCCAGACCCTTCTAGCCACTGCAGAGGCATTTCAGAGCCCTCTTAGGGTGAACCAAACAGGTCCCAGAGTAGGCAGCTGTTGGCGCACAGCCCCCTGCAACCCACCCAGACACCTGCCAGGGGCTCTCGCCCACCAGCAGGCCACACAGCTCAACCCACTTTCTTAAAGAACCCCTTCTTGCTCCCTTTATGTCACTCGGTGCCCCCTCCACAACACCATTTTCATTTTGGAAGGTCTTTTCATATATAAAATCTTTTTGGAAGCCCATCACCCACTTGGCTCCAACTGAAATATGCACAGATTAAAAGGTGGGTGAGGGAGGCCCAGGTAATCAATCCAGTTGCTGGTAATGGGCAGGTTCCCGACTGCACTGGGCCACACAGGACATCAGCTCCGTGGCAGCAACTCAATACAGAACCCGTCCTGCCATCACCCATGCATTCTGATCATTAGCCTCGGCCCCACCGCACCAGAGTCACATAAATATTGCCCAAACAAGGGGCTGTCTAGCAGCTTCTTGAGACGCCCCATTTCGGGCACCCCACAGAAGGACCACCTGCCCAGCCCTCCTTGCCCACCGGGGTTTGCTCTTATCACAGCCAATCAGCAATCCAGAGCCTCATAGTCAAAAACTCCATTCACTGACCAGCTGGTTCACAGAGAGCAGGGCGGTACCAAGGCAATGCTCCCGGGTCCCCAGGTCAAGTGAGGGGCTTTGGAGCCCCTGGGGTTTCCCACAGTGCGTCCAGAGCAGCCCAGCCACATCACAGGCAGTCCCTTCCAGCAGCCCTGAGGTGTCCCTCTCTGTCCCTGGACCCCAGCAGAGGGCAGCAGCCAGCCAAATGTGGGCCACCGGGTCAGCACATGTGGGAGGGGCCCAGAAGTCCCTCACAAGGCTCTGCTGCCACGTCCTTACCTGGGAACCTGGTCCTCAGTGTGGGCAAGGAACCTGAGGACCCTCTTTGGCCTCCCCTGGTGTTCACCTGGCCCCCCAGCTGGACACCGACAGTGGATGCTCCTACAGTCTCCTGAGGCCCCAACAGGCGAGCAATGCGCAAGCCAGGAGAAGGTGGTTCCCCCCACGCCGGGCTCTGTTCCCGCACTTACCCGGGCCTGCTGCAGAATGGCTTGGGCCTGGGACTCCTGGGCTGAGACCATGGGGCCTTTGGAGCCCGCATCACCACCCCCTCCAAAGCGGAACTGTAGGGTAAGACAGAGGGTCACGAGGGGACCGTCCTGGGTGCCTGCACAGGACCCTGGGGCCGAGGTGGTGCCCATCGGCCTCTCAGGTGACAGGGGGGCTTGGAGGTCCCGTGGGAAACATCCAGTCCCAGCCCCACTCCCTGAGCACCCCACCCTCTCTCCCAGCAGGGCTGCCCCAGCCCCACCTGCCAGTTTCAGCCCTAGGGCCATGCCGAGATTCTCCCTGTGCCCGGGAGCCTTCTCTCCCTGAGACTCCACCACCCTATTTATTGCAAGGGAAGGCCACTGCAAGGGCCCGCATCAAGAGGCTTAGTGAGGGTGCTCCTGGCTCCACACAGGGTCTCCCTGCACTGGGCCGGCCTCCTGGGCAGCACGGGGTCAGGGAGAAGTGACACCAGCCAGAAGACTGCCGTCCAGGCCAGTGTCCTCCCAGACCTGGGCTCCCATCTCCTTGGCAGACCCACAGGTCATAGGCAGGTCAAGCCTAAGGAAGGACCAGCTAGCAGCACGCCTACTCGGAAGTCCAAGTGGTGACAGAGGCAGATGCCACACAGATTCCCTTCAGAGGGCCAGACTCCTCACCCTCCTAGATGGGCAGCCCTGGGCACCAGTGGACAGGAGAGGCCTTGACTGCTGCTGCCCACTCTGCCATGTCAGTGGGAACACCCCAGAGGAGCCTATTTTTTCTATTAGACAGTTGCCCAGGGTAGTGTGAGTCTGTGGCTCAGACTGTCCCCTCAGGAAAAGGAGCCCAGGGCCACATGCCCTGTGGCATCCTGAGCTCTGAGCCCACCCGCCCCGGTCTCCCGCCCACATGGATGAGGGTACTCACAGGCAGCATGAGCATGGTTCCGGGGGGCCCGGGCAGTCCATCGGCCCCAGGAAGGCCCGGACGTCCGGGGGGGCCCTGTGGACAGAGGGCAAGAGAGCCGTGTCAGCTGCAACAGGGGCGGAAGGGGGCTGCATCAGGATGAGGGGTCAGAGCCGTGGCCTGTCGGGAAACACACTGGACAGGCACAGAATGTTCCAGAACCAAAGCTCAGAGAAAGGAGGGGCTCACTGCGGGCTGAGGATGAGTGAAGCCTTCTGCAGGGAGGGATGCAGAGGGAGGGGGTCCGAGCCGATCGCGAGGGCTTTGGAGAGACACGAGGTGGGAGACTGCAATCCGGTGGGGAGAGGCGGCACTCCGGGCGGTGGGCACCCAGGCACCCCTCCAGGTGTCCACACTAAACTCAGAAACCCTTGCTGACTGCACCACCAGGGGGTGCCCCCTCTGTGGGCCAGCCCCCAGGGACGCTCAGACACAAGACGGGAGGAGGCGCCCACTTGCTTGGACAGACGCAAGGGGCTAGAATAAACCCGAGGACGACACCATGGCCACCACAGATTCTGCTAATCTGGCCTCAAAGGCAGATAGATGCCCTCTACAGATTTGCCAGATGGATTCCGGCCTGTCTCAGGACTACATGATGCAAAACTAACGGGAGAGTTTATTTTCAAAAAAGATGTCGTCTTAGGATTGACTCCCATTCCCAGTCAAGAACAGCAAGAACCTGGGTAGTTCCCTGGGACCCATTGGGAGGGTGGGAACCGCCTGGGACTCGGCGCCCTGCTTCTTCGGAAGTGACTTCATCACGGAGTGATCCCTGTTTCGCGAAATGCTGCGTAGCATGGATTTACAGGGTGAAAAGTGACCACTGGCTCTGCTCCCCCAGGAGGTCCCGGTGCTGAGAGCCGGCTGGACGCCCCCAGCCCCATGACGAAGAGGCCGTCCCCAGGCTGGTGGCTGGGAGAGGGTTTTCATCCCTTATAAGATTATCTTCCATGCCTTGTCCTGCCATTTGCTATTTCTCTTTGCTGCACATCACGGCCTACTTATGAGCTCGGCTTCATTCTAAGAGCCGCAGAGTTTCCACGTGTGATGGACTCCGCCTGGGGAGCCTGTCCCCTCCCGATGCACACGCGGGTCCCTCCCAGCTGTCAGGAGCACGCATGCTGCGTGATGAATGGCCAGCCCTCTTTCCTAGGAAAGTCCCTAGAAGCAGAATCGTTGGGTCAAGGACCACACTTTTTTATCACTAATGGACACAGCCAGATTGCCCTTGCCTGTCATTTTGGAGAAACTTCTCAGAAGATTAAAAAAAAAAAAAAATCCAGAGTGTGTTTTGCTGCCCAGGTTTCCTCTTGGAAATCTGGCACCGACAGCTGCTCACAGCTGAGCTTTGTGCCTCCGAGTCGATCCCAAGACAAACCCTCAGTATAAACATAGGGTCCCGAGGAGGAGATGCCGTCCATGTGGGGTCTACGTACATGTGTGCATGGATGTGGGGCGCTGGGGGCCAGGCAGTACCCTGGGGCAGCCCTCACCTGCTGTTTCCATTCCCAGAGACCCTTATATCTCAGTATGCTTCCTCCCTGCCCTTTCTGAGCCTGGATGCTGAAAATTCAACCTCAGGACTGTGCAAACAATTTCACTCTAGCCACAGATGCTTCCTCTCGACTGTAACCAGACCCTCAGCGGTGCCCAAGAACAGGAAGGCAGGGGGACAAGGATAACCTGGAAGCCCCTGGAGAAAGCGGTGGTGCGGAAGGAAGTCAACAATGCTAACCCCACGCCCACGGGGGTCCTTCTGGAGCTTGAACTTTATGAGTCCTGCACAGCCGCTCACCTGAACCTGCATTTGCCACTGCCTGGAAACATGGTGAGCAGCCCTCTGCCCAGGACCGAGCTCTCTAACAAACCGACTGTCCCCGAGCAGGAAGGTGGCTCCCACTTCTCAGGGCACGAACTCGGGCTAACGATTGCGTGCTCTCTGCTCCACCTTGTGTCGGACACCCCGGACACTCCAGCAAGCTGATGGGGAGGGTGTGGGGACCTTCCTCAGCTCCAGCCACCGGGTGAAAGGTGAAATAAGAAATGTCACCTGGCCTTTGTGCGTTTCTCTGTATCACTTGATGGGCCTTCAAACCAGTGCCCTAACTTGGTCGAACAGCAATGTTGTCAAGCACTGGTATAGAGGGGCTCTGTGCACACTGAGATCTGGCAGAGAAATGTGGGGCCATTTGCACACCAAGACATCACTGCTGGTTAATGGGCTTTCCTGAGGCTGTCTCGGCACCACCCCTGCTTGGAGATGGAGGGACAGGGAGCCCAGACCCCCTGCAAAGCAGCTATCGGCTGAGGCTGCAGATTCAGACTGAAGCAGAACCCAAGAGCCCTCAGCTCAGCACTGGGGAGCCACGTGGGGCCTGGGTCCAGGCTGTGAGGTGGGCTGGGCAGCAAGCAGAAGCCTGAGCTGTGCCATAACAAAGGCAGGGGATGGGGGGAGAGCCCCAAGGACCAGGAGCCTTTACTCTGAGATGTTTTTGCTTTCGCTCTTAGAGAGACCCTGAAAAGGAGAGGGACGTGGCGTGAACCCTCCAGGCCCTGTGGGGGTGGCCTTTCATTTCCAGGCCAGCTCCTGCCCGGTCACGGCTTAGGAATGGCCCGTGAAGAGCTTAGAGGTCACCTCCCACTGCAGGTCTGCAGACTGGGCTCGGGGGCTGTGCTAAGGCTGGGTTCGGGTGGGGCTGGCAGCATGTCCCCGCACGCCGCCCCCCACCCTGCCAATCTCGGCCACCCCGGAGCAGAGGCCGGCTGGAAAGCTGGGCTCAGCAAAGTCCCTAAGCCCCGGAGCCTGCTGGACCTGGAGGGAGGGACCGAGACGCGCCTGAGGCCTGCTTCCATTCCCATGCTCGCCCCCTCTCAGGATGACTCCCCTGCCACATGCTCCCTAAGATGAAAGAAGCTTCCAAGGGGTTCAGGGATTAACAGAAGACTCGATGATGTCTCACGAGGCGGGGACCTGGTCACAGAGCACAATGGCTCCACCAGCCAGGGGACAGCTGTGTCATGGGGCTTAAGGCCTGTGGCTTGTCCCCAGGACACAACAGATACCTGGCACTGCAGAGCATGAGAGTAACCAGGTGTCATGGATAGGAACTGCCGCCCCACAGAGGTAAGTCCCAACGCCAGGAGCACCTTGCAGAGAGCACAGCCTGCCCGGGGGCAGGGAGACGTGAAGCCGAGCCCGGCGTGGCCGGCAGGCAAGAGCGGCCACACGCAGTGGCCTTCCGCACAGTCAAAAGCTTCGTGTGGTCCTCGGCGGGCCCCGTGTCCCTGCCAGCTGCTGGAGAGCCAGTCCGTGCCCGTTCCGGTGGCCCTGGGCGCGAACCCAGCTGGCAGGGAGGGGAAGCGGACACTGGGGGTCGCTGCCCCCGGGCTGGTGTGGCACACACTTTCTTGTACAAGGAGCAATAACTACTGCTCCTCACGGTGTGGTTTACAGGCCTCTCAAGGCACAGGAAATGCACGCATGCAAAATCCCACAGGCAGCCTAACCCTTGGAACACAAAGAGGTGCCAGGTGGCAGGGGAGCCCCCGCGCAGGAGGGACGGCGCAGCAGCATGCCCATGGGCCTGCAGGGGCTGATGGGTGGGGGCCTGCCCTGTGCTCCTCCTGGAGAGTATTAGTGCCTCTCCACTCTGCAGGGAGGGAGGCACCTCTGTGGGGAAGGGTCTCCACTTTGGTCACGAGGCATCTTGGAAGGAACTTGCACGGGGCTCCCCAAGGCCCCGGAGCAGTGCCCAGCCGTGCCCAGTGTCTTGGAGCTCCCCCACCTGTGGTTTGCTTCCGAGCCGCAGCAGGAAGTGGGATCCTCCCGACCTGGGCCCTGGGAGAGCAGCCCCAGCCCCGCCTCCCTGCCATGGCTCCCAGCTGGCCCTAGGCCTCCCTGCAGGGAGTGGACGGGGTGAGGGCTCAGGCCCCTTCTTAACTGATGCTGCCTGGGAGCAAGAAAGGATGTGAGGGTCAAGAAGCTCTGATGATGCCCAAGACAGACGGAGAGTGGTGGGGGCCCCAGGGCATGAGAGGGAGAGAAGACAGTGGCCACTGTGTCTGGCCCAGCGAACGCCTGGGGCCAGGCTGGAGCGGGCTGGCCAGGGCAGGAAATGGGACGTCTGCCCTGACGGGAAGCCTACAGACACAGGGCTGCAGGCAGGCTCATGGCCACTGTCCACAGCTGCCCACGGTGTGCCTGCTGGGTGCCTGGCATGGGGAGGGAGACCCAAGGAGAAATACAGGTGTGGGACTTGTCATCAAGGACCTCACAGTCACTTAGGAAGAAAGGCTCAAACAAGTTAAGGTTAGATGACAAGAAATAAGTAGTAACTAGTAACAGGAAAGCCTACAGAACCCCAGAATGGTGGGGCAGGGCAGGGGGTGGCAGGGCCTTACAGACCACCCAGCGAAAAGCTCTCATGTACAGACAGGCCAATGAGGCCAAGCAGGTGAGGGGATCAGAATATGCTACCCCAAAATATGCCACTTGGGCATAAGGATTATTCTGAGCTGAATGCAAATAAGAACCAACAGATGCAGTTGTTCTCTGTCCTCCCCTTACCTGCCCGCAGCAAGGCCAGGATTCCCCGTTGCGCCAGCGGCGTGAATTACCCACCACCCCCACCTGTACCAGGGGGAGGGTGACCCCTCCCGCTGCAGATGGGGGGCCAGCACCGAGATGCGTCTGCATGAACAGACCCGACTGAGATGACCCTTCTCCTCCAGGGATCCCCCCACCCCCCGCATTTCCTGGTCACCGCTCCTCAGTCGGCTGCCCTCTGTGAGGATGGTGTCCAGGCTCCCAAGTCTGACTGCTTCTCTGACTGTTCATGTCTTTTCCGTGAAGCCCTGGCACATGTAAAATTTAAAATAGTAATACAACTGTATGCTTTTTCTTTTGTTAATCTGCCTTCTGTCGGTTTAATTTGCAGGCCCCAATCGCTAAATCTAAGAGGGGGGAGGAAAGGTTTTCCTTCCAACAGGGATTCTGAGGCGGTTGTACTGGCAGGTAGCAGAACGGGATCCTGGCTCTGCAACCCTTTTCTAGCTGATGAGCAGACATCCAAATCTGGGCACGGAGGGGGCACTGAGCTGTGAGCAGGGATGGATGACCTCCTGGGCAAGGCTGGCTTAAGCAGGGCCCAAAGAGGTGGGGAGTGCTCGGGGACCAGCATGTGCCCCCTCCTCACTTGAAGGCCCTGTGCAGGCCAGTGGGCCACACGTTTCCCTTCCAACTCTGGGTCAGAAGGCTCTGAGGAGCTGGGTTCTAGGCTGACTCCGTCCCCAGGCCCCTGGCTTGAATTCAAAGATACTAGTTGCTTAAACCGACACTGTTGGACCATCAGGGCCCTTGGCTTCAGCAGAGCAGCTGGGTCAGGCCACCATGCTCGAGGCAACCGCAGGGCCACCCACCACTGGCCCAGGGTCGGGCTCAGCCCAGAGGCACGGCCCAGGTGGGGAGCATGTCCCTCTGGCTCGGGACCACTTGGATCCTCAGCCCCGGCACTGTGGGCGCTCAGCGACTGTGTGAGAGGTGGACAGATGGATGGATGGCCGGATGCTTGGGGTAGCACCGAGGCTGAGGAGGTCAGTCAGTATTGGTGCAGGTGCTGCAGATGGCATCCTATCCTATGTGCACGGGGGAGGCTATGCCCTGCGGTCCTCTCTCATTGACATTTGACTCAGTCACCCGTGGGTCCATCTGGTGATGGCTGTGGGGGGAGACGTGGCCGTCACCCCATCTTACACACATCTTTGGGAAAAGGGCCCCCTGACAGAGCTGGGTGACAGACCCCAGAACTCAAGTCGTGCTGGTCCTGGGATGGGGAGGGGGCCTCTCCTTCACCTGCTTGTGTGGAATGCTGACCGTGTGGCAGAGGTGGAAGTAGTGAGCTGCTGAGATGGGGAGCGTGAGAAGGCCAAGCATTCCAGAGGCCAGCCAAGTCCCCCTGCCACAGAGGACCAGCCACCTACGCTGGGTCCCCGCAGCTACCAATCACAGAGGAATGACAGAAGAGCATCTCGTTTGATGTGCAGTCCGACCTGGATGTACTCAGAGGTCATCCAGCCACACCGGACAACAGGAAGAGGGTGCCCAGCCTGACGTAGCCCAGTCAGTCTGGGAGGTCAGCCTCAACGCACACCTGCTTCGTCCACTGGCATCACACTGTCCCGAGCGACTCCCCTAAGCCCCCAGTGCCTTGCAGCCAGGAGCCCCCACCACCACCGGGACGCCCTGCTGTACTGTAGCCACCTTCCCACGTGGCCCAGTCCATTCACATGCCCACCCAAAACCAGTGTGCCTGGCCCTGGGGACAAAGGCCCATGAGGACGCACACACGTCCCTGGTTTCTCTCATCTACAGCTTAGCCATCTGGTTATCAGCTCTTAATCTGACTGTGTCACATCGATATTCAGAAAGGAAAGAAAAGCCACCCTGGACAAGGACCCATGGGCTGCAGTAGCCTGAAGTCCCACTAGGTGTCAGAACAAAATTGTGGCATCTGGGCCAGGCCTCCTCCTCTCCTATAGCACCAGGATGAACCCTTTGACCAGGGCAACCTCAAGATGTGACCCTTTGACCAGGGTGACCTTGGGCAGCCCTTTGACCCAGGAAAAGCTCTCCTATGTCTGTGGCTTGATTCCCGACAAGGAAGGTGGATTGCGGGGGAATTGGGGCCAGGGAAGTCCTTGCACTGGGGGTGATCAGTGCAGATTCTGGGGTGCAGACACCCCTGCTCACTTTAGCCGCTGTAGCTGTTGCATCTGTCACCCCCCTGTGAGCTGGCTCCGTGGGACCCCCAGCCTCGCTGGGTCCTGCTCCTGTGGGTGCCGCCGGCCCCCAGCCGGGGGCCGGGCAACAGAGGGCCTCCCTGTACCTGAGCAGCCTGGGCCAGTAGGGGTGGGCTGGGAGGTGAGGGGCTGGGGCAGTGTGGAGAAGGAAGTGATGTCCCGGCTGTCCTCTGCACATGTGAGGCGATCGGCCCACAGGGCAGAGAGGACGCACGGAGGAGCCCAAGGGGCCGAGTCACCCTTACCCTTTCTCCAGGGTCACCCACTTGGCCAGTGGGACCCATCGTTCCTGGAGGTCCTGGGAGGCCCTAGAATTAAAAACAAAATCAATACTGAGTTCAAAGCTGCAGCGACAGGCAATAGCCTGTTCCCACCTGGCTGGGAGAGGTAGGGGCCGCGAAGTGCTGGGCCCCAGGGTGTCTGCAAAAGGCGGTGAGCACCCCCTCTTTCCCATCTAGGGGCTTTAAGAGGTGTCCCTGGCCCCCCACCCCCAAGCACCTCCCACACATCATGCGAAAATAAAGCCTGACACTCACTGCGGGGCCCTCCGGGCCGGGCGGCCCCTCCATGAGCATGCCCTGGAAGAGACGGGAGAGAACATCTGAGGGCCGGGCCCCACAGTGAGGACACCCCACAGTGCGCCTGCCGTCCTGGCAGAGTCCCCAGCAGCAGTCTGTAAGGGGGCTGTGGTGGGGACCACGTCACCATGCTAGTGTGTCCAGGTACGGGGCAAGGCCCAGACAGTATCCCACCCGCTGCCCTCGAGCAGCTCGAGAGAAGCACCTTCCGATGCCAAGGGAAGGGGAACCCAGGCCCCCTGGCTCTCCTGTCTCCTGAACGGGAGCACAGGCAGGCCTGGGTGGGGGCCAGGAGAAGGCCCAGTGCAAGGGCAGTCAGGGTGGTGGGGCGGCTGCCCTGTGGATTCAGGGGAGCCTAGAGGAAAGAGGCCTGCAGGCCGAGGCCCAGGAACTGTCAGGCCTGACCGCTCACAGAGGCCGTCCGGAGCCTCCAACCCCCTCCCTCCAGGTGGGAAATGCCCCCCCACGTCCGGCAGCCCAGGGCAGTGGGGTATACTGCCGAGTCGCTGGATGCCGGGCCACCCTTCAGGCTTGTCCCCATGTGGGGGCAAAGACAGTGAGGTCCAGGAGGCCAAGGGCCACCCTGCCTCTGGCCCCCCCAGACTTCACTGTCCTTATGTCCACATGGGGACAAGCCTCTGCCTGCTCTGTCCACCTTGGCCCAGAGGGATGGGGGCAGTGGAGGGGAGAGGGGCTTCAGTCACCTGCTGGATGGCGCTCCCTGCCCAGGGTGCTCCCCCTCTCGGACCTCCACTCCCAGCCCCTTTCTTCTCCCGACTTCTATCAGGTCAACGCCAGGGTCAGGAATCCCCCCACGTCCTCTGCATTTCATGCCAATTTCAGGGGGTCTGAGGCAATGCATGGCCTTCCAGGGAGGGAAGGGTCCCCTGCCTCTGCGGAGATGAGCACCTGAGAACCCACCGGAGTCTGGGGACCAGGCGGATGCCCTCCCGTCCCGCTGGGCGGCTTCAGCTGCATGCGGGGCCAGTGGGCGCAGGGACAGCCCTCTCCCTGTAATCCTGAGACGGCCAGGGCGGACCCCTGTGCCCATTCCTCCAGACCAGAGAAAGCACAGCTGCTTCTCTAGGCCAGTCAATGCCACTGTGCCCTGGACTGCTTTCCGAAAGTACACAGTCCTCTCATGAAGCCAGGAGTGGCTTCCCAGGAGTAAGGTGCTGTGCTCCATTGAGGCACATGGGTCAGCACAGGTGTCTGGCACCAGGCTGGTGGGAGGCACCCAGCCAGGGGGAAGCAGAGACCTTCACCCCCTTCAACCTCCCCAACAGGGCTCCCCAGTCACTGGGAACATATCCACTGTGTTTACACGGCGTACGCTCAGAGCAATACCTGCCCACGAGATGTAAGCAGACATCCCCCAAGTGGCTCTGGGAACCCAGCGTCCCCATGTGCTCTGACAGGCAGCAGAGGAGGCTCAGAAACCCAGATTTAGATGGAAGCCCTGGCGCTGAGGCTGGGGGACCCCAGCTGTCCTCCTGGACACACTGACCATTCTCAGGAGCCGGGCCATGTCAGGCAGGGACCTTCCGGAGGGCCAACCCAGTGCCTCCAGGTCAGCATGGGAAGGAAGCTGGAAACTGGCAGAGGGGATGCCAGGAAGCATCCCCATGGCCACCAGGGAGGACCATGCCTGTGACAGCAGAGTGCCCTTCCCACACCCCATCAGGGCATAGACGCCAGCCTCAAAATTCAGCCGGGACAGTGACTGTAAGTAAAGGTCACAGCCTCCGCTGAGCTCAGAACAACTCTCAGAGGAGGGCCACCCAAGAGCACACTCAAAATAAGTTTTAACCCCAGTGAAGGGAGAGATGACGAATTATACGCCTCTGAAGGACATGCACCAGGTGATGTAAGACTCTGGATCTGGGGACGCCCTGGTTCCCGAGGCTCAGGACAGCCAGCGGCACCTGGATGCCGATGAACCTGAACCCTCCCAGTTGAGTGGATTCTTGTCCTTTCAAGGAGCCACTGGGACTGCTGACAAATTACAGGAAGTGCCAGATCCAGGTGGGAAATGGCTGGCATGCATGGCCCTGGTGTGGACAGAGGGAAGGAGCTGATTCCGAAACTCAACAGTGCGTCGCATCTCCCAGAAGGAGGTTGCTGAAGCAGGCGAGGGGACAGGAAACAGGGCCACTCCAACCTCCAGGGGCCGGGATGCCACACGGCTCACAGCAACCCCCGCGCCAGTCTCCCAGGCCTCGGCCATCTGTCTGTGGGCAGCTTAGACTCTGAGGACATCTGGCAATGCTCCAAGTGGAGAATTCCAACTGTTTACGGGCTCTCTCCAGGGGACGCTCTGAATGGGCTGTGGGCTGGGCAGGAGCGAGGCCAGAGCAGGAGGGGACCATCCCTAACAGCATCCAGATGGCGCATTTTCCCCCTGGGCAAAGATGAAATGGATTTCTGGAGGCACGCTATTTGTGCTGGGTGGTGACTGTCTCCTCAGCCCTGCCCTCGGGCGGGCCCTCGCCAGCACAGACCCCCTTACCAGGCCAGATAGGGCTGGGGGATGGGAAGCAGGTCCTGACTGAGGGGCTGGCCGAGCCCCTCCCAGAGCCAGGGCACCGAGCCTGGGACTCCACGGAGCCCAGGCACCCACCCACCCTGGGGCCACACTTTCTTCCCAGACAGGACACGGTTTTCACTAATGTGATGGAGGCACCACAAAAGGTGTCCTAAGTCACTAGCAAGTCCATCTGGGGACTGAGACCGTCTGGGGAGATGTCACAGTCCCGACGTCCCATGAGGTGAGGATAGCTTGGGCCACGGAAAGCCACACTGGGGGTGCGCACCCTCGGCAAAACCCCTGGAGCGGTGGCCACAGGCCAGCACCCTCCTGCTTGGGAAGGCCCGCCCCTGCTGCCTGCCCCTCCCCTTCCCCACGGGCCTCCCTCCCTGCATCTGGCCTTGGCATCGGGACTTTCTGTGTTGCTGAGCAAGGGGCTGCCTGGCGTTGGTGCCCCCTCAGAAAGGTGGCTTCCTGCCCCTGCCTGCCCTCCTCCACCCTCAGAGGAGCCCAGCCTTCTCGGACCCAGGGAGCATTGGACCGTGCGAGCTGATGGTCCTGTGCCTGGGCCAGACCTGGAGGGAGAGCAGAGCCACACAGACCACCCTGCAGTCATCTAGATGTTTCCGCGGGCTGGGAATGGGTCAGGCCGGAAGCGCTCTGCTAAGCCTCTGCTACTGGGAGATCCCCCCCTCCAGGAGATGGGACGTGTCCTGCCAGCCCCGGCCACAGCTTGCTGTCCCTCTGTGGGAGGAAAGCGCTTGCTATGTGTCATCACTCAAGGTTCTGAAAGAACCTTCCCACCGAAATTCTCCATCCCAGGAATCCCAGACCAGAAGGAAGCCGCGAAGTCTTATCCTGAGCTCAGCCGTCAGGAATAGTCCTGGTGGCGGGAGCCCCAGCCCAGTGCCAGCCCTGCACCCGGCCACAGCGCAGGACGCTGGTCTCCTCCCTTCGACGACGTGGCAGGGGTGGACCTTGGCAGCCGGCCCCTCCACACTCTCGTGTCCAGAGACACCTCCTGGCTCACGTGGCTGTGCCCACCATGTGCAGCTGCTGTGGCCCCGCCTGGCTGGTCACGTGGTACCTCGCCTGCTGGGGGACAGGGCCTGACCTCGGCAGCTCCTAGGCCATGCTGGTGCTCCCAGCCAGGCCCAGCTCCCCGAAGCAGAGGACACGCCAGCAGGAGCAGAACCACACCAACACCACGGGCCCCGAGGGCACCCAGCCTCCCCATGTGCTCCACACCTAAGACACACAGCGGCCGCTTCTGTTCAGCCGCCGTCCCATCACCAAGCACGGCCAAGATTCACTCAACTGGAATTGCAGCTTGGCTGCTTCACTGAACTCCCGGACGGTGTGAGGACAGCCTCTGCGTTTCAAGACCTCGGGGAACTTCCACTGCACGGAGGTGTGACCGGCGTGGAGGGGCAGATCTGCAGCCACCAGGCCGCCCACTCCAGGCCCACGGCAGTTGCCTGCTGACCACTCTGACCCCTTCAACCGGAACCCCCTGCTTCTCGGAGGCTGTGAGTTTCTTGCAGGTAAAACTGGCCACAGTGACCCACACGGACCTTCACTGCACAGTGCAGAGCTCTGGCCAGTTCCAACCCCAAGCCGCCACCTCACGAGGGTCTAGAGCGCTGCCCCTGAGGGCCCTGGCCGGGTCTCAGCCACGAGCAGCACGTGGAGTCCACTAGGAGTCACAGTTCCTCGCAGTGGCCCAGGGCCTCCCTGCTCCAGCCACGTCCTCTGTAACCCCCAACACTGGTTTCAGAGGGAGGATAAGAGGTCCTTACCGGCTCAACGATCGCGGGCTCTCCCTTCTGACCTTTCTCGCCCCGCGGTCCTTCAATCTGGGGTTTGTAAAGCAGAAAGAAGGCCCGGTTTACACCAAATCTCATGGCTTACAAAGCAGGGGGCACTCACAGCCAGGCCCTCCCCAGGTCCAGGAGACTAAGGGTCAAGACCACGGCCACACTGCTGCTGCCCAGAAGGAGCCCCCACCTCAGGGGCCAGAGGAGCCCCACCAGGCCCCGGGGCACCCCAGCCCTCACCCCTTCGTAGATGGTGTCCTGGTTGGCAGGCATGCCCGGCCCAATCTCTGACGGTCTGAGACGGCCAGGGCGGACCCCTGTGCCCATTCCTCCAGACCAGAGAAAGCACAGCTGCTTCTCTAGGCCAGTCAATGCCACTGTGCCCTGGACTGCTTTCCGAAAGTACACAGTCCTCTCATGAAGCCAGGAGTGGCTTCCCAGGAGTAAGGTGCTGTGCTCCATTGAGGCACATGGGTCAGCACAGGTGTCTGGCACCAGGCTGGTGGGAGGCACCCAGCCAGGGGGAAGCAGAGACCTTCACCCCCTTCAACCTCCCCAACAGGGCTCCCCAGTCACTGGGAACATATCCACTGTGTTTACACGGCGTACGCTCAGAGCAATACCTGCCCACGAGATGTAAGCAGACATCCCCCAAGTGGCTCTGGGAACCCAGCGTCCCCATGTGCTCTGACAGGCAGCAGAGGAGGCTCAGAAACCCAGATTTAGATGGAAGCCCTGGCGCTGAGGCTGGGGGACCCCAGCTGTCCTCCTGGACACACTGACCATTCTCAGGAGCCGGGCCATGTCAGGCAGGGACCTTCCGGAGGGCCAACCCAGTGCCTCCAGGTCAGCATGGGAAGGAAGCTGGAAACTGGCAGAGGGGATGCCAGGAAGCATCCCCATGGCCACCAGGGAGGACCATGCCTGTGACAGCAGAGTGCCCTTCCCACACCCCATCAGGGCATAGACGCCAGCCTCAAAATTCAGCCGGGACAGTGACTGTAAGTAAAGGTCACAGCCTCCGCTGAGCTCAGAACAACTCTCAGAGGAGGGCCACCCAAGAGCACACTCAAAATAAGTTTTAACCCCAGTGAAGGGAGAGATGACGAATTATACGCCTCTGAAGGACATGCACCAGGTGATGTAAGACTCTGGATCTGGGGACGCCCTGGTTCCCGAGGCTCAGGACAGCCAGCGGCACCTGGATGCCGATGAACCTGAACCCTCCCAGTTGAGTGGATTCTTGTCCTTTCAAGGAGCCACTGGGACTGCTGACAAATTACAGGAAGTGCCAGATCCAGGTGGGAAATGGCTGGCATGCATGGCCCTGGTGTGGACAGAGGGAAGGAGCTGATTCCGAAACTCAACAGTGCGTCGCATCTCCCAGAAGGAGGTTGCTGAAGCAGGCGAGGGGACAGGAAACAGGGCCACTCCAACCTCCAGGGGCCGGGATGCCACACGGCTCACAGCAACCCCCGCGCCAGTCTCCCAGGCCTCGGCCATCTGTCTGTGGGCAGCTTAGACTCTGAGGACATCTGGCAATGCTCCAAGTGGAGAATTCCAACTGTTTACGGGCTCTCTCCAGGGGACGCTCTGAATGGGCTGTGGGCTGGGCAGGAGCGAGGCCAGAGCAGGAGGGGACCATCCCTAACAGCATCCAGATGGCGCATTTTCCCCCTGGGCAAAGATGAAATGGATTTCTGGAGGCACGCTATTTGTGCTGGGTGGTGACTGTCTCCTCAGCCCTGCCCTCGGGCGGGCCCTCGCCAGCACAGACCCCCTTACCAGGCCAGATAGGGCTGGGGGATGGGAAGCAGGTCCTGACTGAGGGGCTGGCCGAGCCCCTCCCAGAGCCAGGGCACCGAGCCTGGGACTCCACGGAGCCCAGGCACCCACCCACCCTGGGGCCACACTTTCTTCCCAGACAGGACACGGTTTTCACTAATGTGATGGAGGCACCACAAAAGGTGTCCTAAGTCACTAGCAAGTCCATCTGGGGACTGAGACCGTCTGGGGAGATGTCACAGTCCCGACGTCCCATGAGGTGAGGATAGCTTGGGCCACGGAAAGCCACACTGGGGGTGCGCACCCTCGGCAAAACCCCTGGAGCGGTGGCCACAGGCCAGCACCCTCCTGCTTGGGAAGGCCCGCCCCTGCTGCCTGCCCCTCCCCTTCCCCACGGGCCTCCCTCCCTGCATCTGGCCTTGGCATCGGGACTTTCTGTGTTGCTGAGCAAGGGGCTGCCTGGCGTTGGTGCCCCCTCAGAAAGGTGGCTTCCTGCCCCTGCCTGCCCTCCTCCACCCTCAGAGGAGCCCAGCCTTCTCGGACCCAGGGAGCATTGGACCGTGCGAGCTGATGGTCCTGTGCCTGGGCCAGACCTGGAGGGAGAGCAGAGCCACACAGACCACCCTGCAGTCATCTAGATGTTTCCGCGGGCTGGGAATGGGTCAGGCCGGAAGCGCTCTGCTAAGCCTCTGCTACTGGGAGATCCCCCCCTCCAGGAGATGGGACGTGTCCTGCCAGCCCCGGCCACAGCTTGCTGTCCCTCTGTGGGAGGAAAGCGCTTGCTATGTGTCATCACTCAAGGTTCTGAAAGAACCTTCCCACCGAAATTCTCCATCCCAGGAATCCCAGACCAGAAGGAAGCCGCGAAGTCTTATCCTGAGCTCAGCCGTCAGGAATAGTCCTGGTGGCGGGAGCCCCAGCCCAGTGCCAGCCCTGCACCCGGCCACAGCGCAGGACGCTGGTCTCCTCCCTTCGACGACGTGGCAGGGGTGGACCTTGGCAGCCGGCCCCTCCACACTCTCGTGTCCAGAGACACCTCCTGGCTCACGTGGCTGTGCCCACCATGTGCAGCTGCTGTGGCCCCGCCTGGCTGGTCACGTGGTACCTCGCCTGCTGGGGGACAGGGCCTGACCTCGGCAGCTCCTAGGCCATGCTGGTGCTCCCAGCCAGGCCCAGCTCCCCGAAGCAGAGGACACGCCAGCAGGAGCAGAACCACACCAACACCACGGGCCCCGAGGGCACCCAGCCTCCCCATGTGCTCCACACCTAAGACACACAGCGGCCGCTTCTGTTCAGCCGCCGTCCCATCACCAAGCACGGCCAAGATTCACTCAACTGGAATTGCAGCTTGGCTGCTTCACTGAACTCCCGGACGGTGTGAGGACAGCCTCTGCGTTTCAAGACCTCGGGGAACTTCCACTGCACGGAGGTGTGACCGGCGTGGAGGGGCAGATCTGCAGCCACCAGGCCGCCCACTCCAGGCCCACGGCAGTTGCCTGCTGACCACTCTGACCCCTTCAACCGGAACCCCCTGCTTCTCGGAGGCTGTGAGTTTCTTGCAGGTAAAACTGGCCACAGTGACCCACACGGACCTTCACTGCACAGTGCAGAGCTCTGGCCAGTTCCAACCCCAAGCCGCCACCTCACGAGGGTCTAGAGCGCTGCCCCTGAGGGCCCTGGCCGGGTCTCAGCCACGAGCAGCACGTGGAGTCCACTAGGAGTCACAGTTCCTCGCAGTGGCCCAGGGCCTCCCTGCTCCAGCCACGTCCTCTGTAACCCCCAACACTGGTTTCAGAGGGAGGATAAGAGGTCCTTACCGGCTCAACGATCGCGGGCTCTCCCTTCTGACCTTTCTCGCCCCGCGGTCCTTCAATCTGGGGTTTGTAAAGCAGAAAGAAGGCCCGGTTTACACCAAATCTCATGGCTTACAAAGCAGGGGGCACTCACAGCCAGGCCCTCCCCAGGTCCAGGAGACTAAGGGTCAAGACCACGGCCACACTGCTGCTGCCCAGAAGGAGCCCCCACCTCAGGGGCCAGAGGAGCCCCACCAGGCCCCGGGGCACCCCAGCCCTCACCCCTTCGTAGATGGTGTCCTGGTTGGCAGGCATGCCCGGCCCAATCTCTGACGGAGAGATGGTGGGGTCATAGTAGGGATCGTAGTAGTTCTCATCCAGGTTTCTGATGGTTTCTTCGGTGAACTCCCCCTCCAAGTCATCCCCTGGAGGCGGGGCCGGCTGCAGGGAGAGGAGGTGGCAGGGGTCACAGAGGACGCCAGGAGACTGGACGTCACATCCCTCCCTTCTCGGGCTCCAGGCCCCACAGTCTCGGGGCAGAAGGGCAGACCTCCCAGGAGTCTGCTGTCTACCTTGTTGAGGGAGCTCCCTAGTGGCCTCTGCACACAGATTCCTCTCTCTCACAATGGGAAAAGTGTCACTCCAAACTGCCCAGGGCCCCACGGCAAGCAATACCTGCACCATGAACCTAGGAATGTCGGTACCATCAGGGTCTCCACCCCAGGACTCCAGGGCCCTTGGGAACATGCCCCTGATCCCATGCCCGCTGATGGGTTTGGGCCACGAGAACCTGGGAACTCTGTGGCCATAGAGAATTTGGCATCACACAATGGCCATTTTTAAGTGTTCACTGTGTGCTGCAGGCTGGGCTTGAGCCCTAACCTGGAGAGTGACAACTCAGGAGGCAGGCAGAGGACCCTGCAGGGCGTGAGGACGTGGACGGAGAGAGGCAATGCCACTGTCCCAGGTCACGGGTGGGACTCAGCCCGTGGCCATACCGGGGACCACCAGCCTCCCGTCTCCTGCATTTGCCCTGCTCGGCAGCTCATGCACCGGTCCAGCCTGACCCCCACCCCCAGACACAGAGAGGGACACTGCCTGCAAACACGTAAGTCCCCAGGCATCTCCACCTGAACCCCAAGCGACCTGGAGGCTGGGGCTCATTCCACCCATTTTGCAGAAGAAAACTGACCACAGAGATGACTCAGCAAGTCAGAGACTCCAAACTTGCTCAGCATCCCTGGGGGGCATTTAAAAAAGCCCAGCCACCAAGGACCCCAGGGTCAGGGAGCGGGGGAGTCACCCAGGACACCCCTCAGGGGAGAAGCAGAGAACGGGGTGCTGCCCCTTGCCCTGGCCCAGCCCACGTGGAAGGGAAGCAGTCACCCTGGAGGAGTTGGAGGTGCCGGCGGTGCTGGTGGGGGCTTCAGCCTCGCCGTGCTCGGGGAGCTGGTCGGGGAGCTGGTCGGGGCTCCCAACGCCCTCGTGGTAGTTGAGGTCCTCGTAGGGGGGCGGTGTGTAGTAATCCTCACTGGGCACGTAGTCATAGTCCTCTATGCCTATGCCAGGGTCCTCGTCCTCCCTCCCGGGCCCTTCACTGGGGTCAGGCTCTCGGGGGGCTGCCGTGGTGGTCGGGGTCAGCTCCTGAGGGTGGGGCCGGGACATGCGGGCTTAGGGAGCATGCTCAGCCCCGGGCCCCTCCTCCTGAGCGGGGCACAGAGCACAGACCCTGGCCAACCAGAGCCCCGTGGACTTGGGCAGGGGCCCAGACAGCGCCCTGCGTGGACTAAAGCCCGAATCTGCACCTGGAAAGGGTGAATTCTACCTCAAAAGAAAGTGAGCCTCCCAGATGCAGAGCAGCAGGTGCTCCTTCGTGTGTGTGCCTCCCAGATGCAGAGCAGCAGGTGCTCCTTCGTGTGTGTCCCGAGGTCACCGCGGTGGAAAGCCCTCTGCCCACCTCCCCGTTGGCACAGGGCACACACGGTCACTCGGCTGCCCCGTCCCTGGCTTTCCGCCGGCTCCCACCCAAGGCCTCCCAGTCTCCCAGCATCACCAGCCGGCCCCCTGCGCCGGCCCTAGTCCCCTCCCCACCACACTGCGGCCTCCAGCCAGACCTCCGCTATCTCCGTGGTCTCTCGGGCAGCTTCCACGGGCTTCTTGGTGGGGGTGGGCTCCTTGCCCAGGTCCTCTGTGTCCTCATAGTAGGGATATTCATAGTAATAGGTCTCGCCTTCTCCTTCTCCCTCTGGGTACTGAAAGTGATCGGGGCCACGTGAGGAAGGACAGACCCCAGCAAGAGCCAAGCCTGCTTCCTTTCTTGTGTGGGTTCAGCCTGTCAGAGTGGGCACCACAGAGTCAGGCCCAGTGCCAGGCAAGAGCCCCGTACAGCTCCTGGGGAGGCTGAGCCAGCCCCATGAGAGGGCAGGAAATGGGTACCCCAGGTCCCCTTCCAAGGAATTTGAGTCCAAAAAGGTCCAGACATCTGCCCCTTTGAACCGGAGGGCCAGGAGAGCCAGCCCAAGTGCGGCTCCTGCCAGCAAGACCCCGAAGCCTTCCCTGGAGCCCACCCCACCGCGGGAGGCACTCATAGCCGCACTTGTAGCCATGGGGGGCCCCACCCACAGCGCCACGCCAGTCAAAAGCCGGGAGCCTCAGCTGCAGGAGCTCAGCGCTCCTAAGATGCGCCCGCTGCCTCAGCAGGGCTGCCCTTCCTTCCATCCCAACAGCTCATGAAAGAGCAGAGGCCAGGGGGGCGATAATGGCCCCGAAGCACGTCTACTCACACACACCCCACCCCTGGAGAGCCGGTGAGGATGCCCCGCTCTCCACCTGGAAACATGTGTGAAAGATCCTCTACAATCAGCCGTGGTGACTGCCGCTTTGGGGCCCCAACTGTGGGTGCAGTGAGGGAGGCACCCCGCGGCTCTCTCTGGGTCAGTTCACATCCCCGCTCAGGGGTTTATTTTAGGTGGGGGTCCCATGGCTTCTGGGTGCCTCCACCCCTGCCCTGCCTGGCCCGCCCCTCCCAGGGGGTCTGCCCCCGGCGCCCACCATGAACGTGGAGGGGCTGACTCACATATTCATCTGGGTTGGGGTCCTGGGACTGGGGGGTGTCGGGGACCGAGGTGTCACAGTCAGGGCTGTAGTGCTCACAGTAATCATAAGCCGCCCGATGGTCTGAGACGAAGAGCAGCTGCTGGATGTCACCCTGGAAAAGGACAAAAGCTCTTGAACAAGTGGCACACAGGGGACCCACATGGGAAACCAAGAGGCCAGCCTGGTGCCTTGAGGCAGAGAGCAGCCTGGGCCACACCTCGGGAGGAACACCTTCAGGGCCAGCCTTCTGCTCAGGGAGCTACTGCTTCCAGGAATCACTCAAGCCAGGATGGCCTGCCACCCATCTGTCCATCCACCCGTCCGTCTACCTGTCCATTCACCCACCCGTCCATCCACCTACCCACCCATCCACTCACCCATTCAACTACATACCCACCCATGCACCCACCTATCCATCCATCCATTCATCAGACACCAGTCGAGCACCTCTCAGGTGCCTGGTGCAGTGCTCAGAGCTTGTGCACTATGGGTGAGAAATACAGCCTATAAACTCCTCCGCCCTAAACTGTAAGAGCTTAGAGGTACCCTACCTCCTTCCCATCACCTCCAACCACAGAAGCTGAGGTTTATTTTTAAACAGGCAGAATACCATATAACCTAACATTCTAATCCTAAGAACTAAGACAGGTACATAAACCATTTGCCCAAATCAGTTCACCCAAGTAAGAATGGCAAACAGGGATTCAAACAAAAGCACGTATACCCATGTTCATGGGGGCACCATGCACAATATCCAGGAGGTGGGAAAAGCCCAAATGCCCACCAACACATGAATGGATAGCAAACTGTGGCACATCCCTGCAGTGGAAAACCATTCAGCCCTAAAAAGGAAATGACAGACACATGCAGCAATGCGGGCAAGCCCCCACCAGCAGCCCTGGACTTTCTGGTTCATGGAGAGGCACGCTCCTGACAGCCGACAGTCCCCTGCGTCAGCTAGGAAAAGCATGCTGCCGGTTTATTCCCTGTCGCTCGTCAAGCTGTGTGGATGACAGAAAAATGAGGGGTCTGCTACTGGGACTGCCATGCGCAGATCTCATGCCTGGCACCGAACATTCCCCATCTGCTGGGCCCCAGCCAGGTGGGTATAAATGGGCTGTACAGTGATGGTTCTGAATGTCTGGTGCTTTGATGGTGCTCACTGCAGACACATGGTCACTCAGCTGCCTGCAAGATGTATGACCTATGAGCCCCCATTCTGAAGCTGAACCGCTTCTGAAGTGAGGCCCAAGAGGTCACCTGCCCTGCAGCACAGTCCCACAGCAGGGGCACGGGGCCACCTCAATGCAGCCTGGACAGCGCCAACCACTGCCCTTCACCCTCACCAGGCTCAGCACAGGGAACAGAACGTGGAAGAACATGCCAAATGCCCAAACCATGAGGCTGGAGACAGTGGCCCAGGCAGGGCCCATCAGGGGCCCTTCCTTGGGCCCGGATCCCATCCAGCCACATGGCTGTTTTGCAACTGCTCACCCTTACACCACTTTTTTCAGAAAACATTATGTGTGACAGGAAAGGACAGGCCCTGGGGCCACTGTGAACTCCTCGGCCACACCTGCCCTCTGCCTCTCTCTCGCCCTCTGTCCCTCCCTCCCCCCTTCCTCTCTCTCCCTGTCCTTTTCTGCGGATGTCAAAGGCTCCTGGACCACATTTTAAACTCTCTAGCAGATGAGAACCATATGACAGGACAATGAATCAAAACCACACGTTTTTATTAAGCAACATGACTTCTAGTTCAAATTTCATCCAATCCAAATACAATATTTTCCCCATTCAGCTGGTAGCTTGACATCTGAATATATGTTCTCCAAATATAGTTCACGGGAAGGAAGAGGGGGCTTGGGGCCCTGAGGGAGGGCAGCTGTGGCTGCTGGCACTTGGGGGACCCCTTGACCGAGAAGCCAGCATGCTGCATGACCATCATCTGGTAAAGGGCCTACTTCCCAGGACAGCCCAGGTCCTCAGGCCATGGACGTGCCTGGCACATCTGTGTCCCTGTACCCCAGGGCACCCGGTCCAGCACCGGGCTTCCCAGGCCTGCACATGCCACCCCAGTGAGGCGCCTGCCTAAAGGCTGGGGCACAAACGCCCCTGAACAGGCACAGGGCAGGGGGCGTCTCCAAGGACTCACCCCAGGGTCTGGAATCCAAGCTCACGTTCGTGCTGTCCCAGCCTCGGTCAGCCCTGCTTCCCCGCTGCCCACTTCCCATATGGCAGCAGTGAACATGTGATCGGTCAAGGGCCCGGCTGCAGCCGCTCTGCAAGTCCGAAACGCCCTCATTCCCAGCCCTCCCCCCTCACAAACCTGTACTAGTTTAGTCATTTTTCCCACCAAACCCATGAGTGGGTTTTCGCCCCAAAGATTATGCCAGTCTACTCTGTGTGAGTGCCCTCCGAGGGCAGGGGCCTATCTGTCCCCCAACCTGCAGCAGAGAAGGGAAACGGAGGCACCGATGTTGAGGCTCACGCTCAGAGCCGCTCCAAGCTGGGTCAACTGCGGACCTGCATCCTTGCCAGGGCCCCTTCCAGCCCACCCACCACGTCTTCCCTGCACACAGGATGAGGTCCTTACAACCCCAGGCACCCCTTTGGGGCAGGACTCTGGGGGGACCGGCCTGGCACGAGATCTGCCCCCAGGCTCTGGGAAGGAGCAGATGTCTCCGCCGCCCCCAAACAGCAGGGCCGGGGGGCTGCTCCTGTGTCACCTCCCCGAGGGGCAGGGAGGAGGGCTCTATGACATCAGCAGCCCCCCAGGGCCTGGAGGAGGAGGAGCTGGAGTGCCCTGAGCAATGCCGAAGAAACTCCTGCCCTCTGCCCTCCTCACGCCGGGGACCCCGGTCACCACGGAGACGGATGGCAGGTAGGACTCGGGCCCTTGAGGCTGTGGGCCCTGGGAGGTTCTCACTCTCTCACCTCGGGTGGTTCTGAGCAGACAGGATGGCCACTGTACCCCAAAGTACTAATGAGGTGCTGTGGGACACTGGGCAGCCCTGGCTGAGGGGCCGGGGGTACCAACCTCAACTATACCCAAGGCCCAGAGCCCTGGGACCCTCACTGACCCTGTGAAGACCATGCTGGGTGCAGGGCAGGGAGAGGTCCTGTCTCCTCAGCCCCATACCCAGTAGGGACTGCAGGGAACCGGGCCCCCTCTCAGACACCTGACTTAGTGGGCTCTGGGGCAGGGCCTGGGACTCGGGGTGCTGAAACCTCAGGTCATCCTAGGGTGTAGCCCCGACTGAGCATGGCCCTCCCAGTCTTCAGACAACTCTGACCTTGCATTTTGAGCTGAAGGCAACACCCCTGGAGAATGCGCCTCCTTCTGTCCCCAGGGAGACGGCAGGGGTTCCCTCTGTTCCTTCTGGAACATCGAGGCAGAGCCAACACACGTCCCTCTGGAGCAAGAGAGCCGCGTGCAAAGCTGGCAGCCCAGCTACCAGCAGCCAGGCTACCCCAGACGGGACGCAGCTGCTGGGAGCCTGGGCCCGGCCCGGCCCCCCTCCACCCCCGTGCGGCTGGGCAGAGCGCCTGCCCAGAGCTCAGGGAGGCGAAGGACACCCTGCTCCTGAGAGGGCTTGGGGCCCGCTTCTTGGGTCAGGGACGCCAAACGGCTCGGGCGCCCTTTACAGGGTCTCATCTCCCATGGTGCTTTGCCTCGCTGACACCAGACCAGGGGCGATCTCAGAATCCATCTCCACCCAGGGCTCCCGGCATCCCCCACCCAGGAACTGGGACACGGCACGCCCCTTGGCTGGCCCACATCAGGTACATGTGGCCTTCCAACTGTGAGACACGTGGTCCAGTTTTATGCCTGTGTGCGGAGAGCGCTGTCACGAAGCCGTTTGTGACGGGAAACCAGACTCCAAACCGCAGACCCTGATGCTCCCTGAGTGCCCTCCTGGCAAAGCCGTTCACAGCGGGTGCTGAGGGCAGGTGCTGGGGGCTGGAAGCCCAAGCTCTGACTGCCCACAGCCAGCAGCCCCTCTCTGAGCCCTGTGCCCACAGTCAGCAGGACATCCCCGGGCTCAGGGCAGAAGGCTGGAGCCCGGGGCTGGGTGGGGATGCCCATCTGTGGTTACCAGGGCCACACACAGTGAGGCCCTGGCCTGTAGTCCCTTGGGACCTGACCTGGGTCTAGTGGGAGCAGGATGCTGGCACTGTGAGGCTGGACATAGGTCAGAGCTGACCGTCTGAGGCACTGAGTGTGCCCCAAGACTTCTCCATGCCAGTTGCCCCCTTGGAGATAGGAGGGGCTCTGACCCCCAGGAGCCCTCCATCAGCCTGGCCTTGACCTTGGAAGAGGCTGCATCCCCCTCCCCTGGAGGCAGCCTAGCAACCCCCAGACCCGCAGGCCCCCCTGTAGGATGTGGGGTTATTGGGTGTGCATGCATGTGTGTGCACATATGGGTGTGAATGTGTGTGTGCATGCATGCATGTGCAATGCAGAGACGACCTTTACAGGAACTTCTGGTCTGGGTGACCCACATCTGAATGGAAACAGAAAGGGAGACCCCGCCCTTGGGGATGCCTCTGGCTGGCCCAGGTGCCCCGAGACGCCCTCGGGAGCTGCTCTGTAGCCAGCGGAAGAAGGCGGTGAACGTGGCCCCAGACACGGAGGGCCTGACAGTGACCGGGCACAGGGGACCAGCCACCCCGGCCCCCACCCCACTGCCCGGAACAGTCCACACCCCTGCCTGCTTTGGCAGGTGAGCCAGGCACAGACTCTCGCCAGGCCCCAGCGGTCCCTCTGGGTATCAGTTTCCTAGGCTTCAAGATTTGTGCTGAAGTGATTCCACGTGCCCCACCGATAACCAATACCACTACTCAAACCCAGGGCTGCTCACCTGAGGCAGGGCCTTCCCTTTGCTGGGCACCCCTGGGAGCCCACAGCCTCCTGCCCCCCATAGCCCCCTCACACACTGGGCCCTGGGAGCTCGGCCCAGCACAGGCTTCTCAAAGCATTTCATGGAGGACCGGGGTCCCCAGCAGGCTCACACTCCAGGCCGCCCAGAGGATGTTAGGTAAGAAGGGCTTACAGGACTTGTTTTAAAGAATAAAACCCTTTATCTCATTTTCTAGGTGAGGGGTCTGAGG